TTTTTATTTAATTTTGGGTTCAGAATAAATCTGTAACTGTTAGCTTCCAACAAATGGTCAGAAACCGAATTGATTGAGCTCCAGAGGACTAATAAATGCTTGGACCAAGCTGCAAGGCGAAAATTTGAAGGGGGGCTTTTCCCTACCGTTACAAGTGGCAATAGCCGATGTGGGAAGGCAGGTATCTCGACCGCACGGGTGACTCAACTCTTAACGGGAAGGCATGTATCCCGTTCGCAACCAAGGTGTTAAACAGGATGCTGTTTCAACGTTCTGCATCGAAATGGTATAAGCTAGTCTAATATTTAAACACCCATTGTGATAAAAAGATGCCCTGATGATGGCTCACAAGATTGGGTTTAAACGTGGGAAAATGAAGAAATCCAGAAATTGACTAAATTCTTTTTATCATCTATGGTGTGTAGAACAGTCAACGAACTTCCAGTATTTTCTTTTAATTTTCAAGGATGCTATTACAAATTTCATGTTTGGATTTATGTTCACGCATGCGCACTTTGATGATTTCTTCTATATAGATATCGTTTATTGGCTTTAAGAGGGTACGGAGTCCTTTTTTTGAATTGGATTTTCTATCGAGTAGAGAGAAGGATTAGTTTTAACGTATCTGATTTTTGTAGGAATCCTGCAATAGTGGGCTGACAAAAAAAAAAAAAAAAAAATACGTTTTAATTTATATTAAGTATATGTTAATGTTCACATTTAAATGTGAAAATGTTCAATAGCTTACACAGTGATTTTTATGATTGAGAAAATCTACTAGGTTTATTGTACGGATCTACGGGGAGGGAGGGAGACTTTTGGGCTGAAGCCTCCCTAAAATGATAAAATATAACTATGTTTTACAGAAAAAAATATTAAAAAACTATCTCTTAAAGTATTCTTGTTCGTGTAATTACATTTAATAGGACTTCAAGAACCATTTAAACACCATTTCCTATAGGTAGTTAATATCTTTCTTTTTTTTCTAATTAATTATCGTTATATGTATATGAAAAATTTTTGTTTCGGGCAGAAGCTCCCCTCCCCCAAAAATTAAATCCTGGATCCACTAGTGTATTATAGGTGTCCACGAGTGTGGACTATTTACTAATTAAACTTAATTCTCTCGGTTTACAGAATGAGCCTTGTGAATTTTGTCATATCCGTAACTGAAAAATAAACTAGAGGATCTGGTAATTTTTCTGTGTTATCGGTTGGATATTCGATAAAATTGGCATAATTACAATTTCCCCAGGATATAATTTTATAACTCACTATGCCAGAACATTATATTATATTGCAAAAAATATTGATATATTCTTCCCCTCATTGCTGGAGGTTCATATAAAATGCACCTCGTTTTTATTATTTTTTATTTTGCTTTTGTTCTTGGATGGAAATTAATCTTCAAATTTTTATTTAAAAAATGTTTTCTTTTTCTTTCATTAAAATTTTCTTTTTTCATATCCATTCATTAAAGATTATAGCATATGTATGTTCTTCTTTGTTCTTTTGTTTTCACTGATTTGTATGGTTATTTTTAGTTTTCTTAAAGCATTATCGAATGTTGATGTACTTAAGTGAATATTTTTAATTATTAAATAATTAATAAATTTTGATTACCTTTTATTTATAAATATACTATTAAAATAAAACAAGTAATTTAAGCATTTGCTATTATAACTTGTAATATAACATTTTCCCGATTTAAGTTAAACAAAGAATATTATGTGTTTCCAAAATTACACTTGGGAAAACAAAATATGAAAAAAACCCACTAATGAATATTTTTTGTTAATAACATGATCAATGTTAATTAACACTTACTGAATAAAGCTTATTTTTTAATAATTACCTTTCTTATTAATAATTATCTAAAGTCTGCGTGGTCCTGGTCAGTCTGATTTACAGAAGAAATTATAAAAACACAATGTTCACTCATTTAAAAAATTAAAATGTTAAAGTATTTGTATAGTAAATAACTATACAAAAAAAAAAAAAAATAGTATTAACCACTTGTTTATTTAAGAATGTCTATAAATCGACCTGGATGGTGCATCAATGGCGATCTCCAGTGTGGTTTATGCTAACAGGGATGCCAATCTCTCCCAAGGTCGATACCGCAAGAACCTACCTCCTCCCTCCACCCAACATATTTTATTGCTCATCTTTTCTTAAAAACAGAGCAAGCTAAGATAGAATTAAGAAAATCGTAGATCGTACACAATCAAGCTTGTTGCAGTATGTTCCATAATTGTCCCTTAGTCCGAAAATTCATAACCCCTCGAAATTTCCCCCCCTCATAAATTCTGATGGCGCAACTTGCGCCATGAAAACCCCTTCTGGGCACTCCTGCTAACTAACTCCTCCAAAATCAGAGAAAAAACATTATTTGTTTGAAACCAAAACGGTGTTATTGTCCTATGCATGAAGTATATGGTAAGGGAAAGTATTGCGATCTTGAAAAATTACTTTTTCTTTTTTGTCCTCTATCACTAAATATGGAACACATTGCCTGAACGTACCGCTGTAATCTTTCTTCATGAAGTGGATATCTTTTGACTTGATCAGGTGGCAATAATAATATGCCAGAAACCTGAGTATGTTGTAGAACAGGGATCTCTTAACTATGTCCCTTAACTACTCTCAATCCAATCCGCAAACGTTCCTTTGATTATTTGGTAAAATTTAAAAAATATGAAATTTAGCAAAATTACATTAAACCTCACACACACGAGGTTACAACATCTATAACGTTTTTTTTTTACATTATTTTTTTATTATCGGGTGAAGGTCTCAATGTGATCATGCAACATAGTAAAGGTCCCAATGTGGCCTTTAAAATATTTGGAGATCCATGTTGTAGAGTAACATATAAATCATTATTCCAACTACAAGTCTTCGAAACTATTCTGCACCAATGGCATACCTAGACTATTTGAAGCCTGGAATGGATTTACTTTTCAGGATTCCTAAACAAAAGTTAAAATTAAAATTTATTGTTTAGTCATGTTTATGGACATATTCCATGCTTAAGTTATTTAATAAGTATATTAATAAGATTTATTAAAAAAATACACAGTAAGAAAATTACGGCTGAAAACAACAAAATTTTCATTTGATCAGAGAAAAAGTAGTAATTTTTTTTAAGCACCGCTGTGTGGCTCACTCCTATACCATCAGTCTGATATAGGATCACTATTACAATTTATCTTTTGATCCACGTTATTTGATATGCCATTCAAAAATTGTTTAATGATGGTAAAACCATACAATAGTGCCTTTGTTGCATCCCAAATCACTTGGTATTTATTACCATCTCTTTGAAATTGGAAGTTCTTAACTTTTGTCTTAATAGCCATTTGTAAAATAGCCACATCAATAGGTAAAAATAGAAAATCAATGAGAGATTTGGCCCAATAATAGAGCCCTAGATTTGGCACCCTCCGGACATTATGACATCTTTCTGCAAAAATATGGATAGTTTAGAAAAATAAAATAAAACATATGTGAAGAACATTATATAATTTATGTTTGAATAGTATTTCATCTGATCAAAATATCTGAAATTTAGTTGCTTTGTTAATGGAGTAAAATTAAGGTATTTTATAGGCTTTGTGAATTTTTATAATTTCCAAAACGTGATGTGTGCCCACAGGCATATCTATAGAAGTAGAAAATAATATACAGATTTTAACAAAATCAAAAATTCAATATTACATCTAGCAAACAAATTCAATGAATGAGCAAACTAGAGAACTATTTCTCTATATCTTGGTGGCATTGTAATAGCTTTAATATCAATGTCATTTTTCTTTTAAAATCAAGTAAACTTTGGGAAAGTTGTTCAGCAATTTGACCTTTCATATCAAACATAGATGTTTGGTTTGAGGAGTGGTCAACTTATTAAGTTGTTTAATGCTATATTGTTCTTGCAATCCATGACAGAGCAGGTCCATTCTTATACTTCTCACAACATAAATATATATACTAATGAAGGCGTTAAACAATAGACAATTCTTACTGTTTTGAAGACACATTATTAACACTACACTGTCATAGAATCAAGTGTATTTGTGGTCCAAAGAATTTAATAACAATAAAAAACAAAGTTAAAAACGAAGTTCATGACACAGTATCCTAGGACAAGTCTTTCATATAACAATATTCCTACTTATTAAAAATAGTTGGTGGCTCATTGTTGAAGAAAGCAGCTATTGATGAGCTCATTCGGAGAAAATCAAAACGGCAGGAATTCTGAATAAATTTAGGGGCACATAATACAGATATGGAATCACCAATATAATCCTGAGTAAAAAATGCCTATTAGCTGGAAAAGTTCCTGCAGCAGTTTTATTTTATTTTTTTCCCCTCAATCGGTTTTACTTCATTGCTTATCTTCACAATCAATGACATTATGACTTACTTTGCCAATTGTAACAGTTGGCAACAAATATCAGTTGAAAGAGAACATGAGGTATACCCATTAAAGAAATATCACAGAAAACATTTAAAAAATAAATAAAATGGTGAATAAAGAAGTTATTGTAAAATTAAATAATAATAAGGCCTCAGTTAGCTATACAAGGACCTAATAGTAGAAGCTGATATTGGATGACTATTAAGGATTATTCTGAGAGACCCCTAACTCATATAGAGCCCGTAGATTCATCGTATTATTGGTATAATAACACACTCTAGGTGTGAAGTCCAAAAATTAATATGAAAAGAAAAAGTGGCCGATTTTGAAACAAAATACACTGTTTACAAAGTAGTCAACTGCATTAAAAAAAAAATCTTCACTATGGATGAAGGATAGAATGGAATATATTAAATTGAAGAACTAATTTGTAAAATATAAACAAATATGTGTAAGAAGAAAGTATTATGGTGACTATAAGAGGATTTTGTTATAAAATGAGGAATAAAACAAGTATATAATTTGAGGCCATTTATATTTTCCTTCCATTATTTTTAATTTTTTTTTCTTTTCTTTTTTTCTCCATTTTATAATTCACAGGCTTTCTGTTTTAACACTAAAATAAAATTAATTCCGCTTTTATAAATATAAGAATTTAAATAAAAAATAACCATTATGTTGGTGCCGATTCGAGAAATAATTAGATACAATAAATAAAAAAAATGCATAGACAAGCACTATTAACATGATTACATAAGAAAATATAAAATAAGCGTATGAAGTAACACATTGGTTCTTTAAAACACTTACTGCTCTTCATTAAAATTTATATCTAAATATAAATATATACAGAGAAAATATATTATAAATATAACGCAGTAATAATAATTAGTAAATAACCAAAATAATTACACAGAGGCGGTTTTGAACCCTTAAGTAATCCATGTTTCCATATAAACATACTTTCTCTCTTTTTTTTGTTTTTTTTTTCATCTAATCTTTTATATAATTTTTTAAAAACTAATACAGATAAGTAGGTACTAACAGCCAGCAATTAAGTTAAAAATAATAAAGGGTAGAAAAGGATAGGATTAAGGGCGACAGGAAAAAGGTGATATATATATACACAGAATATAAAGAGAGATATGATCTAGCACTAGTTGAGCGCTGTTGAAGTGAGGAGAGCTACTCCTCTCTCGTAGAAGCTGTGTGGTTCTTGACCAGGAGCAATGTTCAAGTCGACAGTGAAAAGAAGCTCGCTACGTGTTGAATTAAGGTATACCGGTAAAGACAGCTTCCCAGAGTCTCCCTCTCCACCAGCCCTATTAACAGTGAATAATGAAATAGAAAAAATAATAATTAAATAAAAATCGCATGGAATAAATAAAGGGTCCAGTGGATAAAGGAGTAAAGTGATATACTATTAACATTTCTTCATTGCATTTATACAAATTCAATATTTGGTCCATAGCAGAGTTGATAGAGGTGCCTGTTGACGATAAACATCGGCCTTGTAGTAAATAATTTGAATTCAGTTTTCTAAATATTCAAAAATGTTACTTATCCCTTTCATTTACCAAATTTACTCTTCAAATACGAAGTACACTATCTATAATTATTCATAGTTAATTAAAAATATAAAATTCAACGACAGCAGGTGTTAAGTTATATTAATATTTAAATATTCCGACAATTCTAACAATTTGAGTTCTAATTCTTCTTAGAATGCTTCAGTTTAAAGATTATTCAATATAAAGTAGTTGGTCAAATTTAAACCATATTTTATTTCTTCTTTCTTTGGTTTGCCAAAAAATTTTCATTTTTAATAGGTTAATTAACAATTTTAAATTCATTTATATTATTGTTTAATCAGACCAGTTCTCCTTGGATTCAATTATTAACAGTACCATGTTAATAACATAACTGAGAACACTGCAGAAGTGTAAAACATAAAATAAACAGCAATAAGAAATTGAGTGAAATATATGTGCAGAAGAACCATACTTAAATTATGTTGATTTAATTTGTTTGATTAATAACAAATATTACTGGTGTTTAAGCAAAAGTTATTAAATGAAGTTCTTGAATTTAATATAATAATGATTTCTGCCGCATTGAAAAACATAATCATTAATCATATTAGGGTAAAAATTAATTAATGGTGAAAATATATGGCTTGCATGCTATATTTTTAACAAAATTAGTTGCCAGCCTGAAAGGAAACTCTATACAACACTAAGTTGAAACTCACATCTTATTTTTTCCCTTAAGTTGTGAAATTACTTGCAATATATCCACAAATATATTGAAAGATGATATTGTAATCTTCTAATTATGTATATATTAAGACCCGAATTATATTTTTATTAATGACTATAAATTATAAGTTAACCCAGTTAAACCAATTAATTATAATTACAACCCCCAGAAATATATATGATGGATAGAAACAACAATTTTTTTCAAGTAAAGTTGTTGCGATGTTAATTCCTGCAATATTTGCAGACGAGCATCATTTGTAAGAAAAAAGAAGAGCTGGCTAAAGACATTTGGCTCCACTGATCATCCAAGTGCCACCTCACCGAGCTTGGCGAATGAACATATACGTGAGAAAACATCGTCAATGCGACCTCCAACCTTATGACCAGCTGGAACTCACGAAAACGAAGGTTGTACCTTTTCACGAAGGTTGTTTCATTTTCATTTTGTTGTACCTTTTCATGCGACTGGATTAACATTTAAAAATCAACAATATTAATCAAGAATTTAAGAAGTTCATTATATTTTAATATCTCTTTTTATTTCTCACATGTAAATTTAAATGCTAATGTTAATTAAAATATACCTATGATTTATATATTAGAATTTTAATTTGCCATTTTTTGTAAAGATATTCTTTACTCTAATTTAGATTTTTTTCAACAATATTAATGAATATAATTTAATAGTTATTTTTTTTATATTTCATTGATTTTTTTTTTTGTAATAAGATCATTTTTTTTTTTTTTGATAATACTAAAGATATTGTTTTGTGTTTTTTTTTTTGATAATACTAAAGATATTATGTTTTTGTTTTTAAAATTGTGTAATAATAAATTCTACAACTAATCAAATTATAAATAATTTATTTAATCCTCAAATATATATATATACAACATTTTTTTTGTTTGCAACATTAGAATCAGCGAATTACAATAGGGAAGAAGGATTGTGATTAATTCTGATAAAGTCCCTTCCCCTATAGTATATATTAGTAAATTTAGTAAGTAATGTCAGAGGGTTTTGGAAAAAAAAAAAATTATGAGTTTAAACTTAATGCTGTATAAGTTGCCCCTCGGGTTGCCCAACTAGTAGTAGTCGAACTATAAATGAAAAAAAAAAAACTGTGTGAATATAACTTGTGAATTTTTTCAAATTTAGGAGTTTTGTATGAATACTGAAGATTAGTCAATAGGCCTTTACTTTTTCCAATTTGTTTCATGGGAACGTTATGGCCTTCGATAATTTAAAATAGACTATATTCCATGCTTTGACAAGTTAGAATGAGTTCATTTAATTTATACCAGTCTTGATATTAATTAACAACTAACATTTACAAAGAAAAATAAAAGAATATAACACCATAAAAATATTTTCTATCTATTTAGGAAAGAGGTAACTTAATGATAACATTAAAATAAGAACAAACATATGGATGTAACATATATTGATATAATAACGATTACTAACCGGTGCCACCTGAGTAATGTTGTTGGTAGATCCATCATAATTGTTGATGTGAGGAGAAGTTGATTATTTCTGCACTGTGCACCTTGCAGTTTGAGCCCTTAAATTATTCACAAACAGACATCATTTTAAAAGAGTAGAATATTTCAATAATATAATAATAATAATAATAATAATAATGAGCATCTCGAAAGTGAGATACCCATATGATACCCATAGAACAGCTAGGGTGCAAAAAAGGTGCTAGGGCTTGTAAAGAACTCCTAGTAATAGATTCGTTCATCGCAACACAAGTTGCGAAACCTCTCTATGGCATGGATCGATTATAAAAAGGCCTTTGACTCGGTTCCCCACAGCTGGCTACTTAAAGTGCTAGATATATAAAAGGTTGAATCTAAAGTAAGCAGGCTCCTTTCAAACTTAATGACAGGATGGGAAACTACGCTGAAAGTTGGAACTATCTGCACAGGGAATCAAATTAAAATATTGAGAGGAATATACCAAGGAGATTGTCTAAGCCCCTTATGGTTCTGTATGGCTTTGTTCCCACTCAGCAGGATTCTTCGAAAGAACAAGATGGGATACAAATTAATCATCAACGACGAAGCCACCATAGTCAGTCATAGGTGGTACATGGATGACCTTAAACTATATGCGAAAAACAAAGACCAATTACAAAGTATGGTTGAAGCCGTTTCATCTTTTAGTAGTGATATAGGCATGTCACTCTGTCTGGATAAATGTGCGGTGCTCCATGTAACCAAAGGAAAAGTGGTTAGTATGCAGAATATTCTAATCAATGAAAAAGAGTACACCAGGGAGCTTGAAGACAATAGGTTATATAAATATCTGGGAATGCAACAACATCTTAAAATTGCAAGAAAAGACGTGCAACAAGACCTTCTGACAATGTTCAAAATTAGATTGCGGAAAGTGCTCAAAACCCAGCTAACCGGGAAACAAAAAATCAAGGCTATTAACACCTGGGCAATACCTGCTCTCGGTTATAGTTTCGGCATATTGCACTGGTCAAACACCAGCCTACAGGAGATCGACCGCCTTGTGCGAACAACTCTCACACAAGAACGGGCCCACCATCCAATATCCTCCAAAGCTCGTCTGTATTTGCCTAGGAAAGAAGGAGGACGTGGTTTGCTAAATATCAAAGAAGCTTGCCGCAAGCAGGAAGCAGCCCTACGCCGATACTTTCTTACAAAAACAACTGAGGTTTATCTCGCAATCTCAAGATTGGATTATGGTCTAACCGCACTTAACCTGAGCAATCGTGAGGTCTCTACAATCGTGTCAGAAAATGAACGCTTGACAGAATGGAAAAATAAATCTCTGCACGGAAGATTCTACAGCAAATTAAATGATAGCTCGATTGACAAGGAAATATCCATTGAATGGCTGAAAGCTGGAAAGATATTCTCCGAGACAGAAGGATTTCTGCTCGCCATCCAAGACCAAGTTATTGCTACTAGATCATATAGAAGGCATGTTCTTAAAGACGCAACAACTACAGATAAATGTCGATTATGCTCAGCAACGCTGGAATCAATCCAACATGTCACAGGTGAGTGTGGAGTGTTGGCTGGCACCGAGTATCTCCAGAGGCATAACAATGTGGCTAGAATTTTTCATCAGGCTCTGGCGGTGAAGTTCAACTTGTTAGATGACAAAACTCCATATTATAAGTACCACCCAAATAAACTCCTCCAAAAAGGTAGTCTCAAGCTATACTGGGATGAATCGATTATAACTGACCATACTGTGCGTCACAATAAACCAGACATCCTTCTGATAGACACGAGAGAGAAAAGAGCAGAGCTTATTGATGTCGGGATCCCCAATGATAATAATATAAGCTCCACAGTTGGAGAAAAACTGAGAAAATACCAGGAACTGGCAATCGAACTGAAGGAATTGTATCATTTGGGGAACGTCACCACCACTTCAATTATAATATCCTCCAATGGATTGATACCAAAGACAACAGTGGCAGGCACGATGGGATTAAAATTACCTCTTGAAGTGCTGAAAGAGGCTCAACACTCAGTTCTCTTGGATACGGCACGTATTGTTCGAAAGTTTTTAAATATCTAAAAGGTAATAGATATTAATCTGAAGTGGCTGGACTTCTGGTATTTGGAGGTGGGACCTCAGAAACTTACCCCGCAAAGCGAGAATAAAGAATGGAAATAATAATAATAATGTAATCATGAGATACGGTCTTTATAATTTAATTATTAAGACAGCCTCTATTTTGAAACACTGATCTTTTTGGTTCAAATCCACATTTCAATCAATGATAATTTTTATCGAACTTATTACAAATAATAAACTAAAATGCAAGAAAGAGATAGTCAGAAAAAAACATAAATAATTAGCAATTACTTTGTTTTGTTTTTCTGATTGACTACCGGAATAGCTACTTATTATCATACAGTATGAACATATACCCATAAAACCAAAATAGATACAACATAATTGTTCAACGTGTAGAGGCTTTTTTTAAATTTTTGTTAAGTTCCAATCCTGTTCATGGAAGTTACACCATAGCTCCTTGTCCTACAGGTTGGGGGTTGGACATAGGACATAATAACATTATCCTGGAAAAAATACCTTAATATGAAACCAAAACAAAGTCTCAGAAAATCGGACTGTCTCAACATGGTAACAACCTTGGCTTTGAATCACGGACTATACATTGGATCTAGAAATGTACGTAGTTTAAACAGACCAGGAGCCACAAAAATGGTAGTCAAAGAACTAAAAAGGTGTAACATACCATTAAAAGTCATTCAAGAAGTAAGTTGGCCAGAAGGTGGTGAAACCATTATCGACGACAATACACTATTCTACTCCAGGAGAAATGATAAAATACAACAGCCGGAAATCAATCATAAACTTCACCCCGATAAAGGAAAGGATTAATGAATAACGAGTCGAAGATCATTGGTTTAATATCACGATAGATGAAGAGGTGAAGGACGAACCGAACAACATGTATCTGAAGCCTTCAAAGTTCGAAACTAGCAGAAACAGAGCTTTCTTCTCTCTTTCAAAGGTACTATTCTCTACTACTATTAATCCTGAAAAATCGCAAACTAAGGGAGTACAATGCTGTGATAAAGCCAGTTGGACACTTACCAGCACTCTAGAATTAAAGTATCAAAAGATTTGAATGAAAAATCCTTCGAACGATAACCGGAGCAATCTGGGATCAGACTACTAACACACGGAAAAGAAAGACCAATAAAGAATTGCTTACAGGAACTGGCCAATCAATATCCCATGATAAGAAGGCACAGAGGTTAATATCAGCGGGGCATGTAGCTCGTAAGAATCCATCTAATCCACTTAACAATAAATGCCTCAATAAAAGGCAAAAGACCACGTGGAATGCCGAAAAGTAGATTGAATCAACAAAGATGCAATAGAGCTGCATGGAGATAACTGGAAAGAAATAGATCAAAACAGGCAAAGATGGAGCAGGCTTGTTAAGGTGACAAAATATCTACAAGATCTGTAATGCCAGTAGAAAAAACAAAAAAATGAATAATGGTGATCATTTAATGTTAGTTAGCAGAATTGTGGAGAAATAATAGATTGCTGATGAAATCTTATAGATCAGAAATTTTGTTTCCTGAAATGGCATATAATTAAAAAAACAAGTAAAACTGCAATAATAATCAAGCTAACATACCAGTAACAGAAAAACTGCATTCATCAGTGGCAATAGAGTTATTAGGTGTTGGTTCAGGTATAGTAACATCTAGGATTAACTCTTCAAGAGACCAACTATTAGCTTGTGCAATACATTGCCTAGTGGCGGTGATATAGGCCTCAGGGTTCATCAAACCACCCAACCAGATTGGAGTATTCTAAATTTAAAAAAAGAAATATATTAAGAAATAATAAAATGTTTAAACGAAAATAACTGTGAAATAAAAAAAAATGTAACCTTAATTTCAGATGGTCCTCTTTGCGAAGCAAGCTGTGAAATTGTGTCCAACTGTTTCACCCTGTTGCTGAAGTCTGTTATCCATTGAATAACAGTACACCCTCTAGGAACAGTATACCTATACAAAAAACAGGAAAATAAATTCAAGGCCTTCATAATTTTAGGTGATGTATGAGATTTTTTGGGATCTTGAAAATAAAAAAAAAAAAATTAAAATTTATTTTTAAGAGCTCTTATTAAAAAACAAAGAAAATGGAGTAAAAGTAGAGCTACATATAACATGAAAGTACAATTTGATGATTCGGACTTTAAATATGTATCTCACGTTCGAAAATCTGAAATCTTTGGTACATCTTCAATTCAGAACCCGGATTAAACAATGAGAATAATAGTCATAAAATAACTGTTTCAAATGTTAATTATAATGTGATTTTTATATAACAAATAAGATAGCAATTGGAACACAGGATAACAAAGTGCTATTGATCAGACCTTCAACAAAGAATCTAGGATGATTTACTCTAAAATAATTTTAAGTCAGCCAATAATAAATGCTTACCAAAATCTAATGTCATTCTAATTGTTAAACCATCATGATAAAATTTCTATTAACCAATAAAAATTTATCTGAATTAGCTCATAATATTCTTATCTTGACAATAATTTTTATTTTTTACTTAAGTACCCACCCGCACCCTCGATTATTACTGTCCAATTTTTTTTTTTTACTTCTACTTTAAATATAAATTAGCAAATATCACAAATCCATATTAATTAAAATTAACAGCTAATATTAATCACTTACCTCCTCCAACCTGAAGGGAGAATTCCTTTAACGAGATCACTCAGCATGGTCCTATGGTAGTTGGTCTGTTTCTTCTCTCCCTGTGTTGAAATTCGCTTTATTAAATTAAGTTACTAAATGGAAAGAAAGTTCTTAAGAAACCCAAAATAAATTTTGGATTGCTAAGTATAGAGTAAAGGCACAAATATGTTAAACAACATCAATCTTAAATAAAACAAACATTTTTTTTTAAAGTCTAAAATGAAATGATATAAAATTTTATAAATATTGGATTAGTATTAGTATTAGAAAGGAAGATGCTTTAATATAACTATTAGCAGTTTCATAAACTGGAAATAAATTAAAGAAAAAATATGAGAATTAAGTATTGAAAACAAACCTGACAAATGGCAACTACATCAGTAAGATCATGAATAACATCCCTAAGAAGTTTGGCCCCGGAGTTGACTTCACGCTCAAAGTACCGGTATAATGGATCCTTGATGTTTTCTACCGTCCTCCTCAATGTCTGTAAAACAGAGTAAATATAGTTTACATTCTATAACAATAAAAATATTTATATTATAACAATTTAAAAATAAAATTATGTCATAATGTCTATAGAACACATTCCATTAGAAATATGAGTGATTTGTGTGCAGCGTTTCTCCGAGATTACTGGGCCATTGTTTTGAAATTTTGTATATATATTAGAGGTCAACTGAGGATGATATCTGGGAACTCAACATTACCATCAGACCTTTCTTATCAAAATGGTGGCCAAAAAAATCTGTCACAATGGACTGTAGCTCCAAAATTGCTTCAACGATTTTAATGAAACTTGCCTCAAGTTTGTACTTGAAGCCCTTTAAATTAAGCCTATATGTTTTCCCAGAAAGAAGCTAGAAAAAAAGTTACAATGAATGCAGAATTTTATTTGTGAATAACTCAAAAAGTATATACCTCAAGGTTGATTATATGTAAGCTCATTTGAAAGTTAATGGAATTTCATAAAAAAAAAAAACAAAACTCAACCAAATTCGATGATTCGGTGAAAATAATACAATGCAAAATAATAGATAATATTAAATCATTGAATTTATAATAAAATAAGTACAAAAGAGTGGCAACTTTTAATATGTTAATTTGAAAAAGGATAAATAACCTCAAAGCAGAACAGAATTAATAGATGAAGGAAATTATATTGGATGGATCCATAAGTTCGTTCAGTTTTTGTTAGTAGTGTGAATTGTTTTTCAAATATCTAGTTTTCTTGGCCTTATTTGACAATAATAATACTCATCAGAAAGGTCAAAATCTGCGATTCGAATCTGTTGTATTAGGGTTGTATTGGCACTAGTTTTCTATATGCTACAGTGTAATAAATATGTGAAATGATAAAAGTACATTTTCAGCATATTTTGCTTTTTTATTTTAAAAAAGACAAGCAAACTTTGGAGGCCAACCAAAAGAGATATAAGGTATACCTGGACGATGCCTTAATATAATGTACTGCTCAAAAATGGAAGGCCAAGTTTCGTTCTGGAGATATGAATCTTGAAGATGCACCCCTCTATGGTCGCCCTACTGAGGTTGTTTTGAGTGATATGAAGACTCTAATCGAACAAGACTGCTCGCTACGGGTATGAGAATTTGTGGGAGACACTGAAAATAGGTTTTAGAACTGTTCAAAGGCATTTAAAACAGCTTGGCCAAGTCCCAATCAGCAACTCTTTTCTGAATCAGCATGTAAAGGACCCATTTCTCAAACGAATAGTGACGGGTGACAAAAAGTGGATTATCTGCAGCTAGCTAACGAAATTGGACAGAAACACCCAGAACTAGACAATCGCAAAGGTGTTGTATTCCACCATGACATTGCCAGACCACACTACAGTAGTAAAATCAAACAGCAAAAGTTAGGGCAGCTTGGCTGGGATATTTTATTATACCTACCATATTCTCTAGACCTTGCACCATCCTACAACCATTTAATCCGGACCCTCCAAAACTCCCAAGGGAAAATCGTTCATTGGTGAGAGAGAAGTGAAAATGTATCTAGATTAGTTTTTCGCTTTTAAGCCTCACATGTTTTACGAGAGCGGAATAATGAAATAATGCAAGAGGTCATTAATAAAAACGGCAAATAAATTATTGAGTAAAATTTATTCTTTATATGAAAAAAAACTTGTTTGATTCCACCCAAATGAACTTATGGATCCACCCAATATTTCTTCAAAGTCAAATATTATTTTTAGGATTTGAAATTTACAGATATTCTATAATAAATTTATATTTATTATAAAATAATATGTTAATATTTTGATTTATCTTGTAATTTCTTGAACTTTAGGACAAACTAATTTAATACTTAACAAAATAATATTGTCATATTATACAGTGCATTTCTCGACATAAAAATAAATGTGAGACGTAAGTACCTGAAGACTTGTTGGTAATAACTGGAGCCAGGTGAGAGCGGAGTTGTGCAGTGTCCTCATCCAAGCAGGCCTGCCCGGGTCAGTTCCTGGCTGCAGGGACGACGGAGGTCCTGACTCCTGTTCGGTGTAAGCAAGCTCGTCCTCGTCTTCCAGCTGTTGCATCTTGAGAAGTTTAATAACCAAGTCAGTACCTGAAAAAGATATTCATTCTGAGTTATATTGTAAACAGTACTTCCTTATCCTATTCTGAATTCAATATCCATAGATGTTCAATGGTCATAGCTACATTAAAGTCAACCATTATCATCTATTACTTATACCTCTCTTGGGTATTCAAATAAAATAAGCAACAGCAATACATTTTTTAAAAAAAAGAATGGGTTAAATAACAACCTAATTTGTGTAATACTGACCTTTATTGGTCAAAAGAACTTTCTCTGCATTATTAGGCAGACCAAGCCATGATGGAGTTTGTCTATCAGCCAAAGACTCTATCCAATGTAAGAAATGGTCCCTTCTCGTTCCATCTGGCATTGTTATATGCCTGAAAATTTATAATTCGACAATCGGTATATTTTTTTTTTAATACAGTCAAAATTCATTAAAATAATAATAGTTAATAAATAGTAAACAATATAGCAATTCTCCAACAACCTACCTCTGACCTCCTGGAGCTCCAGCATCAACATTGGCTACTAATGCGAAGTCTGCCTCAAAGCTTCTCGGTGTGAACAATTTTGAAAGGAATGAAGATAACAACCTCTGATCAAAGTCATTATCTATTTTACCACCATAGATACATTGTGATAAAAGAGTAACCAAAGCATCCCAAGGTACCTTCTCGGGTGGCAACTGCGTTCTTCCCTAAAACAAAACACATAATTTTTATTATTAGTTTTGGAAGAATTTACGGATGAAAATGCAAAAAAGTTATTGCATTCATAACTTAAAAAAATGGTTAGAAGTATTTATTTCATTAAATATAATAAAAAATAAATAAAATAATTGAATAGTTCAATTTACTGAAAGTTCATTATGTCTTAAAACCTTCAAGAGATGAAAAAGAAAAACATATTTTTCCATATTTTTATGTTAGATGCGATATTTAACTAAGATGCGATTGCTACAGAAGAACTAACTAAAGTGTAACTGTACAGATTTGACACTGAGAGAAAAATAATATTACAATTAGGTAATTATAAACTATTATAGTCAGTTGAAACTTAGGATCGTTATAAGTGTATCTTTTTTTTTTTGTAATTTGAACACCACGGGTTGAATAAAAATAAGTTCAATTTACAAATAGATATAATTTGTAAATTGTTTCAAACTGATACTTTACCTCTCCTGAAATGTGTTCTAAACAAAATTCATTTCTAATTCCCTAATAATTTATCATTAAAAATGTTGAAGTTGAAATCAAATTTTAGTGATTAGAAGAAATAATTGAAAAATGTATTTGGTAGCTCACTAAGATTATTTGCGATATTGAAGAAGAGAACAATGTATAATAACGACAGATGAGCTAGATTTTGATAGCTTTTGACCGGACAATCCAACAATTATCAGTTCTATTTTAACACTTTAGTATGTACTCAATACATAAGAACTTATAAAATAACTGATTTGGTGTGATCTATTAAACAGTTTTGAAAACTTCATAGCTGACGACATTGCAATATTATTTCCCTTTTAATACAAGGAACGATGTTCACATAGATTTTAAATCAGCTACAAGATGTGCTGAGTACCAATTGATTTTTAATGATACTAGGAATTAAATTTTTTCTGTCCTTCACATTAATTTGAATAGCTACATCATGTAGCTTCCAACAAATAATTGGCTGTAACATTCTAGGCAAATATAAATCTTCCTTAATATGAAATTTCAGTTTTGAATAACTTTTGTCTTTCAGCTAGGGTGTTCACATACAATCACAAACCATTTTTTAAGAGTTTATTTGATTATTTGAACTCAGAGGACCTTAAAACGTGTATTTCCATTGAAAAATCGGGTTTAAAATTTTTAACGAAAACAATACTTATGCTTACTACATAATTTATAAGTAGGTACGTAATAAAAAAATATAACATATGAAAATACAACTTACGACAGCTGTGGCATCAATCCAAGTATCTAAAGTATCACATGCCACCCTAAGATCTGACTCATTGAATTCATAATGCTTGGCCCAGCCAAGGGGAGCATATCGCAACCTCTCTTGCACAATAGCATTAAACCAGGCCAGCAAGAAGTACAATCTCGCTCTTTCACTGGGTGCCTTCATCATTCTTGAGGCAGGAACAGTGCTGAATGTCCTTAATAGGTTTGCCCTGATTCCTGGAGGTGGTTCAAAGACGAAGATGCGACCTGCTCTCAGAAGATTAACAGGAACTTTAGGATTAATTTCCATTGTAAGGAACAGCCGGAAGCCTGAGTGCGGTTGCAGCGAGTGAAGTTTTTTCTCCAATTGTACAAGCCACTGTGGAGCGAGGTGGACATTCTTAAGCAGTACCCACCTAAAAAAAAAAAAAAAGTAGTGCCCACTGAGAATAAAACTGTGGTATTTGAATTAACATTAATAGAGGATCACTGTTTTATTAATTGAATTAAATTTTTTTTCAAACTTTCCGGACAAATCTCATTAATTTCAAATCGGATTTCATACATTAAAAAATAATTTAAAATCACATAACAGAAGATATATCAATTATTCTACTCTTTAGATGTTATCTAATTCCATCTAACTACCAGGTACCATAATCTGAATCAAGAACAGTCTGGGAAAAAAGCCACAACATTTGACTCAGACATAAAATATTTGACTGTAACTTTTTTTTTTATTCAAATGTTTCCTAAAATATTGTTAGGAAAAATACTTATAAATCAATAAATCCTGTTGCATAATATTTCAAAATTTCTACAAAATTATGTTGACATTATTAATATTCCACATAGTAAAATTGTAAGTGTTAACCATTGCATCTATTTAACACATATTAAAAAATAACAATAAGTATTATCTGCTCTCCAATCCATATAAACAATCGAGTATCAATATCAATAAAATTATAAAGTGAAGTAATGCCTGCAGTTACAAAATAGCTAGATGAAATTGGAAAATGTATGTTAATGTTAAAAAACAATGTAAGTTGTACTACAGGAATTAACAGAACTAAGTGCTCACCTTCCTGATCTCACAGCCATATTGATTATAGAGTCTGCTTGTGAGAATCCTTCAGCAGAACCAATAGCTATAGATGCCAACTGTTTACCCGATTCAGCAGCCAAGTCATCAACCCTGTAAAAATTAAGAGTAGCAAAATTAATAAACTTTAACTAAATGCAAAAATTCATGAACACAAAAACAGTTTTTGTTATAATTATGTCATATTTTATTTCTTCCAGGGCATTGGGGCTGTTCCAGTTATTTGTTTTATTTTTTTAATGGTTTTTACCATTATAAATACACCCTTATAAATGAACTCTAACCAGAGCGATAAAGTTAATAGAGGTTATGGTATTTTAATACATTATAGGTGATCATTTCATAAAAAAAGAGAGGGGGTTAAGTTTTTGAATTTTTTGGTCGATCATAATGGTTTATTATTGAAAATAATAAACCAAAAATATATTAAAATTGCGACATCTCTACTAATAGAGCTTTGATTTCGATGAAACTTCCTTCATCATTTTTTAGGAAATTTAAATATCTTTGAAACATCTTATCACAATATTCACAAAAAGAGAATACTTTTTGAGTTATTTGGAATTTAATTTTACAATCCCTCGTAACTTTTTTCCAGCTTCTTTTTGTTGAAGTATATTATATAGATAAATTTGAAGGGAATCGAGAAAATGACTTTAGCGAAGTTTCATTGAAATTGGTACATTCATTTAGGTTTATAGCAACGCAGATTTTTCAGCCGCCATTTTGAAAGTAAAAGGGAGATAGTAATGTCGTTGAAGGAGGATAATCCTCGAGTCAGCTCTGATTTTATATCTAAATTTGAGAAAAATCGGTCGAGTGGTTTTGGATAAAATGTGCCGACAGCGGACGGACAAAAATTTTTTTATTCGTTTTTCGAATTATATAAATCTTGAAATGTGAAATCTCAAATTTTGAGAGGGGGTTAAGTTTTTGAATTTTTCAGTCGGTCACAATGGTTGATTATTGAAAATAATAAACCAATAGACTCAATAGAATGACGGACAAACAAACAGGTTAAAAAGGACAAAAAGGCTTGTTCACAGAAATTAAATTAATAAATATATAGTTATCCCTTAAATTTAGATGTTTGAATAACAATTAATTTACATTTCCATAATTCAAGAACTGACAGTTTCAGTTTTACACAGTTAAAAAAAAAATGTTTCTTATGTCACTATTTATGCTTCTTTTTTCTTATTCTTGCATTTATTTTTTATCTGTACTTATAGTTTATATTAATATGATCTTTTCTTATAATAAATTTATTGGTTTGGATTAACGCTACTTATTAATTAGATATTATTTCACAAGAAAAAAAAAGCAACAGTGAAAAATCAGAGAACAAAATAATTTAAACAGATAAGGACAAGACTTGGATTTATATAGTTTTGGTTTATGAATTAAGAGTGCAAACCGAAAGATGAGCTTACTTCTGTGATATTTTCAGTCTACCATTATAAATAACAAAAATAAATTTAATTTATTTGCTGGATAAATTTTAAACAGAATTATCCCTCAGGCATGAAGTAACATTAAAAATAAGTCTGGTACTTGTTGCGTTCATAAAAATGTTGCAAATGTTTGCCGATTGTTTTATACTGAATAGATATAGCTCCTGTAACCTATGATGTGTTTATTATTATTAAAAAAATTATTTATTTTAAAATTTACATCAACTGGATAAAACTTAAACAAAACCACTCAAATTTAATGTAAGTGTACTGTGGCTGCAGTTCTTTTTGCATTATTTTAGAAGAATAACTAAAAACAACATTAAATTTAGTCCAAGTTATGATTCTCAAATATTATACTGAGAAATAAGAAATAGTTGTTATATACAATCTACACTGACAGGCAAAAAATTCCACCCACTTGATTTTTTTATGTTTTCATCTAAAAATACTTCTGCTTTGTATTGGTCTATTGTTTTTAATGAATAAATAGGTAATCTTTTTGTTTATTTTCAATATAGAGGACAATAACCCTTATCCTTAATTCAACCAAATGATTCTAGATACCAATGTTTATTTTCTATGGAATCAAAATGTTTATTCAGTATCATTAGTTCAGTGCCGTTTCTTGCAGCACATTTCTTAGTCTCTGGCTTTTAATTTTTTCAATATTAAGTTTAAGAATGCCTCTTAGTGCAGAGGATGTTGCGCGTGGTGTGGCACTTATTGATGATGGACATTCCATTAGATATGCAGCTAATGCCATCGAAGTTCCATATGAAACTTTACGAGACGCCGTCAGGCGTTTTCGGGAAACTGGTTCTTACAATAGAAGGCCCGGTTCTGGACGGCCTAGGGTAACAGAACCACGGGATGACCGGTTTTTGACTTTAAGAATTTTATGAAACCGGCACCTAACCGTTGTTCAAGCGATTCATCAGCTCGAAGAAGTTTGAGGTGTGCAAATTTCTGAATGTACCGCTCGGAGAAGATTAAATGAGTATGGATTAATGGCTTTTCGTCCAGTAAGAGGACCAGAGTTGAGCAGAACTCACAGAGTAACACGGCTGGCTTTTGCTCGAGAACACAGCCATTGGACTATGGACGAATGGAGTGCTGTACTTTTTACAGATGAGTCAAGATTCACTCTTCGATCTCCAGATGGGCGTGAAAGGGTGTGGAGAAGAATTTGTAATTTTTCCCAGAGCCAACCTTTCCAACGTGGTCCCTTAATGGTGTGGGCTGGGATTTCAATGGAGCGCCGCACAGAATTGATTGTTGTTCGTGGAGGGTCTTTGACGGTCATTCGCTATGCAGATGAGATTTTGGAACCTCATGTGTTGCCTATCCTCAAAGAAATCGGCGATCGTTCTATTCTAATGCACGCCCACATGTCGCCCGCATAGTGCAGACGTTCCTTCAACAGGAGAATATTGAGGTTTTAGCCTGGTCAGCATGTTCTCCAGATTTGAACCCCATTGAGCATTTATGGGATAACCTCGGAAGACGAATAAGAGCGCGTGCAACACTTCCTGATACACTGCAGGACCTTGTAAGGGTTCTTTGGGATAAATGGGCTATCCTCCAGCAAATGGATATTTCCTGACTGGTGGAAAGTATGCTGAGGCGTCTTCAAGAAGTAGTGAAGGCAAGAGGAGGAAACACACGCTACTAAACGATGATGTAATTAATTTCTTTTAGAATAATAATGGTACGTTTTTAAATTTTTTTTTCTCTAATCTTTCATACCCAATCACATTTTGATTATTAAAGGTAAAAAAGATTATATAATTCCATAAATACTAAGTATTATCTACAGATACCATGTATTATATACAAATACAACTTTTTTTACAAGTGGGTAAAATATTTTTAGATGAAAACATGAAAAAATCAAGTGGGTGGAATTTTTTGCCTGTCAGTGTATTATAGATCTACAGTAGCTGTAAAATCTATTATTAATGGGACATCTTCGTCCCTACTTCCTAGGATGACAATTACGACAATAATAAGAAAATCTAAATTAATACCTTGAAGTGGCATCAAATCCAGGCACAGAGCATAAAAGAACAGGCACGCCAGCGGTCATTTCAGATTCGACAATATGAGCCAAATCTAATTCCCTCTCAGCTCGAGCTGTAAAGCCTTCACCGAGCACCGCACTAACAAGCCAGGCACCGGCTGCAGTCACCCTATCTCCTCGTACAGCCTAGAAAATTATATGACATATTACAGATGTTAAAATATATGCATATCAGAACTATATAAAAAATATAAAGTCGTTAAATATATAAATTACATAAATTCTAAAGTGAATACCTCTAACAATTAATCCTTCCTTCTCTCCTCCTAACCAACTCTCTCAAAAATCTTACATTTAAAATATTAAACATAACACCCTCTTTCCTCCATTAACCTCTTACTCTAACCTTGATACAACTAATTTATTGATACAATTAACTAACGAAAGCTTATTTTCAAGTTTCTTGAAATCTACTTACAATAGGCATGAAATTAATAATTTAATGATAGAAAAATAATGTTTTATTTTCTCGTAAAAGTAACTTATATTCTTACAATATAATCCAAGGATTAAGTAAATTGAATAAAATGAGAGAAATTGCTTAAAAAATACTTAACTTTACTGACTGAATTCATTGGAACAATCTAATGGAAATGTAAGATTCATACATATACAAATCAATTTTTAAGAATTAAGAATTTGTTTTGACTTGTGGAAGAAATTTTTCACTACTTCAATTCTTACACTTTGAAGGATTTGTTGCCAACACTTACTATTCTCTATTTTACATGGAATAACTAATAAAAATGAGATACTGAAGACACAGTGGACGTATAGAGACCCATGCTTCCCTGTATTTTTTCAAATAACAAAAGATGAGTTATTTTCACACTATAAACACAGGAAGAGAGTACGTGCATATGAGCTACGAAAATCTCTGAGATTCGTCTAAATAGGGAAGTTTTTATTATTATTTGTCAAAAGTTGTCTCCGCCTCCCTTATTTCTCTTTTATCCTTTTCTAAATAAAACTTTCCCAAAACCTTTCCTTTACTCTACTTCTTTTTTTTTAAATCCTAGTTCGGACTATTGCAGTGTTAATACTGGAAGTTCAGATTATTGAGATTGAACTATATTATGATTTGTTGTTATGGTTCCTGCAGTTGTATTCAACCTCTGATGGGAGAGACAATTTATAAATAAATAAAAAGTAAAACCAAATAAATTTAAAAAAAAGAAGTATTTACTTGAATTAGAAGAAGCCTGTTCATAGCAGTTGCGATTGAAGATAAGGGTTTGTCTTCATGCCATAATGTTGGAACATTCTGCTCTGGTGTTGATTGCTGGAGCCACGCTACAAACTCAGGCATTTCATTAACTTTCTTCATTAATTCTTTGAATTGTGGTAGCCTGAATGATGAAAAATAAAAATTGTGAATTGTTGGAAAAAATTACTAAAAACAATAGGTAACATAACAGGTTACATTACCGACACAAAGAAGTAAAAATCTCTATAATTTACCTATTGCTTAACCTAATGAGGGCTTCTAGTTGGTCACTGGACAACCCTTCCAGATGGGAAGCTCCTCCACTTGAAGCTATGACTCCCTCTTTGCCTCTGAGGAAATGATGGAACTCAGCTTCCAGCTGGTCTTCTTGGGGCAACCCACGGAGATATATTCTAGATAATAACAATGCAAGTGTCAATCTGTCAGTATGCAGCATACCTCGAGCCACTCTCTCATAGCAAACCTGCAAGGATACATTTATATGAAAACGTGCAATTTAAAACAACCTAACTATTAGAATGACTAAAAAAATAGATGATGGCAGTTCTTGAAAGGAGAAACAAACTCATATTTCTCTTTAGAGAGATGGATGGTCAGCTGAATATAGTAAATCAGGATAATTAATAATCATAAATCAGTTTAATGACTTACAATAAAAACAAAACATTTTGTTATTATGCTACATAATACTTTTTTTTTTTATTAAGTTCCATCTATTTTGGTAAGAAATTTTGTGAAAAGGCTGTCTGCAGCTGGTCATGAAACAATATTGTTTGGATGACTGCAATTGTTTTGATTGGAAAGCCCATTTTAAATTTAAAAAAGAAAAATAAGATGAAACCGACATTAAAATTGGAAAAATATAAACAGCTTCAAATCTGTTCGAAAAAGTGTAATTACATCAATTTAAACTTCTGAAGATATTTTTAAATAAAAAAATCATTGATCAATAAGATAAGCTATGTCCACAAAATTGATTATATGCCTATGGATGGCAGACAAATACCTTAAGGGAGGTCCTTGTGGCTATAGGTTATGCTGGGAGATTACTCTCAAATTTACCATTTAATTTTGATTTATTATACAATCTTTCAATTGCATGCACTAATTCTTAAATTGATTGTTATTTAAATAACTAAACGATGTATACACATTAAAAGCATCTCCCTTAACTTGTTTATCTGTACCTTTCCTAAAAATAGATGTATTTATTATATTGATATATCTCTGAAGTTTTTGTAAGTCTTCTATTTAATTAATAATAATATATTCAGAAAAAAAATATTTTTTTAACTCATAATAATCAATAACAGCACAAACTTAGCTACTAAACCTGTAGTTTACACCCAAATCTTATCCAGAACATATTAAAAAAAAACCACTTTAAATCGAATAATTTAAATGACACCTCAGTAAATTAAAAAAAAAATAGATTAATAAAAGTATCTACTTACAGCAAACAGCTGTTTCGTTATCACACCCAGCCTCTGGGTGTGGTCAGTAAGTCCATCCAGAGATGGATTAGAGAAAAGAACAGCTGAGAAAATATCAAGGAAGAACTTGAGGCTGTACTGGTAGAGGAAGTGTATTTGGTGTAAAGAATCGAGGGTGAAGTACATGTTGCTGCATGCCTGTAAATAAAACAAAGTATAGTAAGTTAATGGTTTGAAATAAAATGCACACACAAACAAAAATAATTGAATAAAACAATACCAAGTAAGCAAAATTTTTATGTTTTAACATTAGTCTCATCTCTTGATTATGCTCCAATTCTAAAATAACCTATACACTTATGTTAAAGATATTTACTAATATCAAAATTATTATAAGGTACTGCATCTTATACGTAGATATAACATATCAGAGACTATCTCTATGGCACAATCAACTTTTTTGAACTAACAGACAAAAATTTAAATTTAATACAATACTTAGCGACAAAGTTATGTAACAGTTGTGATACACTATTGTGTTATAATTTGCAGGCATTAATTTTCTAAATAAAATACAATTACAAGGTCAAATTAACCCTAGAATGATATAATAATTATTACACATCATATACAAAAACTTATTGTAATGATAATGGTAAGCAATTGTTTGAATTACAGTCACCATTTTCTATCTCATAGCATGAAGAATATTTTACCCCGTTTATATTGGGAAATAAGCGAGATAAGTATTTTGAATAGTGACAGTTCCTTACAAGGAGAAAATGTTATGGAGCAGCTCTGAGGCTTTTATCTCCATGCAGTAACAGTGACATTGACGCTAAACGTTTAAAAAGCTATAGGAACAATTTATTTTAAGCATTACCCAAATAATATTTGTTTTAATGAAGAGAAGAATAGATGGGGTGGTCAGCCAAAAAGGAAGGCAAAAATAAATGTTAACATTTATTTTTTACATATGCCGATGTTTCGACCTAAAATTCAGGCCTTCATCAGGGCTAAGAAAATAACCAGATAACAAGGTATGAGAAACATAAGTAATGATGGTAAAAAAGATAATAAAAAATAAAAAAAAAAATAGAAAAAATAAAATAGATAAATATAAAGTAAAATGAAATTGTTAGAATAATGACTAAGAGCTAAGAGATAAATAATAAAAACCGTTACAAAGTGTGGAATGATGAAGTAGGCATAATCAAAAAGGGTGACTAAAGTGTTACAATGCGAATCTTAGAATAAAATGTAAAACATAAAAAAGAATATGAAGTTATATAAGTAATGAAAATAAATATTAAAATTAAAACATTGAGAATGGAGTAGTTTTTGACTGAACACCCCAACTATTCTTCTCTTCATTATCCACGACAGTCAACCAATTACCAATTATGAATATTTGTTTTAAGATAATTTTATCAGTCGAAACTAAGCCAATATTATATATTTTGAAGCATAATAATGAAATGACTAACCTGTGATAGAGGCTTATACTGTTGTGAAACAGTCTCTATTTCCCCGATTACCCTATCGGTTTCTTCAACCTTCTTACTGATCTCTGCAGCCTCTTGTTTCAGTGTCTCTAACGTAGTAATCACAGAGTCGTCATCTAAGATCTTACCCTTGGCTTCGTTCAAAGCTCCCAATAAAGATTTCTCTAGCTGTCTCAATCTCAGATGGAATTCACCTAGAATAATAAATAATAAATGATAAATCTGTCCTATGAAGTTTATTTTGGAATGAATTTAGACCATCACTCTATGGCTAAAATAAGTTGGCAACCTTCAGAATAATAAAAATAACTTTATTTACTGGCTATTACAGCAATGATAACTATTAAATAGAAAAATATATCAACTAGATAGATTATTTAATTACAAGCATACCTTGCAATTTAAGAAGGTCAGATCTCTTCTCATCAATATCAGATCTTTCAGCTTTAAGTACTTGGTTCAAACATTGCGACTGCAATGAGGATCTGTAATCACGAACAGTATTACGATAAATTTTTATTTGATGAAAAAGAAACAACTATCGAAGATCACATGATATACAAACCTGGTGACAGTGAAATTGACGAACGTAACCCTGGAGCAGATATCTGGTGGGAATTCAACGGTTGGATCTCTAGTAGAGAGGAATATCACAAATGATGGTGACAAATCAATATCCTGGTCTCCTAATGATATCAATACTCTGCCACCAGTTCGTCTCACTTCACGGTTGAGTACAGGATTCAAAATAGGATCATAATTTTCCACATCCTATAAAACAATTATATTCAAATAAAAAAAAATTGAAAGTATTTATACTCCAAATTTATTTGTTTTTTTTTTAAATTGCTTTTGATTAATCAATATTGTGAATTTTACTGGAATCATAAATGTTTTAAATATCTACTAGCATACCCTAGCGAGAACTCTACCTAATGCATTTGACGTATAAGCGACCTCAGGGAAACTTTTTTTTTTATGTAAACAATATATTATCAAGATAGTTTATATAACAGACAAAAATTTAAAGCAACAATTTATTTAATAAACTTTTCTCATTGGAAAATATCTCTAAGTATTTAATAGTTAAGCAATAAGACAAATTTATTACTTCCAACTTATACTAATTCATTACTGTACTCACTCAAGATCTATTTGTTTGACTTTATCTCATTAAGAGTATAGAAGCCATACCTGGGTATTTTTTATTCATTGAACTTATCAAAAAAGAGCCTAATAGTTCCATAGGAACTATATCAATCTCAGTGACTGTGTTAAAATCTTCAAAATACAATTTAAACTAACTCAATTCACTGAATTTGAAACCATCTGAATTTTGAAACATTCTAACTTTAATGAATTTCATTAAATATGTTGAAGAAATTTAAGGATTAAAATTTGAATTCATCACTTCTCCATAAAATTCCCTTTTGTTTGATACCTCTTTCAACAAAATACATCACTCTTAAAAGGGATCTATACTACCATATTATATAAAGTTTAAATATATGCATGTAGATATTTTTAAATAAATGTTAATTTGAATTTTTGCTAATTGAAACTAACTGTTGTAATGTTCAAATTACATAAACTACACTGTAATGTAAGAAGGGTGAAACTTTTTCAGATTAATGAACCTTAAGAGAGCATACCTGAACAAGTAAAGGATTTCCAAATCGAAGAGCAGACTCAAGATTTTTCCTGAATGAATCATCTAGGAAACTGGTCTTGGTGATTTTATCTCTGTATTCATTCATAATGAATTCTGTAGCTTGTCCTGATGGATCAATGATTAGTGGGTAACGGTTGAATCTCTGGAATAGAAGAATTTTTTTTTAATATAAATAAAACAGCAATATATACAATATTTGAAATTACAAATAATATTTCTATGAACTAACCTTCAACATAATTGCATTTTCAGTACAAAGATCATCGGTCGGCAGACTGTTTGCCTGCCACCTGAGTCTTTCATCAGGATTAGATAGGTATTCCGTAAGAGCTATGTCTTGCCTGAACTGGATACCCGCAGAACTAAGGTGCTCCGTCCACCGGGACAGAAGGTTATGTCGAGACTGTAAACAAAATTAAACTTCGATTAATACCAGGTTAAAAGGCTAACTTTAAAAACAATAATTCATACTTAAATTGTCTGATTTTAATAAATCAGTTTCATTAACATTGCAGATTAACTAGGAATAAAAAAATATTTTACTTAAACAGGAAATAACAATAAATACAATCTACTTACGTGTTGGTCAAAATAACCAGCATATGCAAGGTAAGCTGAAGATAGTAAGACATCACCAATAATGGTCGCCATTTGAGACTTGAATGTTTCTGATGTGGCTTCCCATCTTGATCTTTCAAGACCAAGAGATTTCAGGAGAGCAATAGACCGATCAACCTAAAATTTAAGACATTCATTATATTTATCTTCAACACACAGTAATTGTATTGTCCAAAAGTATCTATAATAATATCTTTAAACATTACTTTTAATATAAAGTATTCTATATAAAGTATAGAAAATGTTTTCAAAAACTCAAAATTTGAAAAATTAGTTCAATTAATTAAAAAATGTCAGCACCTTATACCAACATATATATTTTATAATTTCTAATTAAAAAAGATACCTGCCTTAGCTTGAACGTTTTCTAAATCTTGCTTAATCGCAAGCCCTTCCTGTATTAGTTGGGCGTACTCTTCCTTGTAAGCTGCTATACTCTTCTCCAACTGCGCAATGAGTGCTTTTGTATCTTCTCCTTTTTGTTCATTCTCACCAGCCTGCTCTTCTAATGATCGCAATTCTTCCCTCAGTGGTTCCACTTTCTTTAACATGTCTGCATAACTGATCTATATAAAAAAAAAGAAAGAATAAATTAAACACAACCGTGGTGTTTTTAGTTTTGTATGGACTCGCCATCCTCAGCCAAACAGTGAGTATAAATTATAAGTATATAAAGGAAATAATAATTTCTACAATAACATACCTGGGCAACGGCCCACTTCACCATGGGCCCACAAGCCATACTGGCCCTGTTAACTTTTTCAAATGTGTATTCTGGGTTACTCAGGTAACGGGTATGCATCTTCTCTCTAACTTCATCGCTATTAGAACATAATAAAATTAGTTTAAACTTGAATTAATAATAAAATAAAAAAATCATATCTCAAATACCAAAATAAAAAATTTATTAATTTATTTCCAAAAAAAAGTTCATAAGTGGTAGCCCTAAAAGGCAAGAATATTTATTAACCACATTGAAACAGTACTTTTATTTATCAAACTACTTAACATAAATATATTATAAAGAAAAAGCAATTTAGTTTTTAGTGTGGTAAATAAATAATACTGTAACACAAAATAAAATACTATGATCTATCACACATTCAGAATGAAAGAGGCACAACTTTCAATTTTTTATCTCAGAAAATATAATTGGTGGACCCTAATCACCCTATATCCCAATTATTAATCCAAACAAATAGACACAATTGATGAACTATCGACATGTGTTAAGACTGGTTTGCACAATTAAGTTTCTAAATCTACGTCTTGACTAAGGCATTATATACCTATTGCATTTTTCCTCCAGGTGTACCAAGAAAGTAACGTTACTTTGAAATCAATGTGGTATCAGTGTCACAACCGTTCAATAACGAATACTCGTTTCTTAAGTATTGTACATTCTCATACCCATCCTTCTTGATAAATCATAAAACTATTGTATGCTCAATGTTTCTTTTCTTTTTTAAAAAATAAAATTACAAAAGAACTTAGTTATAATTTTAATATTATTATAACTTTACTAATACTTTTTGCAATAGGAAAAAGTCTAAGGACCGAGATTAATATATGTTCAACATATAGTGTGTGTTTCTTGACCAAGTAGGGCATTGTTATAGTTCAATCAAAATTTTGCAACATGTTGGAACAATTTAGTCTTGCAACTTATCAAAACCCGTTTATACAGTCAAGTTTTCTATTCAAAGTGATTCTCTTGAAGGCTTTAATGAAGAAACTTAATTGTGTAGATTGGCCTTTGGAGAAAACAAACTGGGGAGGGGAGAGGAAGCTTCCATACAGAACTTTGATTTGTGCCCTTTCCATTCTGTATGTGTATGAAGACATATATTTGAAGAACATATATGCACAAAAAAAAAATGTACACATTTCAGAATATTTTGATAAAAGTAAAATTACTTCAATTACAGACAATTATTTTTATTTTTATTAAAATAAATCTCAATTAAAGAGTTAATGGATGAAAAAAAAAAATTGATACAATGGTTTGGAATACTAAAACTCGCTTCAGTTGATGTTGAAAGATCTTTTAAAAGATTTTACTTATATAAAATAAAATACACGTATCAAGTAACATATTTTCTCTTTTAACTCTTTGTTTAACTTTTAACTCTCTTACCCTTTTAACTCAAACTAAAATTACAATCCCTCTCTTCTTCCCTCCCCCCCACCAATGTAAAGTATGGATTAAAGATACTCAATTATACAACCAAATTAGTAATAAAAAAAAAACATTGCTGCATTTATTTTAATAACTTTTTTTAAATAAATAAATATTACATTTAAGATTAATATAAATTTGATTGGTTAAAATAATAAGAATGCGTAATAGCTGAAAATAAAAAACAAATATTAGTAATGAAAATACTGAATAGGTATTTCAATAAGTTATAACAAATTATCCAATGAAACTTGCAAAGCAAATAATAAAGTAATATAAAAAAAAGTGCTCAATTTAAATAGAACAAGCATCAAATATATAAAAAGCAGTGGGGACATGCTACACAATAATAGCATAAGCAGAATTTACGAACATGACATTCATTTCAACATATCAAACAATGTGTATAAAAGTTATGTAGTTTGAATGGATATAGGGATAGATACATAATAACATTTCTATCATTTTACAACTTGAGGTAAATATCATTCTGATAAATTAAAATCACAAATGCTCATTTCGCAAACCAATTAACTTGTAATAAGCAAAAAATAATCTATCTCCAAATGCAATTGATATTTTCTAGTAATAATTAAATCTCTATCTTTAAATATTAACTATATAAGACAGAATAACGTAATACATGGAATGAAAAAAAAAAGAAATGATATAGATATTACATGAATGGTCATGATACCATTAGGAAACCAGGTGGTACGGTACTGCAAATACTAAGGGGACACAGGTTTGATTTCCGAGAGTTTGGAAGGTTTCCGTCTGAAGAAGTTAAGGCCACAAACAAGGATCTTTGGAACTCGGCCTTATGAGGCTGGTGAGTTGCAGATTGAATCAAGTAGCGATGGTCTTGTCTCAAGAATCAATATAAGATTATAGTGAATTTAAGAATGATAAGTCACTTTATACCTGATTATACATAATGGTAACTGGAAATAAGTTAATCTTTTCATAGGAATATTTAGCCAAATTAACTACTTTATAAATTAAACGAAAATAAAGAAAAATTATAATACATTAATTCGAAGAAATCAATACCATTGTTGTTCAGGCAGCAGCTTTGTTAAGGGTCATTCCATATCAAATAATCAAATGAAAAATAAATTTTGAACCTCCATCTCTCCAATTTACATGATTTTTGATACATTAGTTACACGGCCTAAATAGATAACAAATCTATGATTTAAATATTTTTTCTAGAGTAGTTTTTAAATATTACAGGAACAGCCAAGTTTTATAATAAAAAATTCTAGTAGATTTACAAACCAATAATGGAGGAGAAGAGAGATGCTTGATAGCTCTATGTAAAGTTTATTACATAAGCTTTTATATCATTTTCATCCATCATAAACTTTAAAATGACCAATAAAATATTCCTCTAACACCATCATTTGTAAATTTATAAGCATTTCTTATTATAAAAAAAAAAAAACCTAGTGAAATTTTGATGTTTCTGCAATTTTTAGAAATCATTACTTAAAACACTACTTGAGAAAAAACTATTTAAAAATAGTTTTGAAATGTATTTAATTGAAAGAATAAATATATAGAAAATCGTGTGAATTTATCAACAGTATACCAAGGAGTTTACAGGTAAACGAAGAAGCTCACACATAACACAGACCATTTTCAAAGAATTTTTATGCAATAGCGATCTTTGAGTGTTCTCTAATTAACTTACTATTCACCAGTCATTTTTGGTATGTTTTAATGAGAAAATAGAGTAAAACTAACTACTATTTTATTCCGAAATTAAAATCTATTACAGGACAGTCTTGATAATCCGAACGTATAGATTCCTAGTTCAGATTGTCGAAGGTTAAATTTAAATTATGGAAAAATAGCACAAGGTAACATTATATATATAACATCAGTTTAAAATAAACACATTATTTCTGAAATAAAATACAAAATAATATAAAAAATTTATTCCATACCCATACCAGCTTTTGAAATTATCAAGCTGACCTTACTAGCATTAAAATCTGCTATGTCACCCTTTTTGCAAAAATTATTAAAGAAAAATTTTGACTTTTCAGCTAATATATTCCCATAAATTGGATACCTCAGCTGCAAAAACCACATATAAAGAGATTCTTAAGCTTCTGGATGACCACATATTTAATGTTTTTTTTGAGACACAATACAATTTTGATACTACCACACGAAGCAATTCCTACGTACTGAGAAACAGCCATTTTCATTCCGTCTCTCGTCAGTCAACTTTAACTTTTTTTTTTCTTTCTAGTTCAGATTTCCAGGGGTTTAGGACCACTAAAGGTTCGGATTATTGAGACCGCCCTGTACTTTTCTAACTTTGCCAACAGGTCACAATTAAAAAAAAAAAAAACTAAATAGTTCAAAGGTTTTTATTCAAACATTTCGGGAATACTGTGAAGCTCTCTCCAGCATTTAATATCTCTTAGTATTTCTTGGGTAGGTCCAATTCGTAATCGTAAGTTATTTGGACTAATATTGAATGCTAAAGAATGTTCAATAAAGACTTTAAACACTTGTGACCAGTAGGAAAATTGGAGGTGAAACAGACTGTAATAAAAGGCCAAATACGTGAACCAAAATGAAAAGTCCATTAAAATATTATTTCTACAACTTTCGGTAAAAATATAAAAATTACTAACTTATATTTTGTTGAAAATTATCATAATTTCTCAATTTCTTTAACTTCTTTTAAACCCTTGATATGTAAAATTAATATCATTATTTACAATCATATTTCACTACAATATTAAACTTAATTAAAATAATCAAAATGCAAAATCAAATGGCAATAACTGCAGTCATTTACAATACTTTTAAATGAATTCAATTAAATTACATACGATATATTTTCTGTAGAGAAATTGTTGACGATAGAATTGATGAAGTTGTCCCTCATGACGACGGCCCTGATGGACTTCCAGTCAGTGGCACTCTCACCTAGCAGGAGGCAGATGGACTCGAGTGCCAATTTGACTACAGCGGGAGGGTTGGCCATAGACCTAACCTCAACCAGCTGCTGCTTCTTTATCTCTTTCACGGCTGTAGGGTGTTCATGGATCAAAGGTATGGAGGAAAATGGAAAAAGAAAAAAAAAAGAAAAAGAACATAAAAAAAGGGGCATAAGCAATAAAGTGTGAAACTATCTTTAAACATATCATTCACATGCACACATTAAAAATGCAGAATATATATATTTTTTTATTCAAATAAGGAAGAAGACTGAATTATAAAATGAACCTATAAATTATATACTATAAACATAATTTTTATGATAAAACATTGAACATCAAATGCAGACACATTTATAAGTGTCAATAGTTAGTGAGAGATTGAAGAGTTAACGGTTGCAGTAAATATTATGATTCTTTGAAACTGAAAAAATGAAATGGGCTCAATAAAATTTCATAAATGCCAAGTGCGAGTATTAGTAAGGAAGATAAATGTATTTTAAAGACAATATAATATTGTTTAAACAGAGTTAATACAAAAATACTTCAAGCATTTGAAAAATTGGTTTATAGCCTTGTGGAACTAGTAAATGAGGGTTTAAATTATAATAATAATAAGTATTTTAGCACTTTGGAAAAATAATTTTTAACTCATTATAACATTAATTTTTCTTTATATACACATATTAAGAAAAACTACCCGGCTCCTAACCAAAGATTCAGCATATTGTACTTAATAATAAATTATATAATCAGAAACTCATATCTACTATATATTGTAGTGATAATCCAGACGTTTATTGAAATTTGATTACTTGTAACATTGAGTTCTTCATTATAATGATTTTATGTACATGAAAGTTTAAAAATAGGGAGAAGGTTCTTAATAGTTTGAAGGTCGGTATTGGTTTTTGACCAATTAGATTTAAAGGAATGGTCTAGCATCGCCAGGAAGCAACCACAGGTGATAAAAACGTCACCTGACTGGGGAATATATAGTAATAAACTCATTTTATGGCATACTAATTATTTATTAGGTAAACAGTTACTTCGACAAAGTCATTATGAAGTATATAGTTTTATTAATGGGTGTTGAATAAACTTTCTAGATATTTCTTACTGCTCATATATAATAAAGATGGTTTTCTCAAATAGTTTTACCTTCGAATTTAGGAGGGAAAAGAAGGTTATATATCTAAGGAATAGTTCTCAAACTGGTAAAATAGTAAACATTAAAACCTATATAACATTAAAATTCTTAAATTTATCATTTCAGAATTCTAATATTATATTTATAATTATATTTTACCAAAGTTACGTACAAAACATAAAATAACTATTCAAGTTCAATGCCAGTTAATACTGATAATTTAGCAGTGTATTGGGATTTATTGTCCTTATATACCCCAAGCAGGACAGCCTTATCTTAAATGTAACCAATTTATTCAAGCCAGAGCGAAAAGGTTGAGATTTATTCTATGGGTTCACGAAATGGATTTTAATCTGTCTAGGCTGGATTAGACGGCCTCAAAAACAATTTTTAAAAAAATTCCAGTCAATATTGTATCTAATCTATCTCAATGTTTCTATCTTGGATACTTGTTAAATTAAAAAAAAAAAAAACATACTAATTTTATAATTGCAACTTTTTATCTTTATCTCCATTTTCAGGAGCCAAAATAACTTAGTTCTCAGTATCAAAGAATCATAAATTATAAGAAAGTAAGATGAATATCTAACAGGGTAACACACTATTAAAAAAACAAAAAACTATTGTGTATTTTACTGTTATTCCATTTCTTAAAACACATTATCATACTGAGATTAGTATTAAAATACACTATAGAGACACTCAAGGCGCTGTCAGCAGAATAAATATATTTAACTAGTTAAATAGAAAACCATTAATCAATACAGGAGATATTTGGAGTAGATCTTATAGTGCCAAGATAGAAGAAGAATGATTAGTTAAAATGAATTAATAATTTCAGATATTTTGTTTCAAAAGTTCTTAAACAGCCATAAAGCAACTGCAAAATATTGAATTAAAATCCCTAACAATAAATCTTGAACAGCAGATCAGTATCTTCCTTAAAATTAATAGTATAAGGTAAATATGACAGAAATAAGATATTGAGATAACTAAACATTAAAAAAAAAAAAAAAAGAAGGGGTGGGGTGAAAATAAAAAGAAGCATATCAAATAGGAACATTGAAACACAACGTGATTGCAACAATAACAAAGATGATCCAATCAAAAAGCTGCATGATTAACCAAGATACCAATACTTTTCACATGCGAACAACAACTTAATAAAGGTATAATAAAATAATTGATAGTTAAGCAGTTGTTAGACGAACGTAAGATCATCAGTGTTGAAGTTGACAATAGTCCCGATGAAGTTTTCCCTCATGATGACCGAGCGGATGGCCTTCCAATCGGTTGTGCCCTCTCCGAGCAGCAAGCAGATTGACTCCAGGGTCACCTTCACTATAGCTGGAGGATTTGCCATTGATCGCACTTCGACCAGGTGCTGCTTCTTTATGGACTTCACAGCTAAGCCATTATCATTATCATCTCATAGTTTAATATCGAACCAAAGGAACAATAATAATTACTATATCATTAATTATGTATCTTGGAACAAAAAGGGACAATTTCCAAAACATTAAAATTTGAATGAACTACACAAAAAAATCACAGTAGGGTGTATATATGGTTGGCAGGTGTCCTATTTTCGGTAGGACAGTCCTACAGTTCATATAAACTGATGTTTATTAATACATTTCATATTTCAAACTATTTTAGTCTAGATTCCATATTACACTGTTTTCATAGTTAATAGTAATTCCTGACAGGACGGATCCTTCATCTTCCTCAACATTTGTAGAAAGAATTCAATTTAATAATTATAATCAACTTTTTAATTATTAAAATAAATGAATTGATGAGAGAAATAGTTGTTGTTTAGATCTAATTATTATTAAAGCAAATTGTTAATTCTAAAAAAGATCTTATACAATTTTTTATGAATAAAAAGTGGATATACTTTTGTTAAACTATACCAAGAGTAATCAAAAATATATTGGAAACTACACAGGCTAAGGTGTTAATGCATGAAAAATTATTTCTAAAATTTATGTGTATAATTAGTGTTACATAATTGTTTATGGTTTATAAATAATAATATAGTGGAATTTCATTGCCTTCCTTATCAATAAAAATTTAAATCATTTTTAATCATGAGTATGCTATTTATAAATTTTTAGACTAAAAAAATTTAATATTTTCCTAATTTAATATTGTCTTGCTTTGTCACTTTGAAAATTTGGCTAATTAGGTACTGGCATGGTAATAATTATGGTCAACATGAGCTCCAATAGAATTTAAGTAATAAATGTGTATCAGATTATGATTGTACTTATTAAATAATAATAATAAAAGGTTAATATTTAGCTAAAACCTAGCAATAACAGTGCATCTCAGAAGTGTAGTGGGGACTTGGAGTGTGGCCTGAGTCCATTGTTGCTTGGCATATATTGCTGTCAAACATGATACTCTTATACTTCTCTCTCATTTAGTTAATAAACATGCATTTATAAAAAGTAATATGCATTTATACAGCTAGGTTTAAAATGTATAACAATATTTAATAATACTACTTTAATATTTCTTGGGTTGAAATTCTCAAGCTGGAAACACTGGTCTAAGCTTGAAATAATGAGATAATCAACGGTATGAGTAGGCAAATCATGATATAGCTATGTCTCCACTCTTATGACGTAGCTCCACCACAATTAGGTCCCACACTAGTTTTCTAGAATACTAATTACCTTTATTGATATGAATTGAAAATTATTGTGTCTTAAAAATGTTTGCATTTTTATTTTTGTAACCTAATCTAATACAAACAAAAACTGAAATTCATGCAAGTGCCTAAATGTTAAAAGAGCCCACCCTCTTACGCTGATGGAGATCTAACAAATAATGAGAAGTCATTGGCCTTATTAACAATTAATGTATATTCCATCATGATTTTTTTCGGGCAATTCACTTAAATTTTTAAGTTTTGGATATTGGTTCTTTTTACTTGAAGATACAGAATTATCCTTTCGTAACAATTTAATAAAACATAAAATTAACATTCTGACCACAGCCTTAAACAGTAATATTTTAAATGAACTAAAACTATAATAAAAAAAGGAGGGCAGAGACAAGGGAACAACTGGATTACAATAAAAATAAGTACATGTTACTTATGATAAATAAGAGGAATCACAGTACACCTATCAAGAAATAAACACTGGAGATATCTCTGCTTCAGTAGTAGAAAAAAGGATTTACTTATACTTATACATACCTAAATATGTATATCTTATGTAAAAACGAGGTCTTATTAAAAAAGGATAAGCTTACCCTGCTGAGCATCAATAACAGCTGGTTCCACTTGGGCAAGATCTGCCATCACACCTTCTCTCTTCTGCGCTATAAGTAGTTTTTGTTTTTCAATCTGGGACTGGATTTCCTGAGACTGAACCTTCTTCTTCTCTGCTTCCTGTTGGTCTTTGACCATCTGCTTTAGCTTGGCATTAGCAGCTTCATTCTTAGCTTGAAGTTCCTAAAATAGGAATAAATAATTATATAGTTAAATAAGTACTTTTTGAACATTAAAAAATATATACTTATCGCTACTGTTAGTGCAAAAGGTGACATTTTGTAGCCTGCAACTGCAATAAATAGTCTGCTACAGTGGAAAACAGTATAGGAAAATAAAATATGAAATTTTACTAATACATCATTAAGAAATAATAAATTTGTATGCCCTTTTGTAAAAAAAAACTCAATTTTTACATAAAATCTTTTGCACTAACAGTAACAATATTGCCTTCTATATAATTCATCAATCTCTAAATTGGAGATGAGAATAAAATAATAATAGGTTAAATCTAAATAATACTATGATAATATATTTGGATTGATCACACGACTTGAAGTCAATTGTTTTTAATAACCACTTCTAGAACCATTTATTTACTTTTGAATGAGATATTTGTCATTTAGAAGATTTGAAATTTGATGAGTAGGAACATTGCTACTTAACACCCTTTACGAAATCCTGCATACATTATTCATGCAGATATAACTTCTTCTTTAAAAGAAGTTAGCCTATATTTTTTTTTAAAATATAGTTTTGAAGACAAATAAAGAATTAAGCAATGAACATAATTGGTAAGATCCTTCTTTCTAACCAAATATCTTAACCGGATCAGATACCACTCTAAGTACCCCTTAGGAAATATTACCTGAAGGATGTACCTGTATGAGGAAGGAGAAGTAGGAAGTGAGGTTCTCAGAAAAGGAAGGTAAGGAGGATAGGTAACTGGTTCATCATCTTCTAAATCCTAGACAAAACAAAACAATATTCTAGCTATTTATATAAATAAATAGCTACTTGTTATTAAGTTTTGAAATTTCTACTATTTTGAATTAATAAGATTAATAATCGTAAAGAAAATCGAAAGATGATTATAATAAAAAAATACAGAGCCAAACAGATATTTTGAAACAAATAATTATGCAACAGAAATAGCATGATACACTGATTTTGTTAATCATTACAAAGAATAGAAAATGCGAAGTTACTAGTTAGATAATTATTCAAGTTAAATATTTTTACAAATGTAATTCATTTTGAATACTATTATGACCAACATTACATTTTTTAAATTAGTGTATCACTAACACTTCTAATATTATTAATACTTTACCAATGCTAATTATACAATTGAATGTTAGATGGATGAGCTAAGAAGTAGTTTTAGATTTCAAAACCATCTAAAATAATTGTCGTACTAAGGCTGTTCAATAAATCATCCTAAAAATAATAAAGGCCTTCACAAGATGAGTGTGGAAGCTTGCATTTGTTTTTACATTCCCAATTTGCCAAGCGTTAATAGATATTTGGGACTTTGGGAAGAGCGCGGCTATGGCAGTAAAGTTATGTTTTATTATACCAGCTGTGTATCAACTCAAGGATAGGGGGACTCCACTTGGAATCAACAATCCTACATAAAGTGGATACTTAGTTCTGGATGAATAAACCTGCTGGTTGTGAGTGGATGGATGCTAACTTCAGCTCTTTGTACGACTGTTGCTCAAGAAACAGTATTCTTGAATCCAGAATTATTTTTATTGTATAAGTTTATTCATATTCAATTAATCAATTTTGGTTTGGAGATTACAAATTTCAACTTTTCCATCCAAAGTAAAATAATTCTAATTTCTTTTGCTTAATAAATGATAACAACAAACCACTTCTCTCTATCATATAAAAAAGTTTATAGTAACTTTCATATTTTATTTTATTTTAGTAATAGGAAAATAGGAGATACAGTAGGAGCTCAACTTTTAGTCCTATAGGCTTCATAGTGCTCCTCTCCAATGGTGATTTAATAATCCAATGGTGATATTTTAATAGTCTGTGGTACAAACTCCTGTTTATCGAATTATTAACATCACCCTGAAACTTCATAAATAGCTTCATCACATCATAAACTACAAGTATTTTATTTACAAAAATTCTCGGAATTGGGAATTTTCAATCTGGAGTTTGGCAAACTTTTTCTATTTAATTAGGTACTCAAAACTTGTAAATACTCATTTGCTTTTCCCTTGGATCATAAGATAATTTGATTATAAAACCGATAAAAAAGGTGGCCTACAAAAATATTGGGCCAGTTTGACCTATATAACCTCGTTATTTTTTAAGACCGCCTTTTTTCTCGACTTCCAGCTCAAATTATCTTACAATCTAAATGGAAAGCACATGGGTATTTACGAGTTTTTAGTACCTAAATAAATAAACAAAGTTTGGCGACCTACAGATTGAAAACGGTCCAATTCCAAGAATTTTCGTAAATAAAATATTTGTAGGTTATGATGAGATGAAGCTATTTACGAAGTTTCAGACTGATGTTAATAATTTGATAACAAGGAGTCTGTACCACTGACTAACAAATTATACAGCTATTCATTTAATTACAAATGTGTTGAGTTGAGCTCCTACTCTCCTAATACAAAATAAAGATTTTAGACTAAAAATTAGTATAATTATTATGAAATAGAAAAGAAAGCACAATGAAAATATTAGAAATAAAGGCCCAAATGATAGTTGGGGTTATATAAAGCTGAACAAGTTGAATATATATTATGTTACAAATTGGCAATAAGAATAATTATAAAAATGTAATAACATAAATTTGCAATATGGCGCGATGTATATATATTTTTAAAGAAATTAAAAATTTGTCCGAATTGTTTTTTCGTTCAGTTTATTTTATATTGATAAAAAATAATACAATCTGAACAAGTAAATAGATATAATTAAAGTTAAAAAGTTTGAGGAATGAGCAGTACATTTAGATGAACAGTTGTTTAATTAGTAGAATGGGGATTGATGATGAGCCGTTAGGCAGACAGAGTGTACCTCTCCCCCCCCCCCTAATTTCAATAAAAAATATAATTTATATCTAAATAACAAAAGGAACTTTATACAATTTGCTTACACATATTCTACAGTATTATCTCACATTAAACTTAAATGAACATTCAATATTGATAGAAAATTGGTTGTTATTAATAAAGTTTCCAGTTCATAAGACTTTACGTCCCGGGCATGACGTTAAACTGCGACCTGGGTGGACAGGACTCATAGCCATAGTGAAGGCAACCTGTCTAGGGGAAGGCAACCCCAAAATCAAACCACTGTCCTTGCAGTTTAAAAAAGGTTGATCGTAGGGCCAGCACCCCTTCATCGGAAAAAAATATTTCGCTTTCAAACCCAAAACAGAAAGAAAACCGGACGGATCTAATCGGCAACGACTTAAGGCGCGGAAACGGAACATGTTTTTTGGTACGTGGAATGTTCAAGGTTTGAGGACCAAGAAAAACGAAGTGGAAAATGAACTGAAAAAGCAAAATATCGATGTGGCAGTCCTCAGTGAAACTAAAATCAAAGGAAATTACAATGAACTTTCAGGAGATTTCGTGTATATCTACAGTGGAGTGGAAAAAAGTGAGAGAGCTAGAGCAGGGGTTGCAGTGGTGATTAACAAAAGATTGCGCAGGTATATTAAAAATTATGAATGTGTAAATGAAAGAATAATTAAACTTGAAATGGCATTATTTGGAGAAGAGTTTGTTATTTTTGGGATCTATGCTCCAACTGAAGATTCCAAGCAATCCATAAAAGACACGTTTTTCGATGATATTTGCGACTTGATAGAGCGAACACCTGATCGTAAGATTGTTATCTGTTTGGGCGACTTCAACGGACGTGTTGGCAGCAAGTTCAACGATGAGACCGTGGGACGCTTTGGAGAAGAGGTAACTAACGATAACGGTGCAAGATTAATTAGTTTATGTGAGCAATTAAACATGAAAATATTAAATGGATTCTTCAAGCATAAAGAAATTCACAAATTCTCCTGGCACCAGCCCACTAAAGGTCTAAAATCAATCATAGATTATATAATCCTCAGGCGCACTACTAGGATAAAGGTGAACGATGTTAGAGTGATGAGAGGGGCGGAATGTGGTTCGGATCACTTTCTTTTAAAGAGTATTCTGAATTTTAAACCCCATAATCTTCTTAGAAACTCTCCTGTGACCAGAGGAATTTCAGACTCTCCGAAAACGATTCGATACTCAATTGAGAGTATGAAAAATCAAGAATCAGTAAAAGGACTGTTCCAAAGCCGACTGATGGAGAAATTGAATCATGAGAAAGATCTGAATGATCGGCTAAATTACGAAAATATAGTAAAGTGCCTGCATGCCGCAGCTTTAGAAGCTGTCGGAGAGGAAAGGAAAGAGGTTAGAGGAAAAAACAAGCCTTGGTGGAATGAGGATGCTGAAGTGGCTGTTCAAGAGAAAAAATATTTATACAATAAATGGTTGAGCTCTAAAAATGAGAAGGACCTGAGGGAATATAGAAATACCTGTAAAAAAGTAAAAGCTATTAGAAGGAAGGCATTAAATATCTATTGGGAGAAAACCTGCAAGTATGTGGACACTTACATTGATGGACAAAAGTCTAGTGCTGCTTGGAGGACATTAAAAAAATTGAAAAATCCCAAAAGATGTGGAGATAACTTCCCATTGATCAAAGAGCAGCAATGGGTGAATTACTTTGAAGAATTATTTCATGAGGAACGACCCGAATTCGCATGGAACCAATCCGATGAAATGATATCAAATAAGGAAGATATACCGCCAGTCACAATTATAGAACTGGACTCAGTTCTCAAAGGAATGAAAAATAGAAAATCTCCCGGCCCTGGTTCTATTCCAATTGAATTAATTAAAGCAGGCCCGACCGAACTCAAAATGGCACTGGCAGAAAGTATGACACTTCTGTTAAATGGTGGAGAGATCCCCGAAGAATGGAAACAGGGTTATATCACTCCAGTTTTCAAAAAAGGCCAAAAGAAATACGTTTCCAACTACAGAGGTATTACTGTTACCAGCTCGCTGAGTAGATTATACGGCCGGATAATTAAAAGCAGAATTGAAAATGATTTAAAGGAAGAGATCAGCGAGGAACAGGCGGGTTTTCGAGCTGGAAGATCATGCACTGATCACATTTTTAGTCTCTCACAACTTATAGAAAAGAGGATGGCCCACGACCGTGAACTCCATATGATATTTGTAGATTTACACAAGGCCTATGATTCAGTACCTCTAGCGAAATTGTGGAAAGCTTTGGAAGCCACATCTATTAAGAGATACCTCATCAGAGCAATTCAAGAGCTCTATAAAAATATAAAGGGGGCTATAAAAATAGGAGATAAAGTGTCTAGAAGCTTCTTCATTAACAAAGGATTGAAACAGGGCTGCTGCCTTTCACCCCTGATTTTCAACATTTACATAGAACAAGCCCTTAAAAACTGGAAAAGATCGTGCTGTGGAATGGGTGTTCAAATCGGGAATGATGTCATCTACAATTTGCAGTATGCCGATGATCAAGTCATAATCGGATCGGATCCGGATGATGTTAGCTATATGATGAGGAAGCTGCTAGACACGTATTCCAGACGGGGTCTGAAAATCAGTGAAAGTAAAACAGAGTATATGGTTTTCAACGCTCCAAATTTGCCCCTTGAAATTGATGACTGGACGCTAAATGTCAGCCAGCAGTTCAAGTACCTCGGATACTGGCTATCTTCAAAGGGTGGTAGTGAGGTTGATATCGAACATAAAATAAATAATGGGAAAAGAATAATAAGTTCGATAAATTCAACCCTATGGAGTAAAGAGATACGATTAGAAACTAAAAAGAAGATATACCATTCCTTTGTAGAAAGCGTAGCCACTTACGGATCAGAAGTCTGGACACTGACAAAAAAGATGGAAAATAAGCTGCTTTCCATGGAAATGAATTTCTGGAGAAGAAGCTGTGGCATATCCAGAATCGAGCGGATGCCAAACGCAGCTATTAGAGACAAGGCCGGATGTCAAAAGAACATCCTTCACTTGATCGGGACCAAACGGTTAAAGTGGTATGGCCACTTAATGCGGATGGATGAGAACCGCTGGCCAAAGAAAATCTATAACTATATGCCACCTGAAAGAAGGAAGCGTGGAAGGCCAAAGAAGAAATGGACAGAAGACGTGGAAGAAAGCATGGCAGCCAGAGGGCTTCGTGAGGGAGATTGGATGGACAGGGAGCAGTGGCTTTTGGGTGTTGGGGATATGACTCCTCAAGTTGTGCAAAACCCAAATAAAAAAAAAGACTTTACTATAACACAGTAATCACCTCAGGCATCTGTTGTGATATTAGTGCCACAGACACAAATTGGTACCAGTAAAATTTATAAATAAAATTAAGTTCATTCTCCAAAATAAAACTTTTGGCAAAATTGAGAAAAATACTCAACAAAACAGTTATTATATATATATATATATATATATATATAGAAATGTAAATACTTTAAAAATTGGAGCTTTCTCAAAAATATTTGAGCGAAGAAACATTTAAATACAAGACAGGCTATTACAAAGCAAAGAAATTTGTGAATTAAAAAATATTTACATTCGTCCAATGATCATTTCAAGTTTGTGTGTTACAATTTACAAATAAAGTAGTATAAGCTCTCTAGCAATAAGAATATAACTCATTCAATAAGTAGAGAATAGCACAAACCTGAGATTTAACTGCCAAACTCTTTTGCATCTCTTCGACCTGCTCAACAGTCTCTGCTATTTTTCCTAAACCAACGTTCAAATGAAGTTGCTGTTCTTCAAGTTCAGAACACTTCTCTCTATATAACTTTACAAAATGATTGATAAAGTCCAAGTAATGTCTGAAAAAAAAAAGTGTTTAAGTGCTAACATAAGTTTGTGATAAAAATATCATGTAGTCAATATTTCAATAAAATAAGAGTTGCAAAAACCAATAAATTATTTCAGTCAAATTATAATTTACTACCATATCCAAAAAAGTTTATTACTGTATTTCTAGTAGAAAAGAAATAAAAAATATTAACTTAAATTATATCTACATATATATTTTTTAATACCTATTTAATTGTATTTTAACGATTGAATCAAACAAACAGGTATATATTAGAAAATATCATCAGTTTATTGCAAAAGTCATTTCATAACCTTAAATAATTGAGGACTTTGAACAATTTTTCCTTTATCAAATAAGAAAATTGTGCACTTCTAACTATATTTGATGTATAAAGAAAGTTTGTTTTATTTTGATGTCCTTAAATTCATGTTCATTAAAGTGTTTCTGTATCAATAAAAAAAATCTAAATTAATATATTCTTTTTTTTTAATTTAACCTATATCAAAAATGGACTCAGTCACTTTTCGCAATAAACTAACCACTTACTACTCAAAAACTATGCGTATACAAATTACCTAGGAGTGATGGCCATTGTGCGTGCTCCACGTTTGGTAAGCCTTTGATTGGCTTTGTGCAAAGTTTGATGAACAAAAACACATCCGTTTATAACTGCTTGCCTGTGGTTCGGAGGTGATGGTAAATTTGCATAAGCAATTGGGAAAAAGTCTGGCGCTTTCCAAGTAGGAGGTCCATCCAAATCGAGAGTGTTAGTGAACTCTCTACCCACCTGAAATTGAAACATATTAAAGTAATACAGTATACAAATAGATCAAATAACATACATATACTTTATTATAATCGAGTATCTATGTACTCCTTATAAATCTATCTAGTTAAAAAAATAAATAATTTTACCTGATACAATGCACCATCCGACCAATCTCCAAACCAGTTGAGAACACACCTATTGAACAGAGCAGGTGATGTAGCAGCCCTGTCCTTAAGCCCTTCATGGCTCGGGTTCATCGTGAACACAACATGGAGGTTTCTCATCACTTGACCAGTAAACCATTTGTACAATTCCTCGTTAGAGTCCAGCATCAATCCTTCCCGTTGGGCTCCTTCCTTGCACTGGGTCATCAACGTGCTGTACTCATCACCTTCAAATAAACCAGGCACTTCACCGTTAGCAAGCAGTGTGTTCATCCTCTCTAGAAAACCGGATTCTAGAACATTTGATTCATCAAGGATGAAAGCTATTTTCTCGTTTTTACAACCAGATCTCCTTAAAACTGATCTCAAGTCTTCATCAAAATCTTCACTAGTGTACTTATTATGAACTCTTATTTGGAATACAGAGAGTCCATTCATAAAGGCGACAAAGCGAGACAGAGTGGTTTTGCCAGCTCCAGAGACACCGATGAGCAGCAAGTGCCCCTGTGGCTGTCTGAATATCCTGTCTATTCTGAGTACATGTTCAAGAACTTCATCAAACAAGACAAGAGGTACATCCAACTCTTCATCATAGAATACTTTAAGTCTTGCCTTAACATAATCTCTCAACTGGTCACGTTCAACAGGGATATAGTCCTTTGATAGCCAATTGGAATAAAGGATCGGTCGGCCAAGAGCTGATTCCTTGTCCACTGATGGAAAATGTTTCAAAGCAACTTTGTCAATATTTTCATTGGTCCATTCTCTTTCACTAGCTTCAACAAGCCTGTCTTGGAAAAGGCGGAGAGCTTCATGAGCCCATAATCTTACAAGTCCTTCCACTTTTAAGCTATCCAATGGCCTGAAATTACAAAATAAAATATTGTTAATTCAACGAAGCAAAGTCATAAAACAAATATTTTAATAACTAAAAGGAGAACTGATTTTATTTAAATTCATAAAAAAAATTGTTCAATATTTTGTTATTAAAAAAAAAAAATGATCTTGAATTCGAATAAAATAATACATCACCTTATAGCTTCACAAATACCCCTAACCCATCTAGTCATTTCTCTAGGTGAATAGACGTAATGGGGTTGCATGTCTTGTGTAAACCTTTCCTGAGATGAGAGGTAGAATTCAACCATCGCATTCGTTAATGGTTCTGCATAACCCCGCAATGAAGGAATGAGCCTCAACATAGCTCGTGAGAATGTTCCATAAATCTGAAAGAAATAAAAACCATATAAAGCTTAGAGAAAAAATATATTAAAGAAGTATAATAATAAAATATATGGAACAAAATAAATTTTATTCTTTTACATTCATTGAGAGTAATATAAATGCGTAGATTCCTTGCGGGATGAAATCTAATAAAGTCTAATGGTATTTGGTACACAATCCTATAAAGTAATGGAATGGAAAAAAATAACCAAGAACTGCACAATCTTTTTAATAGCTTGGATGTTGTTAAGGCAATAAAGCTTGGGATGACAGTGAAATCTAGACTACATGGCAAGAATGGAGGTACGTTTGTTATTTTGTATTAATGTTGTGGTTATGTATAAATAAAAATGTTTTCTAAAAGAAGCAGTTCTGTAAGTTGGTAGGTTAAGATTAATGTCATTTATTCCGTTGGGCATCCTTGGATTTCAAGCAAGATTGGAAAGGATAATCTTATAAAATATGGAATATATTTGTTAAAAATTAAGTACAATGTAGTGACAAAAGATGTCACAATTTACCTTAAATTCCTCATTTTTTTTTTATAAATTTAAAATTAAATAAAAACAAACCAATTTTAGGAAATAAAACATAAATTTTATTACCTGTTTGAGAGATGTTTCTCCAGGATAATCGACATAAATGACAGGTACATGTCTGAGAAATCTATGAGACAAGGGCTTCCTGCCAGGATCCGTGGGCGGATTACAAGCACCCACAAACTGAATCCTCTCGAGGGAAACCCAAGCAAGATCAGAAGACCTGTAGAATCCTCGCTGTTCGACTAGTTGTCTCAAAAATGAAATAACTCGTTGAGTCCCGTAAGAGTCCATATCAGGCAAGTTTATTTCATCACAGAAAAGGACTAACCATTTTCCTAACTGAAATCATCACATGATTAATATCAAGTCTTAGTGAGGAGAGTCGATAAGGTAATAATTCTTAAAGTCACTTAGTAAAAAAAAAAAAGTACCTGAACAGGTGCTAAGACAACTCCATTGGGAGTCTTCCTATATTCACAATAATGATCAAAAGTCTTCAGGAGAAGCTCTGGGGTGGTAGCAGAGCTGAAATTAAGGCCGACCACTTCCATATCTGGAAGAGCCCTTAGTGCAGAAAATAGAGTCATAGTCTTACCTGACCCAGGTGGACCACACAGCACTGAAATAAAGTAATCACAGTGTGAAATGTAAGAAAAGATACTTTAAAACGAAGTACAATTTAGGTATTCAACTAAAAAAATAAATAACAAAGCACTAAAACTTTATAAACCAAACTGAATGTAGTTTTTGAGACAATTATTACCTAAAGGCCTGTGCTCAGCAAGCCATGTATACAGAAGAGATTCATGACGGACCGTGTCGAGAGTGGGAACGACAACATCTGGAGCTGCCACTTTATGAGTTTCCACTTCAATTTGAGGAACTTTGGCAGACCATGGACTCCATTCACCTGATATATTTACCTGCAAAAAACAATAAAAATGATCGATAAACTATTCATCCACAAATTAAAGCAAAAAACCAAGTACTCCTAAGTATTTATAAAAAATTTGTAAATGTTTATTTGCTTTTGTTTTGAGATGTAAAACCTTTAGATCATCAACGCCTACAGACTGTTTAAATCATTAAACTATTTGAAAATGTTATGTTAATTATAATAGTGGTAAATAGTTGACTGTCGTAAATAATGGAGAGAAGAATAGTTGGGATGATCAGTCAAATAAGAAGGCAAAAATAAATGATACTATTTATTTTGACATTAGCCGACGTTTCAACCTGAAGTTCAGGCCATCATCAGGGCTAAGAAAAGAACCAGATAACAAGGTATGAGAAACATAAGTAGTGTACGTTTACATTTGACGTATTTATACGTCCCGTCAGGTTAACAGGTTAATTGTTGAACTGATCAAATAAAGGGTTAACAACAGAAAGAGAGTACATCACATTCAAACTCTCAAGAGCCTTTTCATATCTGTATCAATCTTCTGTTATCAAGATTGTTGGTACATACAGGTACTCCCCTTGAACATGTTCAACGATACAGGTATAATCTTTGATTATCTAATCAGCAACATTAGAACTAATTTCTCATACAGCATATTTTGATTATAATGTTAGATATTCGATCTGCTTTAGGTATTTATGCTACCAATAACAAGGAATGCATCTCTGACAAATTATTACTGAAGGCTAGAAATCAGTAATGTGACATAGCAGGTTGTAGTTCTGATGGCATTTGAATTGCTGAAATGTTGACTGTTAAGTCATTTACTGTGAATCAACTGAAGAGAAGGATGGTTGGAGTGATCAGTCAAAATAGTAAAAAATAATTACATTTATTTTTATACATGCCGATGTTTCGGCCCAAAGTTCAGGCCTTCATCAGGGCCAATAGGTATGAGAAACTATAAACATTGAATAATATTATTCAATGAATAAGCACTGATGAAGGTCTGAACTTCAAGCCGAAACATCAGTAAATATAAACATAAATATAATTATTTATTTTTACTATTTTTTATTTTGACTGATCACCCCAACTATCCTTCTCTTAAATTATTTATGACAGTCAACCATCAACCCACAATTAATGTGATTTGAGGAGACTCATAACTTTGGATTGAAATCTTGCAATAATAATTTGATTATGATTTTATGATGAGTTTGAGGATGAAAGGATGAGCAAAGTGGGGCAAGGGTGATTTTCAAGAGTGGTGGTCTGGAACCACCTGGACTCCCATTTAATCGACATTCCTGAAAAATAGATCTTGATTACCCTGGTTACTAAGCTGCGGCAATCAAGGATTGACAAAAAGGATCACAAGGCCCTTTTATTGTGGAGTAGTACCAGTAAAGATATTAAAATTAATTATGATTTTCAGCTTTAGTAATTAATTTGTACAAACAGCAAAAATTTCCACAAGTTACTATAGTTTAACTCAGAAAAAGAATATTTGTTAAAACCATCTAAAATTGAAACACAATCTAACAAAAAAGAAATAATGATGTATAAGAGTACCTTTTGTTATTTGTTAAACATCCTTGGAATAAAATTGAATAAAGCACAACAGCAACATGTAGATTTTGATATAAAAATACAATACACTTACTAAACATCTTAGTAACCACTAAATCTCTATTAAACAACCAAACAGCATTAAAGTTTTCCTAAATTTAAAAAGAGAATGATTTGAATTTTGGCTTTTCTATTTTAAGACAACATAATTAATAAAATGAAATTATTACATATCTGCTCTTAACAACTCTATTTTAAAAATTATTTGAATGCATTTCTATTAAATTAACAAGCTCCTCATAATGATTTAATTGATGAAGAACAATGAATGAAACAATACACCTTACAAATCATAATTTAAAAAAAAAATTGATTTTTTGACTGCTTACAAAATCTCACGTAAATAGATTTAACATTACTTAATACATTTGAATACCTCAAGTAAATACCTCATAATCAATGATTGGTATGTTAGGGTTGTTCGGTGGTAATGGTATGGTGGTAACAGACCGGATGAAATCACCTAGGTCAGATCGTACTTTCAGTTTAGCATCTCCTCCAAATGACCATAGCAGAGAATAAATTAAAATCTGAAAAAAAAAAATTAATTATTGAAAGTCAACTTCAAAATATAAAGTGGCACAATCTTAATCTTTAATTATCTTTTGATATATTTCAATCACCAAAAACATAATGCCATAATATTAAATATTATGTAGAATATTGTTAACAAATAAATAAAACCCCATTGTCAACAAATCTTTTTTTTTTTTCTCTTATGCTAGGTCATTTCGTTGGTCATTTGGCCATCCCACATCTTGCTGCCCAGTATAATTTAGACTTTCTAATATATATATTTGAAAATATTTTTTCTCTTATAACCCTCAAGGCAGGACATGCGTCAAGATGGCCTGCATCCATTATTCCTTGATGACAAAATTTACAGCTAGGATCCTCAGCCAAGCCTATCTTGTAGAGATGACTCTGCATATAGTCGTGACCAGTGGCCAGGCGGAAGCAGGCAACTGCATCTCTTTTCGGCAGTTCAGCTGGAATCGGATTATCCTTCAAACACTCATAATGTTTCCCTTCCACTTTGCCCAAATGTGCTTTTCTTATTTCTTCCTTCAATATCATCTTTACCATTCGCCATATTGAGTCGTAAGGTTTTGGTTGTATCGGCTGAGGCAAATCTGTTCCTAACTTGGCAAGAATAACAGCCTCAACGTTTTCTGGAATCCCACAATGGCTGGGGATCCACTGTAGAATCACATGCTGGAGCAGGAGTTTACTCAAGCGAATTCCATATCAGCGCTGCAGTGGGTAAAGATCGAACAAATTTCGATGGTGAGATAGCAGTGATCCTCATAGCCTTCAGAACATTGTCTAGAAGGAGGGATCAGAGCGCTGTTCTATTCATCAACTCTCAAGCAGCCATCCTCACTGTTACAAACACGAATGAATAATGTTTATCGAGTGCTATATTGGAATGCAAATCCCTCCTCTCTAACCTGACACTCCGAGGCACCAATGTGGTCATTGTCAATAAACTCAATGTTCTCATAATTAATAATAATAAAGTTAATGTACTCTGAAGAAGTAAGATCAAATTAAAATAAAATATATTTCCAAACCATAGAAGAACAGATGCTTTATGATAACTGTATCTATTAATCTTAGTTGATAGACACAAACATGAACAATGGTTAGTCTCAACGAACCAGAAAATATATTTTTGAATTATACTATTTTTTTTCCAGCATTACAGTATTTTTCCGCCCAGGGATTTCTTAACAAATCAACCAACCTCTGCTCACACATGCAGGAAGAAACAGAGGATCCTAGAGCTTGCCTCAAAACATAATAACTGATATTAAAATGTTCTAATATTAAAATAATGAAAAGAAAAAAAAAATTACTTTAGGAATAAATCTATCCAGCTGCTCTGCTGGTAATGGAAAATCAGAATGGCTCTGGTTATACTGTATCACAGTTCTAAAACAAAAAAAGATATATATATAATTTTAAATAAGTTTTAAATTAACTATAATGAAGATAATTATATCTCAAAGTCATAACAGAAGTTAACTACAGAATTTTATTCAAATATAAATATGGTTACTAAGATTGATTTAAAAAGACAAAAATAAAATAATTTCTATTCTCTTCAATGATTTATTCAAGAAACAGTCCAATATAATAATAATACAGGCTACTAACATAAGTAATTTTAACATGTGATATGGCCTGAGAAAATTTAGACAGTGGTACTAATTAAATTAAGTTATATTTTTTGTCCTCTCCTTTCTCGCCTTTTAGGCTAGATGGGGTTTTCCGGGCCAGGGAGTGAGAAAAGGGGATTAATGACAAGAGTTAAAGGCCTCCCTTGGCACAGGAACACAAACTCGTATAATTATTTTATCATCCATAACTTTGGTTATCAGGTTGCCGGGCAACGCATGCTGCTGTGCACACGTGTTAGCCCAGCCACCTTCCCCACCATAAATTAAATTATGTATAGGAAAACAACTTAAGGGAGAGCCTTATGGCGTGCAGGCAATCTTTTATTATTAAAATAACAATTAAATTGCTCGCAAACTAGTTTCCACAATAAATAGAATATATAAAATACCAAAATTGTTTTAAAAAAGTGGAACATTTGACACGGTTTGAACGTAATTTCTCACAAGGGTCTTCTTAGGTTGCCCACTTATAAAATTCTTAGGTGACCATAATTAAATTACAAGAGATAAAGTTTGGGAGAGGAAGATCAAAATAAAATACACAGTTTAATGAATGCTGATTTTTTGGGGGAGAGGGGAGGGAGGAGACAGGAGCAGGTGCATTATAGAGTTTATGTGGTACTGTGATAGCCGTAGAGGAAGGGCTTAAAAATCGACCTCATCACTGGTGAAAGTTTGATTGTGAATAACAAAAGTGGTTTATTCCAAGTAAAATGAACACTGTCTGCCATCCTACAGCTGCTGATTTAAAAAATATTATGCCAGCAACTTGAGGATCAATGTGGAAATAATTATTATTTTTTAACTTGAATTTATGGATTCAAACATGTAAAAACTGAAATTCATAACATGGGCCACCAGGAGAAAACATTTTGAAGCCATAAAAACCATATTTTCCAATCTTTTTTTGCTTTTTCACATATAACTCCCTAAACGGTACATCAAAACGAAAAATGTAATCTTTAAGAAATTAAAGAGTTTAAGTTAAATTGTGCATCAAACGAGCACCTAAATTTATAACTTTAGTAAAGTGATACGGTATAAAATCTCCATCAATGAATGTTGATTGAAGCTTTCCCTTAGTGGCTCGCATTAGTAATTATCGGTTTTATATGTAGGAATCCCTATACTCAAGTCAAAAAAATAATAATTTTTCCTATATTATCACAATATATTTACCAAGGAAGGAGATGGTCCTTAATAGTGGCTAAATAGTGGTAAAACTATTAGCCTATTTATGACCGCCACCCTGGACCATCTTCTTCCTTTATAATGCAACGGCCCACTATTAAATATTCAATATATTTACCATTTCGATCATCAAGTCACTTGCCTAATATTCTTTAAATCAGTCACCTTTGTTTAAAGCAGCATCTTTGGAATGGCAGACAAGCTTCCTTTCACTTAAAATAACAAATACTTTCATAATTTACATTCAAATCTTCGCCTGCGATGAGATCAATTTTTGGATCCTAGCTACAGAGCTATAGGCTATAAAGAGGGCTAAAATATCTACATTCATCAAATAGTATATTTTTACTGTATACTATATCATAAAAAATCTCCTTGATATTAATGATTTACACCTATTAGTGGCATCGTCTGTTAATGGAAATGTGAAAATATGAAATATAAACAATTCAAATAAAAGATGAGCTAATAATCTTTAATTACACAATTATTTTAACTATGATAAACATTGTACCTCACACCATGATTGAGCATGGAAAACAAAGAACCAAGAGCTCTAAGCCTAGTGAGATCCATTATATGTTCCTGCTTGAGAGCATACTCCAGGCACCTGACCACCAGTCCATCTGGTGAAAAATAGCTCTGCAAGATGTTAGCAACGTCCGTCTGCACCTGCAAAGTAAATTTTTCTTTAGCAATAATATTTAGTTGTGTATTTTAAAATATCACATAAATGTCAGTTGTATGAACATGTCTGAAGGATGATTTTATCAATTTTACACTTAATCTTCTAATAAAATTGTATCAATGAAGATAATTTTAGACAAATAAAAACAATTATTAACCTGCATTGCTGGTGATATTCCTTCTTCTTTTCTTTCCCCACCAATCTTCTTGAACTGTGGGAAAGAAGATTCTTCTTCTGCTTCCTCTAATGGAATGTGTCTGAGGCGGGAAAGGTAATTTTCAAAAATCATTTCTGTAGACAAAACATCTTCAGAGAACCATACCATACCGCAACGAGAAACAGTTGCGAGGGTTGCATATTTCAAATCTTGTACCTAAAAAAGAAAATATGTGATATAATGTTTGCATACTTCAAATTTTTATATTCAATAATTAAGCATAGTTATTAAAGAAGAGAAAATACCTCAAACATAACTCTGACATTCGGAGGTAGAGACAATCTCTCACCATTAGGTAACGTAAGAAGTTTATTATCGTCAAGAACAGAGTTCAAGTTTTCAACCCATTCTGGATCAACATCTCCATCAAATATAATCCATTGTCGTTTGTTTATCTCTCCTCTGACATTGTCAATTATTTTCCTACAGAGAAAATAAAAATATTTCATTATTTTCTACCATAAGAAGTAAAGATAGATTCAAGAAGTTACTAATTAAATAAATTTAAAAGTACAAACTGCTAATAATAGCAAAAAATTATTGGGTCAGCCCATTAATATGGGGCTGAAGTCCAGCATTTAGTTTCCCTGTACAAATTTTGATTTGAAAGACAAGAAAAGTCGTAGTGAAAAAGCCAACTGAAACCACATGAGGAATGATGAAACATCTCAGTGTGAACAAATTCACTAATCTACGCCAAATGGAGGTCATTGTAAAAATAGTTTCAGATCAAACGTCACACTACATTCCTTACCACTTAAGAGGAAAATAAATAAAAGTTCACAACACAAAAAAAAAAAATGAAATAAAATTGTTGAAAAAAAGAGACAACACATAAGCCCAATCCAAACAGGCAAACATAATGAATACTATTTTGAATAACATTTCAAATGAAGATGCGAGGAACATGAATATAAAGTGCACGAAAAGAACCATGTAACTTTTTATTAATCTATAATATTGGCCTGTATGATAATTTTTTATTATTATTAACTAACAAATATAGACTATCTTCAGGATGCAGGTTTAATTCATTCTTTTTTGGAAGCATATAGGTGATCCCATCAGAGAAATCAAGAGGGGGCGGGTGTCTGCTTGTCATCAAGTATGTTCTGTTAACCCTTGGCCAGCTAATCATGCAAACAAGGAAATCTTTTAATTCCATCAGGACCAGGTTCCGGCCAATTTTTCATATATCTGACCGCTCTTGAGACATCTTCCACTGTTATTCTCACTTTAATCATTTCAGGGTCGTTCGGGAACCGTAATTCATTCTTCTTTCAATTACGGTTCTCGTAAGTTGTTAATTTTGCTTTGGAGTCTTTTCTTCCATTGTGGCATTTCCCTGCATTCTGTCGGAAGTTTATTTTTATCTTAATTTTGTTGAAATATACATTTATCATCCATTTTTATGCCCAGCTCTAATGCAATTATCTTGGCAGCAATATATAGCTATTATTATAGTTAACTATTTATGCATCATAAAATAACGTCAAAATAAAAAAAAATCTACTTAAAGGAGGTGTAGAGGTCCATCAAAAAAAGTACTTGGTGAATTATTGCAATAAACTGATGATATAAATAAAATCAACTCAAAATTGTCTATAATTAACCCTGAAAATAGTAAAGATTTAGTAAAATATACCTAAGAACATGAGTAAAGAGACCATCAGTCCATTCCCGAGTGTTTGGATCTAAGACACCATAGAGAGCTTCCTTAGACATCGCTTTGGGATCAATAACATGGGCCACGCCTTCGGTTCCTTCAAAGCGCTCCAATGCTTTAAGTAACACTCTCCAAGCTGAGGATTTGCCAGACCCAGAGGGTCCTACCATCATCAAACCATGATTCAAGTTTGAGATTTGATACAGTTGTAACACCTAATTATGACAGAATACAAATATTAATCTATTAATAATAACAAAAAATAAATAAATAATAATTATAGTAGACATCAACATGCAATATCAGTGCATGTATATTTGACAAAACAGTGCATCACCAACTGTTTTACTTTTTAAAGGACAAAAGAAGCCTTCATTTACCTTTTTTTAATTATGAAAACATTTATTACTTCATTATGATCAAATTTCTAAACAAAACAACACACAAATAACATTGGATTCACAACACAAAAAAAAAAAAAATGAAATAAAATTGTTGAAAAAAAAAGAGACAACACATAAGCCCAATCTAAACAGGCAAACATAATGAATACTATTTTGAATAACATTTCAAATGAAGATGCGAGGAACATGAATATAAAGTGCACGAAAAGAACCATGTAACTTTTGATTAATCTAAGAAAGAAACCTTTAAATAGAAAATGTGTATATATATATATATATATATATATATATATATATATATATATATATATATATATAACAATTTTTAAAAGAAATTTGTCTTGGGCGTACATCTTAGCATTTTACACTCCTTGCAGTCAAATATAAATAAATCCATTATGAAGTTTACTAACCAGTAAACTAAACTATTTACGAACACCATATAGTGTTCACAATCTTTTCGTAAATAGCCACATTTTTATAAAAACCCAAGTTTAATGATTCATTCCCCAACTAAAAATTTTGCAAGCCCATTTTAGTCATCAAAATGCTTTCACTTTTCCATTTTATTTAATACATGCAGTTCATACAAAACTGACCCTGGTTAACAAAATAACTGGAAAATATAGGGAATTAAATAATTTATCAATAAGGTGACATTTATTAAAATGAAAGAAATTGGAATTTAAATCTTTAAAGTGCTTCAATCACTTATTTGATTTACTATCTAAAAGAAAAATACTTTTCACAAAGTGAGGAATAGAAAAAAAAACCTAAGATGTATGCTTAAGATCACGCGATAAAAGTGAAAACATCACCAAGGCAAAATTAATAATATGAAATACTTGTTATCATCTGGTTTTCGACAATACTATTTCGTATTTGCTTCCCTGATACGGCATCGGATTAGAAACAATTCTTAATTATAGCCTATTACAGAAAGGATGAAATGCTGAACAAACTCCTTGCTTACAGTATGCAGTTCCGATTTTAAGTTTCTGAGATATTCTAATCCATATGTAAAAACATTTCAATTAGTCGACTCTAGCCGAGCGTTAAAACTTTAGAAATCTGACGAATTAATCTAATTCACTCTTCACAAAAAAGTGTAACGCGCCTAAAGTAGCTTCCACTTCAAAAAAACCATAGAATAACCAATGTATAAAATTTAAAAGATGGCACGACATAGTTTATTTATTTGACAAAATGTTTCATTTTAAAATAAAATTCCACGCTCATTGTATAAATTATTGTATTCACTTGCGCCACAACTTCAAATACTCTTCTTTTAATTGTTGCGAGAAAATCTAATTATAAATTAATTTTGGAAAGAATAAAAATAATTTACAATAAGGGCCATGATAAGTTAAATCAGTTGTAATGTTAAAACCTTTTAGTTTTCTTTGAATTTATATTTCAAAAGGAAATTTTTTTTTTCTTAGAAAATAATTTCAGAAAACAAGATAATCAATTACAAAAAATCCCACATTGTTCACTATAAAAAAAAAAAAAGTGAACATAAATGCACAAATATAGCTAAAATAAAATTTGATGAACATATATATGAATGAGTCGCTCATTTCATTCATATTTCTGAAAGAGAAGTGCTTGGCAACATGACAGTGTCCTTTCCTGCAATTTGTTAGTTTATCATAACAGTATCCCAAACATTCAATAACCACCACATGTATAGAGATTTACCTTTTCAATCCAAGTTTCTCCCATATACTAATAGGTTGGCATGAAAACAAAAATATTTATCTTTTACTGCTAAAAATAATAAATATTTAAATAACAATGCAATATTATAATATAAAACTTGGAATATACCTTTTCCATCCAAGGTCCACCCTGTTCATCTCCTTCTCCACAAACAAGGTATTCTTCCTGACATACCTTCCGAATCTCTTCCTTTAATTCTTTAATAAAAAAATATAAAATTAGTAACTAGAAACATTACATACGAATCTGTATCTATTTAACTTTCAAGTAAGAATTTTTTTAATCTTAATTTTTAGGTTAGGCCCAAAATTCCATTGGTCCTAAACAGACTGTAGAATATCATAAAAATGAACAGTATAAAAGAGGAATATTATTATATATAGAATAATATATACCTTCAACACTAAGGTTAAACTACTTCAGTATTTAAATGATTTAATAGTCAAATTTGAAGGGATTTCTTAATAACTAATATTAATCATACCTTAATAATGAGTGTAAAAGGTTAAGTTTTTAACTGAAAATTTTGTTGAAGGGAGGGAGATAAATAACTGCAATATAAAAAAAAAGTATGAGATAAAAAAAAAAAAAAGAATGCCCTAATGTGTCCATTTAAAACTTTTCATAAGATGTTCCTTCAGAATATTCATACATAAAAACCTCAAAATGTTCAATCTTGGCATTTGAAAATTATAAAATTTCAGAAAAAAGTTTAAATATTTGATTTTATGTAAATGAATGAAAAGATAATTAATTTCTGAGAAATATCAACCATCTGATAGTAGTTGCTATACATACTGTTTCCAAATAAACATAAGCCAGATTTTTTTTTGTAAATAGGTTTTTTCTAACATACATAAAACTTCATGCATTTAAATCATGAACAATTTTAGTATTTTTTAACTTCGATATATAGACTATTAACTGTTTAAACTATTAAACAACATTATCTTTAATTGTAATTTAAGAGTAATAAATCTAAATAATTCATACTTGTCATTTCAGCTCTGGTATACTGCACTTGTGGGAAAACATCATTGAGGAGTGAAAACAGTAGAGGAATATCTTCAGCCACTAATTTAGGTACCATTGTTTCACAAACTGATTGAATCAAGATCTAAAACGAAGTTGAAAAAATAAAATGAGTATTTATAATTCTACTATTAGACCCACATAAAATTTCTTAATAAATATAAATCGTATTATGGCTTAAAATGTAATAAATAAATTTAATAAAGAATAATTGTGCGTTAATGATTGACTGTCGTGAATAAGGAAGAGAAGGGTGGTTGGGGTGATCAGTCAGAAATAAGAAGGCAAAAATAAATAATAATATTTATTTTGACATTTGCTAATGTTTAGACCTGAAGTACAGGCCTTCATCACAGCTTAAAAAAAAGAACCAGATAACAAGGTATGAGAAACATAAATAACGTACGTAAAAAAAAAATTAAAGTAAAATGAAGTGGGTAGAATAATGACAATAGTAAGAACTAAGAGATAAATAATAATAACCGTTACAAAGTGTGGAATGATGATGTAAACATAATCAAAAAAGGTGACAGAAGTATTAAAATGGTAATCTTAGAATAAAATGTAAAACAGAAAAAAGGAATATGAACTTATATAAGAAATAAAGATAAATAGTAAAATTAAGATATTGCAAATAGAATAGTTAGATAGAAAATTGAGATAAGTCTAACAAAATGTACTGACAACGTATAATAGAATAAAGAGTTAAACAGAGAAAAGGAATGAAAGGAAGGAGGAAAAATATTTTACTTTCATTTTAAATTCGTTTTACTTTAATTTTTTTTTTTTTTTACCTACATTATTTATGTTTCTCATACCTTGTTATCTGGTACTTTTTCTTAGCAATGATGAAGGCCTGAAATTCAAGTCGAAACGTCGGCAAATGTCAAAATAAATATTATTATTTATTTTTGCTTCCTTATTTCTGACTGATTACCTCAACCATCTTTCTCTTGATTAATAAAGAATATGATGATTGAGGGAAAACGAAGTAGTTATGATGATAGATAATTTTTAAAGTATGTTCAGGTGAAGACCTGCATAGTTAACGATCTCCACCACAATAAAAACTGTGTGTAATTTCAATGACAATTCTTTAAAAAAATAAAACATGAAATTAATGGATAAAATTAAAATCACTATGACCTTTAAAGTAATTATTTACACTAAAACAATACTGGGAACTAATTTTGAAGCACTATTCCAAGACCCTTGCTAGACTACTCGAATGTGTCGAAAAGTGGACAGAGATAACTGATCTCTAATTCTTAATTAACTCATAATCAGTAAATTACTTGCAATTTTAGAAGAGGAAATTCATCCTCACTTAAACAGAATGTTTAGGTTAGGTTAGGAAAGTTCTAGCCCCCACTATTTTCAGTTCTTTATATGACTAAATAACAGTGTAAAATTTATTCATTCATTTCTTCATTCATAAAATTTATTCATTCATTTCTTCCAAGGTAATAAATATGATTTTTATGTTTCTTGCCAACAATAAGCATTATTCTCTGTACTCTTTCTGTCAAGAACAGTTAATAGCACCAATTAAAATTCTAGGAATCAAATTAAAATAATAGTCAAAATGAATCAAACCAAAATACATTTTTCTAACACATTTTTCGGGATTCTACATTATAAATTAATAATAAATATAGTAATTACTAAATTTAAATTTAAATAGCCCACATGTCAAAATGAAACTGAAGACCCTCAATAGACTCAAACTACTTTACTCACTTTTTTCCAAATCTTCAAAACTAGAACTGAGACAGAAACTAAATATATACCTATATTTACTTAAACCAATATGGACTTATTCCTCACAGATATATGGTACAGCTAAAAAGACCCACTTACACAAACTTCAAAATAAAAAATATTAGGACTTATAACTAAAGCACCTTGGTACGTGACAAGCAAAACATTACAAACCGACTTCCTCCTGCCTACAGATCACCAACACATAAGAACTCTTTATAAACGATTTCACACAAATTTACACGGAATTTACTTACATACTAATCAGAGATGTGGCTTCAGCTGACATGCCCATCAATACGAGGAGGAGATTAAAAAGGCGCTGGATGAGAGACCTCCTTTTTTAACAAACCATGGTAATTGATTCAAGACAGAGAAGAGGTAATGCTGGGTGTTATCCTTCCCCATGTCTGACATGTCGGTTTCGTTACTTTAATCAGACCATCTGCTGATTGTTAACAGTCGTAGACAGATTGATATTGAAAGATTTGCCATAGACTAGCACTTCAAAACTAATACCCAATTCTAATTATATTATATAAATAGGAATAATCCACGATTAAATTATTTGTTATGAACTTCATTCATTTAGGTATGAGAGAATGAAATTTATACCAGGAAATAAATACATACCTCTTGTTCAGGAAGATTTTCAGCAATGGTTGCTTCATCGCCTGTTCCACCTTCTCTCTTTTCCTTGATTCTCTGAATCCTATCTCTCTTAACATTACCAGCACTAACGAGTACAGACTTCAAGGCTCTCAGTCCAAAATCATAGTGGGATTGGTTGGAGAGTTGTTCATCACATAGTCTGAAATATTAACAACACAAGAAAAATTAGGCATGTACAGATTAACTTTCAAAACATGAGTCTCAAAGGCTGGGGGGAACAAAGTGATTTTCATAAATATTAAAATCCCCTAATGATATTTATAACCTTCACCTATCATCTTTATCCAAGTTACTATTATTAACCAGTGATAATATTGGGACTTGAAAGAAATTGTCCGAAATTCATAAAGATCATTGGATCAACATTGTGATTATTATATGAAAGTATTTTGCTACATTGATATTTGTATCTCATCTTTATCAAAGTAAATTACTAACAAAAAACTTTCATTCATCAATTAAATTTTCTTCACTCAACAAAACTAACTGTTGGCAGCACAAATCCAGGGAAAAACCTTTATTGCAGAACAGTTACAAAAACCTACACATATGTATTAAAATAAAAAGGCTTGGAGATCAGTGGTCAATTTGTACTGGCTAAGGAATATTTTTAGTATAGAAAAACATGTTTTAGTAAAGGATTAACAGTTGTCTGTCATGAATAAATTGAAGAGGAGTTGGTTTGGGTGTTCAGTCACAAGTAAAAAATTAAAAATAAATAAATATATTTATTTTTGCTGACATTTTGTACTAAAGTTTAGGCCTGCATCAGGACTGATCTCACAAAAGGTTCCCGTAAGATGAAAGCCTAAACTTTGGGGCGAAACATTGGCAAAAATAAATATACTTATTTATTTTTAATTTTTACTTGTGACTGAATACTCCAAACAAACTACTCCCTCTCAAAAACATGTTTTATTTCTACCAAGTATTTATAAATAATATATCTTTTTTTATTAAATATGTATTAAAATTTCTCTATATCTTGAACATGAAAGTTCTTTAAAAGCAGTTTTATTCAGGCATATCTTGAAATTTTTCATACTCGTCATATTTATTCAAATTGATTTTATTTATTATGGTTAACAAAGTACGAAAGACAATTTTTTTAGGGTGTAACGTTTCAACACCACTTAATCTGTTTTTAAAGATCTGAATTGTTTACAATCTCCTAAGCTTTTTAATATTTAATTAATCGAATCACAATTTTTGTACACGGTGAAACTTCTTTTTTTCCCTATTTAATTATTACCAATTCGTATGTATATAAACTAAGGATTCTCTAATGTTCAATGCATAGTATTTTTAAATATTTTTTAATTTATTTTTTTAAAGTATTTTTTTTTATTTATCTGAAAACTCAAATAGAATAAAATTTTAAGAAACTCACTTAAAGAATGGTACAATTTTAGAGGCCAATTTCTCGGCAGATCTGAAACCTTGGGAAAACAACATAACTTCAGCAATGAGTTGGCGATCTGGTTTTGTCATAGCAAGGGATCGGAATAATTTCTTCAAGTTATCAGGAAGGTTGGAACGTCCAGCATATCCAGGATTCATAGTAATAAATATTGCCATATCTGGAGATACACGAACTTGTTTGCCAACCAGTTCAACCGTTAAAGCTAAAATAGGAAAATTAAAAAAATAATGTATTTTTTATACCATTATACACCTAAATGTGCGTGTAAGTATAATTCTTTTTACTTACTGGAGTCTCTATTATTGGAGTCCATATGAAATTTTAATGCCTCTTGGATTGTTTGAATTTGCTGAGAAACAGCAGATAACATCCTTTCTTCAAGCCTGTTGAATTCATCGAAACAACCCCAGGCTCCTACCTAGTTACAGAACAAAAAACAACTTTGTTGTGCAAAACAACATTATTTTCCTGAAAGCATTTTCTTTTAATAATAAAAAAAAAATTTTTTGTTTCAAAATTGCTCTTTTTTTTTTTAACAAAATAAATTTTCATTGAATTTATTTTCAGTATGTACGAATAAAATGAGTAATTTTCAAAGTTTTAATATTTCCTTTAAAAAAATTATTATAATAATGTACATAAACTAAACAAGGATATCTAGTAATTATTTTATGTCATTGGTACTTGACACTATTGTAATTTACCTGACAGAGCCCAACAAAGATTCTGCCCATAGCTTGAAAGTCAAATGTTTCATCACAATTAAAAACAAGAACAAAACGACCAAGCTGGTGACCAAGAGCTTTAACTGACTCCGTCTTGCCTGTACCAGCTGGACCAAAAGGTGACCCTCCTAAACGAGCCTCCAAAGCTTGGGTCATAGTCAAGTAACACCTAAAAGACGTAGCAATAATGAATTAGTTTCCTATTTCACTAAAGTCATATGAGGCCAAATAAAAAACAAAAAAAGCAATATTTTATTTATTAATTACCTATCGGTCAAAGGAGTTTGGACTAGTCGATCTTGAACACCTAAATATTCAAAGCCATAGTAGAATTTGGCATTAGCCATGTGAATAGAGAGTTGAGACAAAGCTTCAGTCTGGGTTGCGTCGAGATAAAACCTGAAAATATAAATAAAATTATTTTTTGCAGAAATCTTGAGTTTTTATAGAAAAAAAATCTTGATTTTCAAAACAATTCACCCATGAGCATAATCAGAAATTTCACAATTTTAAAATTAAGTTATTGTGATTATGCCTATAAATACAAACAGCATAGAAAATGCAATAACAAGTGCCTGACATAGTCTAGAATTTTATTGTATCTTAAGAATTTAATACAACTTTGAAATGAATTTTAACTATTTACATTAAAGAAGACATTAAAAACTATTTTATAAATACAATACGAAAAACCATCAGGTATGTATATGTTCTAATTTATTTATGTACTTCAAATAAATAAATATTATTGGAACATGCTATAACATGAACATAACCAATTCGTAAGTAAAAAAAAATACAAATACAAAACACCGCCAAGTATGCATATGTTCTACTTCACTTAAGTACAACAAACAAAAAAAATTAGAACCTGATACTGGATTAATAATTGACTGTAGCAGATATATTGAAAAGTTGGTAGGGATTTTCAGTCAGTGAAGATCGACTTTTCAGCTTAAGTTTCAAGTCAGTGGTCTCTCGACACCTGATGAAGTCCTCAGTGTTAGGCCGAAACGTCGGCACAAAGGAAATAAAAATAAATATAATTTATTTATTTTTTCTTTGTATTTTCACGGACTGAAAATCCCAACTAAATTCTCTTCATTGATATAGAACATGTTTTAAAATTAATGTAACCAATTTGTATTTAAAAGATCTGTGATGAATTATTTAATTTCAAAAAAATACATTTTACAGAAATATCTAATAGATTATTTAATTACTTCCTTTAATTACAAAAATTTAGATAAATATATATATACACAAAAATATGATAATGATAAAATACTTTTGTCTTACTATTAATTTCTATAAACAAATTTTTCTTTCAAAACCTTCAATTTCAATGAACTGAGTTACGACTGTAATTTATTTTACATAATATGAATAATCATTCATTCATTCATGTATGGCACAACATCCCGTTACCGAGACTGGGCCTCCTCCAAGAGCCTCCGCCAGTTGGCTCTGTCTTCTGCTGCAGCTCTCCAGTTCCGCACACCAAGCAGGGTTCTCGCATCATAGGCCACGTTGTCCAACCATCTCGTCCTCGGCCTTCCTACCCGTCTTACGAGGTGCAGCTCCTCCATCATTATTTTTTTTGGTATTTCAAGGGTGCTCATTCTGGCCACATGCCCTGCCCACCTTAGTCTGGCCAGTTTAATATACGTGACTACGTCGATGTCTGCATAGAGAGAACTGAGCTCCCTATTTTTTCTTTTCCTCCAGACATCACCCTCCTTTACTGGACCATAAATCCTTCTGAGGACTCCTCGCTCAAAGACACTCAGCTTCATCTCATCCCTTTTAGTCATCGTCCAAGCCTCTGAGCCATATGTCAAAACAGGCCGAACAAGGGTCTTGTATATGATCAGCTTGGTCTTCTTTGAGAGGTACCTACTTCTTAAGTGTCGGCCAAGTCCAAAGACACATCTATTGGCAGCCGTGATCCTTCTTTGTATTTCTTGAGCCATGTCATTCTTGCTATTAATTTCAGACCCAAGGTATATAAAACTTTTCACTCTCTCAAACTTAAAAGAACCTACCTCAAATGGAGAGTTCAGATCCACCTCACCGCCAACTCTCATATACTTAGTTTTCCTCTCGTTGACTTCTAGACCAAGTGGTCTTGCAGCTGCTTCAAGGCTTATAAACGCTTCTCTGAGAGCCCGTTCAGACCTACCTACTATGTCAATATCATCAGCAAAACCAAGAAGCTGTGTCAGGCGATTGAAGATTATATCTTTGGTCTGAATACCGGAGTCTCTTACAGCTTTCTCCTCTGCCAAATCGAACAATAGACAGGCGAGGGCATCCCCTTGCCTAACCCCACTGCTCACTTTAAACTCTTCGGAGTCGTCAGAACCGACGCGTATTCTGCATCTCGAGCTGTCCATGGTCATCTTGATTAGGCGTACGAGCTTCTGAGGGATGCTTAGCTCCTCCAAGGCACAGTATAGTTGCGTTCTATCAACGCTGTCGTATGCTGCTTTAAAGTCCAGGAATAAATGGTGGGTGACTACCTTACGCTCCATAGTCTTTTCTAGGATCATCCTCAGAGAGAATAGTTGATCAGTCGTTGAGCGTCCTCTTCGAAATCCAGCCTGATATTTTCCCAGTTCCTTTTCAGAATACGGGAGGATCCTCTCAAAAAGAATGTTAGAGAGCAGCTTATAAGCACACGAAAGGAGTGAGATTCCTCGATAGTTAGCGCAAATATGAATAATGAAAACAGTTATTTTGTTAGAAATAAGAAAGGTTGATAACAATTAAAAACAATCAAGTGAAAAACGAGTCTTCAATTTGTTAATATCAACAACTAATCATGAATTTATATTAAGATTGTTCATAAACTTGCCTCATCTGACAAAGCCACTCAAAGGATTTCGGGGAAGATATATTTGCTTGTATTAATCTGCGAGTAACAGTTCTCTTGTGAACAAACTCATTAATCTGAAAAAAAAAAAAATGCATGAAATTATACATGATTTTTTTGTTTTTAAATATCACAGTGAGAAGTCAATAAAAAATTCCACCATTCTTAAGGAAAAAAATAAATTAAAGAGCCAATTATAAACTGTTAAGAAGAATTTGTAATAAGTACTTATGGTGTACGTAATTTTAAAGCATTACTATTGCTTCTGATCAAATCAATGAGTTCCAGTTCTTTAAATATTTTAAATCTCAAGTAAATATTTTACTTTTAAACTAATATAAAGTAATTATATTTTTTTCTTTTTATTAAGCCTGATGAATCAAGTGCTTATATGCACAAGAGGAATAACCACCATTGAATATATAGGATGTATATAATTTTCAAAAGACAAGCACCCTTTTGCCTTAAAAGCAAAAAGTTTCAAATAATAAGAAATGTCTTAGATCTTAAAATCAGCCAAAATCCAATAAAAACTCACCAATGCCTCAAGCTTTCTCCTTCTGAGGGGTGGCTGTTTGTGGAGGACACAGTCAGCGAGAACCGTGAGGGTGCCCTCAACCTGTGTAAGTACGCCCTGTAGGCCCCCTGATTTCCCGGAAAGAGCTGCTTCAACATCCTCTGACCAGAGAACTTGTGCAGCTAGAACAGCTATCTGTCCTTGATACCTAAGAAGAAAAATATAGTTAATTTAAACACTATAATTATAGAAATTGTAAAGAAAATCAATACTGAACGAGATATAGATTAAATAATGATTTAAGTCATATGGACATATAATTTCTTGACTAAATACAAATCAGATACCTGTCAACCCAAGCCATGTAATTAGGCGGATCCAAAGGTGCATCTTTGAAACCTCTGAGTTCACCAACAGCAGAAACAAGGGTAGCAGCTAATGTTAATCGCATCTCTTTTTCCACCAATGATAGCCATTCATTTATCTTGGGATGATCTACAGTAGATACTGGATTTGTAAAAATCACCTAAAAAAAATAATAAAATAAGTCACACAGCTAAAAAAATATCAATTATTAATAAACAATTATAAAGAGTAAACATTTATTATTAAGAAAGGCATAATAGCAGATTAGCTAAAATAAGATCAATAAAATTTACATCTGTTATACCGTCAGGTGATGATATAAAGTACTTACGATTTTAATCAATATAACAAAAATGTATAGATGTTCAAGATATGAGCAAAACCTCCAATAACAATAAAACAACAATTTCATTTCAATGAAAACTATAATTAAACATTAGCAATCGAGATAAAAAAAATAAACAGATAATAGACGCATATATTATAACAAGTGGTAGAGTCATCATATGGATAGCATTAACACTTTTTACCACCTACTTAATATGCAAATAGGAAGCAATATCTTCTTCAAAGGAAATTTATATTAACACATCATTTACAGAGAATGTATTTGATACATCATTTTATACTATGCAATTAATGATATTATCAAGAAACATGCACTATAATGTAATAGGATGCAAGCAAAACCTCATATAGCAATCTAATTTTTAGTAGACATTTATATTATAATGCCACTTGAAGAGAACGCATTTGACCCATTGTCGTCATGAATGCATTTTAGAGACCTTTTTTAACCAGCTAAATTAAAACATAAAATAACTGTTGTGAGGGTACTATCAAGAACCAAGAACTCAAATATCACATGGTGCTAGCGAAACCTCCCATTTCTATAGCAACCTTTTTTTAATGGATATTTATATCAAAATACCACTTATGGAGAATGCATTTTAGAGATCTTTTTTAACCAGCTAAATTAAAACATAAAATAACTGTTGTGAGGGTACTATCAAGAACCATGAACACAAATATCACATGGTGCTAGCGAAACCTCCCATTTCTATAGCAACCTCTTTTTAATGGATATTTATATTAACATACCACTTATGGAGAATGCATTTTAGAGATCTTTTTAAACCAACTGATTAGAAACACAAAATAACTGTTGTGAGGGTACTATCAAGAACCATGAACTCAAATATCACATGGTGCTAGCGAAACCTCCCATTTCTATAGCAACCTCTTTTTAATGGATATTTATATCAAAATACCACTTATGGAGAATGCATTTTAGAGATCTTTTTTAACCAGCTAAATTAAAACATAAAATAACTGTTGTGAGGGTACTATCAAGAACCATGAACACAAATATCACATGGTGCTAGCGAAACCTCCCATTTCTATAGCAACCTCTTTTTAATGGATATTTATATTAAAATACCACTTATGGAGAATGCATTTTAGAGATCTTTTTAAACCAACTGATTAGAAACACAAAATAACTGTTGTGAGGGTACTATCAAGAACCATGAACTCAAATATCACATGGTGCTAGCGAAACCTCCCATTTCTATAGCAACCTCTTTATAATGGATATTTATATCAAAATACCACTTATGGAGAATGCATTTTAGAGATCTTTTTTAACCAGCTAAATTAAAACATAAAATAACTGTTGTGAGGGTACTATCAAGAACCATGAACACAAATATCACATGGTGCTAGCGAAACCTCCCATTTCTATAGCAACCTCTTTTTAATGGATATTTATATCAAAATACCACTTATGGAGAATGCATTTTAGAGAAATTTTTTAACCAGCTGATTAAAAACACAAAATAACTGTTGTGAGGGTACTATCAAGAACCATGAACTCAAATATCACATGGTGCTAGCGAAACCTCCCATTTCTATAGCAACCTCTTTATAATGGATATTTATATCAAAATACCACTTATGGAGAATGCATTTTAGAGATCTTTTTAAACCAACTGATTAGAAACACAAAATAACTGTTGTGAGGGTACTATCAAGAACCATGAACTCAAATATCACATGGTGCTAGCGAAACCTCCCATTTCTATAGCAACCTCTTTATAATGGATATTTATATCAAAATACCACTTATGGAAAATGCATTTTAGAGATCTTTTTTAACCAGCTAAATTAAAACATAAAATACCTGTTGTGAGGGTACTATCGAGAACCATGCACTCAAATAACACATGGTGCTAGCAAAACCTCATATGGCAATCTACTTTTTAATAGACATTTACATTATAATGCCATTTAAAGAGAGCGCATTTGACACATTGTTTGAAAGCATCCAATTTAAGACATAAGATACCTTAAAACATTAATATTTTTTAATGGATTTTATATCAAAATACCACTTATGGAGAATGCATTTTTGAGGTCTTTCTTAACCAGCTAATTAAAAACATAAAATAATTGTTGTGAGGGTACTATCAAGAACCATGAACTCAAATATCACATGGTGCTAGCGAAACCTCCCATTTCTATAGCAACCTCTTTTTAATGGACATTTATATCAAAATACCACTTATGGAGAATGCATTTTAGAGATCTTTTTTAACCAGCTAAATTAAAACATAAAATAACTGTTGTGAGGGTACTATCAAGAACCAAGAACTCAAATATCACATGGTGCTAGCGAAACCTCCCATTTCTATAGCAACCTTTTTTTAATGGATATTTATATCAAAATACCACTTATGGAGAATGCATTTTAGAGATCTTTTTTAACCAGCTAAATTAAAACATAAAATAACTGTTGTGAGGGTACTATCAAGAACCATGAACACAAATATCACATGGTGCTAGCGAAACCTCCCATTTCTATAGCAACCTCTTTTTAATGGATATTTATATTAACATACCACTTATGGAGAATGCATTTTAGAGATCTTTTTAAGCCAACTAATTAGAAACACAAAATAACTGTTGTGAGGGTACTATCAAGAACCATGAACTCAAATATCACATGGTGCTAGCGAAACCTCCCATTTCTATAGCAACCTCTTTTTAATGGATATTTATATCAAAATACCACTTATGGAGAATGCATTTTAGAGATCTTTTTTAACCAGCTAAATTAAAACATAAAATAACTGTTGTGAGGGTACTATCAAGAACCATGAACACAAATATCACATGGTGCTAGCGAAACCTCCCATTTCTATAGCAACCTCTTTTTAATGGATATTTATATTAAAATACCACTTATGGAGAATGCATTTTAGAGATCTTTTTAAACCAACTGATTAGAAACACAAAATAACTGTTGTGAGGGTACTATCAAGAACCATGAACTCAAATATCACATGGTGCTAGCGAAACCTCCCATTTCTATAGCAACCTCTTTTTAATGGATATTTATATCAAGATACCACTTATGGAGAATGCATTTTAGAGATCTTTTTAAACCAACTAATTAGAAACACAAAATAACTGTTGTGAGGGTACTATCAAGAACCATGAACTCAAATATCACATGGTGCTAGCGAAACCTCCCATTTCTATAGCAACCTCTTTTTAATGGATATTTATATCAAAATACCACTTATGGAGAATGCATTTTAGAGATCTTTTTTAACCAGCTAAATTAAAACATAAAATAACTGTTGTGAGGGTACTATCAAGAACCATGAACACAAATATCACATGGTGCTAGCGAAACCTCCCATTTCTATAGCAACCTCTTTTTAATGGATATTTATATTAACATACCACTTATGGAGAATGCATTTTAGAGATCTTTTTAAACCAACTGATTAGAAACACAAAATAACTGTTGTGAGGGTACTATCAAGAACCATGAACTCAAATATCACATGGTGCTAGCGAAACCTCCCATTTCTATAGCAACCTCTTTTTAATGGATATTTATATCAAAATACCACTTATGGAGAATGCATTTTAGAGATCTTTTTTAACCAGCTAAATTAAAACATAAAATAACTGTTGTGAGGGTACTATCAAGAACCATGAACACAAATATCACATGGTGCTAGCGAAACCTCCCATTTCTATAGCAACCTCTTTTTAATGGATATTTATATTAAAATACGACTTATGGAGAATGCATTTTAGAGATCTTTTTAAACCAACTGATTAGAAACACAAAATAACTGTTGTGAGGGTACTATCAAGAACCATGAACTCAAATATCACATGGTGCTAGCGAAACCTCCCATTTCTATAGCAACCTCTTTATAATGGATATTTATATCAAAATACCACTTATGGAGAATGCATTTTAGAGATCTTTTTTAACCAGCTAAATTAAAACATAAAATAACTGTTGTGAGGGTACTATCAAGAACCATGAACACAAATATCACATGGTGCTAGCGAAACCTCCCATTTCTATAGCAACCTCTTTTTAATGGATATTTATATCAAAATACCACTTATGGAGAATGCATTTTAGAGAAATTTTTTAACCAGCTGATTAGAAACACAAAATAACTGTTGTGAGGGTACTATCAAGAACCATGAACTCAAATATCACATGGTGCTAGCGAAACCTCCCATTTCTATAGCAACCTCTTTTTAATGGATATTTATATCAAAATACCACTTATAGAAAATGCATTTTAGAGATCTTTTCGAACCAGCTAAATTAAAACATAAAATAACTGTTGTGAGGGTACTATCAAGAACCATGAACACAAATATCACATGGTGCTAGCGAAACCTCCCATTTCTATAGCAACCTCTTTATAATGGATATTTATATCAAAATACCACTTATGGAGAATGCATTTTAGAGATCTTTTTTAACCAGCTAAATTAAAACATAAAATAACTGTTGTGAGGGTACTATCAAGAACCATGAACACAAATATCACATGGTGCTAGCGAAACCTCCCATTTCTATAGCAACCTCTTTTTAATGGATATTTATATCAAAATACCACTTATGGAGAATGCATTTTAGAGAAATTTTTTAACCAGCTGATTAGAAACACAAAATAACTGTTGTGAGGGTACTATCAAGAACCATGAACTCAAATATCACATGGTGCTAGCGAAACCTCCCATTTCTATAGCAACCTCTTTTTAATGGATATTTATATCAAAATACCACTTATAGAAAATGCATTTTAGAGATCTTTTCGAACCAGCTTATTAAAAACACAAAATTACTGTTGTGATGGTACTATCAAGAACCATGTACTCCAATAACACATGGTGCTAGCGAAAACTCCCATTTCTATAGCAACCTCTTTTTAATGGAGATTTATATAAAAATACCACTTATGTAGAATGCATTTTATAGATCTTTTCAAACCAGCAAATTAAAAACATAAAAAACTGTTGTGAGGGTATTATCAAGAACTATGCACTCAACTGACAAATAATGCTGGTGAAATCTATTTCTATAACAAACTCTTTTTAATAAACATTTATATGAAAATGTCACTTATGGAAATATAGGTTGTTTCAAAGCAGCAAATTAACAGTAAATAACTGTTCAGATGGACTTTCAGAGAACTAGTTTTTGTTAATACTATTAATAATTCATCTCTTTTATTTTTTTCAAATAACTAATGCTACAAGCTTAGTTAAAGCCAATTAAAAATATGTAGTAATTCAACTAAATCTGGTCTTCAAACTACGGCCCGCTAAAGTATCAGAGTGATAACATGACAAAATTACAAAAACTATTTAAAAAAAAAGAAATTTAGTAAATGATGATAATACTAGGTTCGTACATTTATTGTATGAGTTGCTTCTCTTAGAACGTTCATTTCACAACTGAATTGTCTTTTACAGAACAACATTTATTTTTTCATTACTTAGCAGAGGTCTCAATGCGGGCGCGAAACTTATAAGAGATCTCAATATGGCATGCAGGCCATAAAGTTTGTAGACCCCTGAATTAAGTCAACTAAATTTTTACATTTAAATTTAAAATTTAAAACAAATTTATATTAGAGTACAATATAAATAAAAGCAATAGATTTAATTTTAAAAATAGCACTTCAGCATATGTCTATATAGTATAAACAATACTGAATATACATAAACAATAACATAAATTTATTTAAATATTTCTCGACAAAATACATGCCTCTTCCCCTTCTCGAGATGCTATTCCAGTGATTATCGTATTGTCTTCGTTCAACAAAATTGAAGCAACACCAGCAAACATTTTTTTGAAGTGTTTTTGAAGTCTTGCAATATTTTTGGAATTACCTATTAACACAAATAAAAATAAAAATTTATTATTGGTAATATGAAACAAAAAATTGATTAATTATAGAATCAACAGGAAAGATGTCCTACAAAAATATTGGGCATAAAAATGTGATCTCTACATCCAACATGTCAAAATAATGAGATTATATAGGCCAAGCAGACAAATATTTTTGTAAGCCACCATTTTCCTCAATTTTAAGATGTTCTTATAATTTAAGTGGAAATAAAATGGGTATTCAGGAGCTTTAAACACCTTATTAAATCGATTAATTTGATGAGAAAACAGTCTATTTCTGAGAATTTTCATAGATAAGAGTTGTGAGTTACGATAAGATAAAGCCATTCACGAAGTTTTAGTCGGACGTTAATAATTTGATAAAAAGAGGGCTGTAGTGCAGACTAAGACAGTCATATAGGATCAACGAACATATTCTCAGAATATACTCTGCACCATACCAGAATTCAGGAACCAAGTTTATATTTCAAAACAGGTTTAACCCTGATTTTATTTTTAAGGAAAAACTAGCCATAACCTTATAACACATAATTTAAAAAAAAATAAGATCTCAAACCCAACATTTAAAGAATTCTTAATGATAGTTCTGTCAAATTAAGATAAATTTAATTTATTACCAATAATTTCAAGTAAATCTTCATCACCAACAAAGTAAAATCTAGGAAATGACATTCTCTCCCTTTCAAGATACTCTCCTAGAGCTTTCTGTATCTTTTCTAACAAATCAGCTAATCTTTCCAATGATCTCTGCACTCCCTGGATGTTCAGAACATCCATTACCATAGGTGATTTAGCTACTTTCTTCATAAGGCCAAGAAAATCTGAGCTAAAAAATATAAAACCATAATTTTTATTTCAAGTAGAAAACAAAAACCTCAACTTACTTAAACTAAGTAGTGAAATTGTCGACGTAAGACAAAAAAATGTAGGTTATTAATTTAAAAAAACTGTCAAGTGTTACATTGAACAAATAAATATTACTTTAAAATAGAAAAATCTTGCCAAAATCATAAAAGTTAAGTTTAAAAATTCAAACATATTAGAGAACTAAAATAAGAATTTCAAGGTTACTAACTTTTGAGATATAAAGCAAGGATAATGATACAAATCATAAGCAGACATAAGGAGAATAAAAGGAAAAAATAAATAAGATCTTTGTCAATAAAAACAAGTCCAAAAACAAAATTCTTTATTATTTGTAGGATGATGAGAAAAAATATATAAAAAATTAGCAGAAGAAAACTAATTTAAAAAAGAAGTACCATATGTCACTTATTTAATTTCCTGACATAAACCTGAAATAATTAATAATTCATTATCACCTTATATTATGAAAGCGTGAAGTTTCAATGGGTAGAAGGGTTTTTATATCTGCACTTCCAGAGAAAATACCTTCCAGGTAAACCCAACGCCGCTGTACATCGATCCAAACATCAAACAGAGCATTTATTCTATTGAGTTTCTCTTCCCAAGTTAGAGCCTCTTCCTCGAACACCTACAAAACATGTATTGAATATTATTATCTATACATAAATATGCACATTATTTTACAAAGTTCTTTTCAAGGGATTTTTATGGGTAAAATATATTTTTTTTAAATAAATGCTCATTTCTCTGCAAAAAAAAAAAAAAAACACAACAATGCACAGAAAAGAAAAAACCTAAACCAATGTTCAATACCGTTAAAGATAAAATTAAGAGGTTTTACTTATTAAATTGATATTTCATCTCTCTATAATATAAGAAAGTTTTTCATGACCACACCATATTTTATTTTACATATACAAAGTGGCACCATGGCGAAGACACCAACACTTCTTATTTCCAGAATTATTTCTCCTTTATTATGGTTACAAATTGGCAATAAGGTGCAATGTACAATATAGATTTTTAAAGAAATTAAAAATTTGTCTGAACTGTGGTTTCGTTCCCTTTATTTTATGTTAACAAAAAATAATATAATCTAAAGAATAAATGTAAATTACAGTTATACTATTTGAGCAGCAAGTAGTACAATTAAATGAACAGATGTATAATTTGTAAAATGGGGGTCAGTCCATACTCAGGCAGACAGGGGTTATTCCCCTAGTAATAGAAAAGTCACCGAAGCAGGGTTGGAATACCTTCCTCACCATTTTAATTGATTACATATTTCCTAGTCTACGATTTGTCATCTGAAAATAAGCCTACATAAGTCACTCTTAAAGAACAATCTCTCTCTCCCTCTATCCACCCACAAACTTATCGTAGATAGAGTCTACAAAGCCACAATTTCAGAAAATTTCATAAAAATCGGATTAACAGTAATAGGTGTCACATTGATTTGACTATATACAGATAGACCAACTTTGTTCCATAATGTCTAAAACATAAAATGCAAGCAGAACTTAACAAATCTAAGAACAAAAAACTCTTTAACCTTCCCCAAGAGCACAAAGCTTTCCTACCTTCAGCAATAAAATAACTTGTTTGAAGAATTAATAAAAACTGAACTAATATGATTTAAATAGAATTGGATAAAAAATTTATAGAGACTAAATATTTCTTTTTTAATTCTGAAATTATATTTTTAGCTTTTCACAATGAAAGCATAACATACCTTATAATACGGTGATAGTTTCATGGCAGCTACAGAATTAATGTGTTCTTTGACCTTGGTGAAGAGATCGTCCCAACCTCTAATGAGGCGACATTTATTCTGGTAATTTATTAAATCTAGCTGATAATTCTGCCAAGATTCTCTGACCTAAAATTGTAAAAGGTTATTAATAGAAGTGTTAAATAGAAAAAGGTAAGATCCTACGTATCACCAAAGTATCAAGTTAAGACTACTATCAAACTAGTCTGCTGAATCTTCTCACCTGCCTCAGGAACTCCTCAAGAGCCATTTCACCTTGGGCAGTAAGAATAATGTCTTTGACAACACTCTCATTGGCTTGAAGGTCAACATCCCAAACTTGACCCAGGGAGAGCTCGGACAGTACCCAGTTAACTCTCAGCTTCCTCATGAGAGCCCTCCAGTGCCTTTCCTTCAGAGCATCACTCTTCAACTCCACAATCAGCATGTTCACCTGAAGTCCATACCATGTAAAAAACAATTAGCTGTTAAAATTTTAAAAATAGAAATGATCTGCTTCCATTATAAAATAAAGATTATAATGTAAAAACACAGTTCACATAAATACTTAATCAAGCAACAATGATCATATATTTTAATTTGTTTTTTTTTCTCAATCAACTTAAATTTCTAAAACACTAATGATTTCTGATGAAAAATTTTTGTGAGACAAATTAAAATTTAGTTGGTTTTATAATTTCGAACAACCTGTTCTATTAAGAATGGGATTACTATAGAATGATTTTTTTTTTTAATTGTAAAAACAGTGGTCTCTACAAATCAGCCTTTAGACAACATCCATAAATCAGCTGTTTTCTTGTTTTCACATGTCAGTAGAAGTGGAAGACAGTATTTTACTTGCTATACACAGCTATTGTTGTGTCATCTGGTGTCAGTGACTAGAGTGTATCAAATTTGGTCTTTCATGAGGGTTTGTTCCCTATAGTAGGCTAATACAAGTGGTTAATGGAGTTTTTAAATGTTTTTGTAAAAAAGTGACAAGGTAGCTCATTTATCTAAAAAGTACTATATTGGCAGTGGGACAATACATAACATAAAACAAGAAAATGGAGCATATTCAATCATTCTTCAAGAGTATAATCTTATAGCATAAAGTTGACTAGTGAAAAGTTTGGCTTTTTTTTTTTAAATATTAAACCTTACCGATAATTTTTAATAAAGATTTCTTCAATTTAATATTATAATAGTTTTAGATGTCAAAAGTTAATTAAAAGATCTAAATGGCACTGAATTTTAGTTCATTTTTGATTAATTCTAGAAAGTTTTCGGTCAATGAGGTTCAAGGGAATTATTAAGGCCTGACCTGGAAAATTCCGTGGGCTATTTAAGCAATGCCACATTGGCGATCAGAGTTCAGTTAATAGTTCAGCTTCAGTGAGTCTATTCGAAGCTGATTTAGGAATGATTTTTTCAGTAGAAAATTATTTATGAATAAGTATCATTGTTAAGGTAATGTTGTATGTGTTGGTAGTGCTGTGAAATTATTTGATATATATAATACTATGCATAGTAATGAGTAATTATATTTCTGTCAAATATAATGGCCTCTGGTAAGGATCATATTCTGAAATAATAATGTTAGATTGTAATCACTTAAAATAAACATCAATTAATTGTTTTTGAAAATAAAACCTGTCTGAAAACAGGTAAACTTATTAAATAACATTTTTACATCTACAAAATTGGAAGGTAGGCTTTAAAAACCAATTCTGGAAAAAATAGCATAAACTGACCTTTGTATAACCTTGCAACAGTTTCTTGACATACTCATATGAAGAGTATTGCCTGACACGTGCTGGCAACTCTTTGAGTTGTTGAGAAAGACCATCTAACTGTTGACGAAGCTTTCTAGGTTGGACTGAAAGCCATGGTATCTCCCTCGTTTCATCTAGTCGTCTCCATATACCAGACAATTCTGTCCAGACTTCCTTGAGGTCCTCCATCTCTTCAAAAACCACAGCCACTCTCTCTTCACTGCCACTGCTGGCACCTGAGAATTATGTAAGTGATATGAATCAAAGAAATTTTTAAAGGACAAACATGAAATAAAAATGAATTGAATCTGGTTATAAATGATGGAATGAGTTAAAACAAGGAGATAAATAAATGACGTAACTATAGAAAGGAATAAAATTTTACTGATAATCAACAAACACCAGTCGATAATTGTAACTCTTAGGGAATAGTAAAGATAACTCATGTATAGTCAGAAAAGTTTAGATACCTGTATATTGTAGTTCAAGAGCCTCCTTAGCTTTAGCTACATTGTCTCTCTCCTCCTTCAGTCGAGCAAACTTCACTTCAAATTCATTTAGCTGAGCAAGAGCTTCATCCGGCCTTAGCCTTCCCTCTATCGGCTTGGAGTGTTCCCAATCAGAAAGAAGGTCGTTGGTCCTGGCCTCAACCGCGCGGTCCTCAGCCACCATCTTTTGCTGCAGGCTCACCACCTAATATGCGACAAATGATACAATACAATACTGGACATAAACAAACTATACTTCATAATATTAAACTCAATAAAACAGAACTACAACTTTACCTGTGCTTGAATAGATAAGTCCTTCCTCTTGATGATCTCATTAAATGCAGACCACTCTCCTTCAACATTGTCCACGTGCAACCAGTTATTAGGAAATTGAAATCTTTGCCGCTCGAGAATTCTTTGTCCTTCTCTATAAATTTCAACCTATATTTCACAATAAAATTATCTTAATTCATCTTCCTTAGAACCAGACATATTTAGTTTATAAATAAAGAATTAAATTTATAAATTAAAATTATATTTCACAAAATCTATTATCATACAACACGTGAATCGAAGATGATCAAAGTCATTTTTTTTAATGGAAAATTGAAAAACATGATTGACAAATTTCTGGGAACCCTAAAGGAGGCGATAGAAAAATGCCTACTGGATACTATTTTTAAAATAAAATAAAAGTAAATAAATTCTTTGAAAGCTATTTCAAAATAGGTAGATAATTACATCATAAATCAGTTCAAGAAATTAAAAAAGTAGGCTAAGTAGGTTAGAATAGCTTCCATTTGGCTACATAAGCCTTCAAGTTTGTTGAAATTTACACAAGTAAGTTATTTTATGGTGTAAAACAGTTTCTTTCCAGAATTAAAATAATTTAATTGCAAAGTATTGAAAATATAAGGAAATGCAAGGATTAAAGTATTTTTTAAGAATTTAAACAGCTGATATTTAAACTAAGCTATGTTTGCTAATATTTTACAATACATTGTAGTTTTAGATACATCTTTTGGTTTCTACTATTAATTGAATAATCAATAGGAAATGAAACTAACCTGTTTCTGCCAAGATTTCATATTCCTTTTTAATGATTGAACATAAGTAATAAAACAGACTGCATCCGAGGTACTGGCTGCTTCAATTGACTGTTGTTCTAATTCACTCCGGGACTGTAAAAATGTTAGGTTTAGTAACAACTTTATATGACTGCCTAATTAACACTGAACCCTATCTATAAAATCAATCATACCTTCGAAATTTGAGAATGGAACCCAGACATGTCCTGGCCTAGAAGTCCACCAAATTTAGCCAAGATTTCCTTATCAAGAGAATCATATTTTAGTGCTACCTTGCTCTGAACTTTAGCATAATCAATGGCAATAGGACCAAACTGTCTACGTGTCTCAGATGTATCAAACGTAGTACGTGATTTCCTAAAAAAAAATAAAGGAAAAAATTCACTTATCATTATAATGTAATTTGTAAAAATAAATTTAAATTTGTAATTTATAATTTTTTTTGTTTATTTAATGAAATTTACAACTGTATACAAATACAACTAGTAAATATTTGCAAATTATAAATAATGGCATGTACAGGCTTGAAGAGATACTACCCAGTGGTAGCACTCTCAAAATAATTTTAAGTAAGATCACGAGGCCATCTCCTTTTCAGACGCCTAGGAGGATTATCAGGGATCGAGGAAGAAGCAAGAGTGGAAATAAGCGGATTTGGATGGGACTAAAGTTTATCATGAAAGGATAGATTAGATGGCTCGAGCTAAATCAGCGACATATGGTACATTAAGGTCTTAATGAATGGTTTTATTTGTGATAAAGTATGGAGCATCAAGGATTTTACGGAGGATTTTGGATTGTAAGGATTGGATACGATAGGAATTCGATGGTTTGGTGGAGCCCCAAAACTCAAATTTATAATTTAAATTGTGATTTGTAAATTTTTATTTAATTTATTATCAGCTTCAACAAATTATATATAGTTAAAATAAGAGACTTGAAGAACACACTCCCTCTGCAAAATTAAATATTTTTCTATAACACAATATTAGACAATGTTAGGAACTAGTGACTTAGAATGGGACTAGTGAACAGAGTTCACTATGATAGGATAGATTAATTTTGCACTAAATTAGTATAACATATGCGACTTTAAGGCCATTATTGTTAACACGTTAGCTGCTAAGCATGATATCTCTTAAATGTCTTTCCCGACAATATTGGTCCTCAGGCGACCGACACTAGTTATGAAGTTCCTAACACTATCTTTAGACAAATACGAAAGTGATCTAAATACGATATTCAATGTCTTTTTCTATTGATTGTGTCCTCATTAATAGCCAGTAATAGTAGGAGTGAACCCTGATGTCCAATGCCGTTTATATAACAAGTTTTTTATTATTTCTTTTTATTTCAATAAAAAAGTGTTATTTTTAGAGATATAAATCTTAAATATTGAAAATGGAATAAGAAAAGGTTTATTTATTACATATAATTATAATTTTCATGATATAATTTATACATCATTTGACTAATACTTTTTTAATGTCAAGATACAAAAAAAATATTGTGGTAATGCAGTGACAGTGGACAGCGCTGAGTTGTAAATTCATCAGCGAGAACTGATCGGAACTTTGTAATTGATATGCATTTTTTTTTTTTTCATGTTGAAGATGATCCAAGAATTGACCACCAACGGTTCAAACATTATCTCAGTCACCATGCATGTGCACTGTCCTGTCATAGCAGGAATATGTATCGGACGCCGGGAGGTGATACCGTAGGGAAATAATTTTTTATCAGACTCGTACCGTATCGGCCTCCGGCGTCCTACAAATTTGTATCAGATATAATGATTATTTATGTTTGTATCTTTACATCTATCCAACCCTCATTCAAATATTTTTTAAAATGACCATTTTAGAGACTTCGTAAGATAGGCAAAATTCAAAACAACTTCAGCCACTTGGCAGTCCAGACGAATATCAGAACCCGGGGACCATAACCGCAGGTAACGTGTTAATTACACAAGAAACATTATTGAAATTTTAAAACCAAAAAACATGAGTTAATTTAATATAAACATCATTATTCTTTGTAAGGAAAATTCACTTATAAATATACATATTTCATGCATAAGAATATTTCAAATATTATATATTTACGAATCATAGTAACAAATAAAAAATATAGACCGTACTTGACATCAGAAAGACATCTCATCCACATGGTTATATCATCTCCCAGCCTGCTGTATAGAGTATCCGATTGGAGATCCCAAAGGGATTGGTACCTCAGCCACTCATCTACATAATTGACAACCTGAAAATAGTAATTTAGATCATTAAAGGTTATATAAACTTTGTGAAAACATAAGCTAAATAATTGATAACATTCATTAAAAATAAATTTAAGTTTATTTAAATATTTGTTAGTGTTGCTTCAGGGTAAAAAAAATAAACATTTTTTACTTTTTTAATGGAATTATTAATTTAAGAATTACATTACATGCAGGAATCAAAAGTATCAAATGAATTTATATATCAATATTATTTACAAAAAAAATAAATTATTATGATAAATGATATAAATATAAATTTATACTTATAAGAATGTCATGGTACTTAAAAGAACTTACATCTTTGATTTTCCTGTCTATTGAATCATAAGCATTGATCAGGGCTTGGGAACCATTAGGCAGCTTAGTCAGTAAATCTCTATATGACTGAGAAATGAGTCTTTCAAGCCCAAGCTAAAAACAATATTCGACAATTAATAAATTACAAAAGGGCAATTTAAAATCTTATCAATTTAAATAATAAAACTATTGTCAACAAATATCTGCTAGAAGCTAACAATATTATATAAAGAAATAAATGACCTGTACAGCTTTTCCTATATATCATGAACATTAAATAAATTAAAATTTAACAGTCTCAGATTTACCAATAGTATAACAATGTGACATGACATTGTTAAAATCATAGTAATCAAAAACCTTGCAAATAGATCATCATTGACTGTAAATAACTTAAATTTGGTATGAATTATCACTTGATATATAAAATATTTAACCCGTTAACCGAGTGGAATGTATAAATACGTAAAACAAAAACAATAGCAGCTACGGGTTAGGACATATGAATACGTCCTTGAAATATATGTTGTGCCCTGGAACGGGCAGGACATATATTTTCAAACAACACATGTAATAGGCTAAAAAAAATGTATAAAAAAAATTATCTGATTAATTGATATGTGCTCCTTCAATACATATATTATATATAAAAAAGATAAAGGTCATTTGGATTGATTACACTTTTTGATAGTGTATAGAGAAATTGGTAGATAACAACATAGTCAAAACCCATCCCAAGATATCAACAAGTAACTCTACACCTAAACTATCACGCTTAGTTGAAAGGCATTTTCCAGAACAAATGTAAAGCGATATAGGAAAAACTAAATTCAGAAAATGAAGAATTTACTACCGAAAAAGGTGTTAGGAAAGAATCTATACACTAGTGTCCGGATTGTAATGTAGCACTATGTATCAACAATTGTTTTAAAATATATCAGATGGAAATTGATATATATAAACTCAATACTTCTATTTTATTTTTGGTAATATTAGTAATTGTTTGTAAAATTTATAACTTGATGTTTCCATTTTTTTGTTGGTATTCTTTTCTATGTGCTTGTAATTTTGTATTTTCCTTTATGATTTTATATAAATGGACAAAAATATATATATTTTATAGTCTTTTCATTTATTTTAAGCATAAATAAAAAAAAAAACAATAATATGAAATTACGTCCTCCGGGTATGACCAACTGGCACGTCCTAGTGAAAGAGTTCGCGCCCGTTATATGCTGCGTAATTAAAAAGAGAATTCCCCGGTTAACAGATTAAGAAAGGAACAGCTAGAGTAGTTATAATAAACTAGTTGCCTATAATCCTCAAATCACACTGGTCAGTGACCAACCAATATAATATGGGAACACGTAAATAAAGGTATTCACCAATCGGATTCTAGGTATTTATTATACATGGAAGGAATATCTCTTGCTAGGTTAATTACAATAACTGAAGGAAGTTTTTCTACTATTCTATACATTATGAGTGATAAATAGTCAGGACACAGTCATTTTAAGATTTTTATTGTTGCTGACATTTCAACCCAAGCATTTGCGTCATCTCATCAGAGCTAAAAAATTGTTTGATACAATCACAAATATAAAATTATTAAACAGATAATGGTTAATAACTAAAAAACATAGTGATGGACGATATACAAAATCTATTATATGTATTATCCATCACTATGTTTTTTAATATTAACCATTATCTGTATTATAAATATTATATCTCTGGTTGTATTAAACAGTTTTTCAGCACTGATGATTACTTACAAGCCAGGTTGAAACATCAGCAACAATAAAAATCTTAAAATGACTGCGTCCTGAGTATTTATCAATTAGAATAGTTCAACTAACACATTTGTAAATGTTACAATAGACTGTCTTTTTTTAAAAATGGTCCAATGAAATTTTTTTTGTTTCGCAATGGATTTAGAAACCTTTCTAATTATCATGGGTATAATCCAACATAAAATGTATACTTTTAGAAATTATGTATACACAAATAAAGTTTGCTTTTCTTAACTATTTTTAATTTTGGTTCATCTAAACAAAAACAACTACATTTGTTGGCTTTAAAACACAAGACCCAGTACGTTCCTTCCCAAAGGATCTTAATGCCTCCATTGAAATCTTTAAAACTGATCTGAAACCTCATATTTTTTTCTATGAATTATGAAGTTGTAAATAGATATTTAAGGATCAAAATAGAAATTCGTCACTTCCCCATTAAATTCCCTTTAGTTTGATATATTATTCATTGAAATCTACTGCTCCTGAGAGCTGGAAAAGGGATCTATACTACTGTATTATAAATAGTATATACACTATTTATGTTTTAAAAAATAGCCTTTCTCAACACAAATATCAATATATAAATCTATAAATTATATTAATATATCATGAACATTAAATAAATCAAAAGTTAACAATCTCAGATTTACCAATATCACAATGTCAAACAACATTGTTAAAATCATAGTTATCAAAAACCTTGCAAATAAATCATCATGGACTGACTGTTAAGAACATCCCCACTGTTAGTATAAAAGGAATAAAATATGAAATTATACATTAGCGACATAAATCTGATATGGATTATCATATGATGCATAAAATATTTAAAAAAGCAATACTTGGAGAAGATATAATAAATAGAAGATTTATGTTTAAAAAAATAGTTCTTCCCCGACAAAAATATCAATACAAAAATCAATATAAATCTATAAATAATATCAATATATAACATACAAATTAAATAAATTAAAAGTTAGCAGTCTCAGATTTACCAATATCACAATGTCAAACAACATTGTTAAAATCATAGTTATCAAAAACCTTGCAAATAAATCATCATGGACTGTCAAGAACATCGCCACTGTCAGTGCAAAAGGAATAAAATATGCAATTATACATCAGCGACATAAATCTGATATGGATTACCATATGATGCATAAAATATTTAAAAAAGCAACACTTGGAGAAGTTATAATAAATAGAAGATTTATCTTCTAAATAATGGTTCCTCCCCAACAAAATTATCATTACAAAAGTCAATATAAATCTATAAATAATATCAATATATACATAAAAATTAAATAAATTCAAAGTTAGCAGTCTCAGATTTACCAATATCACAATGTCAAATGACATTGATAAAATCATAGTTATCAAAAACCTTGCAAATAAATCATCATAGACTGTCAAGAATATAAATGATAACTTAATGTAAAAAATATTCAAGAGAAGCAACTAAGAAGTAAATAGAAGATTTATCTTCTAAAAAAATAGCTTTCTCCAACACACATCAATATATAAGAAACTTCTAAGTAAAAATATTTGGGCTAATAGAAGACTTGTGAATTATAATTAATAACTAATTTTAACTTTGAAAAAAAAAATATATATAAACTGAGATGAAATATAATATTTCAAAGTCAATTTACAAATTATTTTAATTGATAAGGTGCGGAAATTAACCTGATATCGTGAGCTCTGAAGCCTTTGCTGGGAAGTTACAACAGCCTGCCACTGGAACAACTGTTGCATTATCTGGAACCTCGCTTCTTCTATGCTCGGGTAAAGGTACATAATCTGATTGGTAATGCGTACTTCATGAGTCACGGTCTGCACCTGTATATTCAAAGTAATGAAATTATATCATTTTTTCTATACAGAATAGTGGATTGATTTCATAATATAAATATGTAACTGTCCTACCAACATGCTAAACCTCTCTAAATAAAGGCACTAATCACCATATCAAGAAAATATTTAAATCAGTTGGATACTATTTAATATAACCAATTAATGAAAATTTGTATAACGTGGGTTTTATTGCAAAAAATCAAGCATCATAAAATTAAATCATTAAGTACTTTGATGAATTTTAATACTGTGACCTTCAAAATCAGACCGTTTTGCACACAGTGAGGGTATTATTGAAATACACAATGGTTTGTGTCATTTTGATGCACTAAACTTGTTTTTACATCGATCAATAAGCTTAAAATTCACAAATCCGTATTCCAAAGTTTAGTTCCATTAAATATGTACATAGTAACTTTTTGCAGTAAACCGATAAAATTGTCTTACTAAACAAAACAGATTAAATGATAGAAAAATAAAAACGAAGAAAACTCCAAGTATTATAACATTTTAAGGCCACAAAGCCAGATATAACATTTTAATTTTGTACTTTTTTGTTATTCTATAGGGAATTCGTCCCACAATAAAATTATTTGCTATTCTATTCTATTACTTCCTTAATAATCAAAAACGTAAGCAGAAAAAACATTTGCTTGATAACAAAAATGTTCAATTCAATATTAAATTCTAAAACCAGTAAAAGACTTAAAGAAGTTTCGAAAGACAGGATTATAACAATTAGTTTTCAGTGAGGTATCAGTTACTGGCCTAATATGCATTAACTCAGCTGCCATTTATTCAGGTAGCATTATCTGTCTGATATACCCTCATTTTTTAAATATAAATGTTATAAAAAAATCTTTCAAAATTGCCATCGGTTAATGTAAATTCTTTTGTACAAACTCTTGACCTAACAGTCAAATTCCAAAAAAAAAAAACACTCATAGATCATGAGCTTCTAGTACTTATTCCAGAAACTATAACACTGAAAAATTGGTTTTAAATATGACAAAAATGATTCAGCTGAAGTGTCTGCCAGATGAGTGCAAAGCCATATTCGAAATATTTTTGGATTGCTGCAGGAGATAAAGAAAAATACTTTGACGATGAGATAACAACAGGCCAGTTTATTCTAAAAGAAAGCTCATAGAGAAACTACAGATAGATATATCATTTCATAAGATATAACCTATACGGTAAATGATCCTCAATTTCAATCATACAGCCTTATATGAAGGTTGACTATTGATGAAAAGTGAGTGACTAGAAAATAAATGATATTTTGAAATGAATAGCTATAAAATAAGAAATAAGGTAATATTAATTAGACTGCTTTAGTTAAATTCTTTGAAGATTAGTTTCTCCACCAATGACAGTCTCTGTATAAATTATTTTATTTTACAATTTAGAACCAGAGAACCTTTCGGTGTATCTACACCATATTCATCTCTTTTTATCTAAACTTTAAATTGAAAATTTTAAAAAAAGAAGTCAGATGGTTTTGATAAAGAGATGTTTCTGTTCTCTATAATATATAATATAGTATACATTATACAAGAGAAATATAATATGAGACAAAGAGCACGAACACTGTTCCAATCATTTATATTATTGTAATTACGTTTAATAATAATATAATTATAATTTAAAAATTATTAAAAACATAAGTAATTTATACAGAAACTGTCATTGATGAAGAACCTGATCTTCATCAGAAAAGAGTTTATCTGACTCCTCCCACATAAATAAAAACACACTAAAAATAGTAAAATAATAAAATTCAAATAAAAAATAATCATTATTTATAATTTAATGTTTATATCAATGATTTTAATTATAAAGGTGAAATTAAAGTAAATAAAACAATATTTTTTAATTTAACAATAAACATTACTAACATGTGGATCACCACCAGGTGCATGCGTCGGTCTAGCTGGGGCATCGGTGTCCATACTCAGATCTAGCTCGTGGCTCTTACCTTCCAATGCATCAGTCCAAGCATCAATACCTGCCTGAAGCCTTCCTCCGAGGTTCTTCTCAACCTGATATTAACAAAAGAAGAAAAGAAAATTATGCCCAACTTTACTTATGTTTTAAATTAACTAAAATATTATTATTTTAAATTAACAGTTAAGAAAAATTGCCAAATTGCATATGTCTCATATAAACGAAAAAAAAAAAAACTGAGCGGTGTTAGTAAGCCAAACCTAATCCATTATTCTTCATTTTGGAAATATGATCTTAAATTTGGACCCACCAATCCCAAAACTAAGAAATTAATTTTAACCATGGAGATGGATATTGAAATGTTTGGAAAAAATAGAAATAAAAGTTAAATTAATTAAGTAAAAAGAGTTTAAGTAAAAGAGTTGACATTTTTTAAAAAATAAAAAAAGGTTCATTTTAGCGAAAAACTTGAAACAATAGATCTAGGCGTGGTGGGAACTTGAGGTATGGCCTGAGACCATGGTTGCCTACCTATACAGCAGCAAAACACAATGTTATAAAAATGTTTCTCAGCTCCACCCACATAAATCCATTTATAAAGCCAATAAAATACATTTTAAAATAAATATTTTATTCATTTCATAAAAATTTAAGGATGCCTGTCTGTTTTATGAATATTTGTATTTTTTTTTTAATCTTTTTTTATGACACTTCCTCCCATATTTATTTAGCCTGTTACGAGGAATTTTCGAAAAGGATAGATTTTGGAGTAAACTAGATATCTTGAGCCCTAATTCATGATCAGTAACATTCCGTTAAATATAATTAATTTTGTGGGTTGGTTGACTGTAGTGAATAATTGAAGAGAAGGATGGTTGGAGTGATCAGTCAAAATAAAAATGAATAATTCCATCAATCATCCTTCTCTTCAACTAATTAATTTTGATTGGTAGGAAAGGGGAGTCATAATTGACAAAACATTATCTATATAATTGTTTTTAATATTTTAAAATGATTTTAGGCAATGTAATGAAATAGTTAAAACAAGAGGAGATAGCAATAAACATTCAAATTTATTTAAAATAAATCAAATTTAAAGCAAAACTTACAGCTTGATCAAGCCTGCTGACCCAAATGTGAAGATTAGAGTATTGTTTCAATGAAAGATCATCAACAGCATGTTGTACTTTAGCGAGAATATCTCGAAGAGTTGACGCAGAGTAAGGACATGTTTCCAAAGATCTATGACAGATTTAATTACAAACATAACATTTACATCTATCTCATTTTTTAAAAAATATATTCAGATAAAACAATTTAACTCATATTTAAAAAAAAAAATTGTATTTTTCCATCATTCAACTCCGAAACGTAAGATCTATTTATGGATAAAATATTGTCCACATTATTTGCATATCTACTTTTAAGCATAAAATTTATAAAAGCATGTGATTGATTAATCTTCAAACTCACTTAAATTTCTTAGATTAGAATAAGTTCTATTAAAATATTACAAAGAATAAATTCAGTTAAAAAATTGGACAGTATCAAACGGACAAGTATTAATAAAACAACAATTTTATTTTGGAAATACAGTGACTTTTAATACATTACATTACTAAACTGTTGCCAGATTTTAGTAAGATTGCATAGTGAATATCCTAAACCTATTAGGAGAATAAGCAGTGAATGGGTTTAAAATTAAAAAAATCAGTCCTATTGTCAAGATATGGCTACTCTATTTGTACACAATAAGGTTCATTAAATAACTTTTTTTATTATTATTTTCAGTTGGATTAAATTTAATCTTCTCACTATAGCCATATATTTTTTTATCCACCCTGTAATTTATCTTTCCTTTTTAAATGCTTAGAAACAAAAATTGTTTGAAAAAATTAGCATAAAACACAAATCTTTAATGTTATAAATGTTTTATGAAGGATATATCTAGCCCATGAATGATAAATAAGAACATCCTATCGGTAAATACTGTATAAACTTATTTTTCAAGTTTTCTGTATAAAATGTTCAAAAATTACATCTGATTCATTCATGCTAATCTTATTGATTTCCTTATGAAAATGTCCAGTTTTTATATGAGCCTTTCAGTTGGCAGAATGACTATCTCCAATTTCAACATCTTAGAGTAAAGTTATTTTAGTGATATTTCTAATTGGAAAATTTATAATATCTTTACAGGCAGTGAGTAAGTACGTGTCTGCAGTGTTGAAATATAGAACTGTGAATAAAGGTACAAATTTTCCCACTAGAAATACACTAAAATTAATAATCAAAACTGTTGAAATTGGAGTTATTGTCATTCTGTCAACTGAAAGGCTCATATAGCATAGTAAATTCTAGTTTTAAACATAAATATGTTTTTTAAGTTTAATTAGATGTATACTGCATGTAATTTACACTACACCAACATATAGTAGAATTTTGAATAAGAGATGAGTGATCTTGAGGAAAGTTTCTCCATAAATCTCATAGATTGAATCTTTTACGCTGCAGGAGAGGACAGATTACATGTTGAATGATAACTTGAGCTTCTCCTGGTTGCTAATATTGTGTTATGGAAAAGCATTCAATGCAAGAGAAAGAAAACTTTCTCAAGGTCAGCCACCTCTTAATCCAACTTCTTTTTAAGCATAATAGAATATCTTGTGTATCCACTATATTTAAATCATGTTATCATTTAAGATCACCATAAAATGTAGCTTTAACTAAAATTTGCTTCAAGAAATTAATATATAAACTCACCTAACATCAACATCGAGCTGTTCTTCAACAACCAGAAGATCCTCAACTTTCTCCTGAAAGGTACAGACCTGTTCAGCGAACCGATGGACATATTGTTCTAGCTTGTAGCTCTCCCAGACTAATTGTATGCCCTTAATGATAAAAAGGTGTAAGATATTTTTCATTAAGTTGCTTAAATATCTACACACTATCTAGCAAAGCATACCTCAGCCACAAGTTGTTGCATTTCTTTTCTCAGTCCAGCAACCAATGGGATAATGCTGGCTTTATCGTCTAACTGTAAACATCATAAAAATAACAATGAATAAATTGTCACAAGAACAAAAAATGTATATAAAATACAAATAAAAAAATCATTATAAGTTCCGACATTCAACAAACAATTTATTCATTAAAAATTTTAGGATAAAATTTGATGACATTGCTATAATGACCATAGAGTTTCAGTGGAAAATTAAAAACAAGACTTTAAAATTGGTTTACGGTAAAAAGAAAAATACAAATACAAATAAAAAATAAATAATTTGAAAATACATATCAATTTATTGATTCTACTATAAAATTCTACTATAATATACCAATATAATCAGTTACCTGAAAAAAAAATTATTAATACTATTAATAAAGCTATGCTTGGTTATGAACAAAGATCTATCCATTCAGCAATGTATGTACATGGTCCCACAAAAGGAAATAATAAGCTAAGAATTTGAGGAAAAAAATAAGAAAATTCACTTTAAGATGTTTTTATAATATTTATACCATTAAGAAATCCCTTAGCCATTCAAAATGTCACTTTAAAATAGTATCAACCAATTTGTCTAACTCATAGCAATGAGTCAATGTAATGTGTTTAAATTAGATATAAATATATTTTTACAAGGAAAGATGTTTCCACAAAATTACCAGATTTTTAGAAACCTTTATAAAGATGTCTGGTAAGTTATTTCAATTAAAAAATAATGAATCACAGGTTCTATTTTATAATTTAAAAAATTACTACACATCATATCTTATATAGAAAAGTTCTACATAAAGATTAAATTCGGAAGGAAAAGTAAATTATTAAAATGGAAATCTCCTAAATATTAAAAGAAATTCCATTTCATATTCAGCAAAAATATGGTACCCACACAATATTGTCAAACAAACTAGAAAACATACAAAGTAACAGAGCTGTAAAATAGACATTACACTGGCAAGTGAATAAATAATATTACTTGTTCTCCAAGATTACCAAATCTAAATCATCTTTTGTTTTTTATCTTTGGATTCACGATTCTATTTTTTTTTTAAATATGAGTGGTGAGTTTACAAAAAAAATGGATGTTGCCAATAAAATTTGCAAAATTAATGTGACGAAATGTGTTTGAAGCTCAATGATTCTGAAGTATCAAACTAGCACAATACTCTATTGTAAGAATTCTATGACATCAGATGAAGAGTAATAGCAGTTCTATTAGTTTGTTCAGATATTAATCAATTTTAATTGTTGCTTTAAATATTAGTAATATTAAATATTAATATTTAAATATTAATAAAAAATGAACAATTCATACAAAAAGTTTTAAATAAAATAGAAAATGTGAAGTAAGGAAGAAATAATTGCCCGGCACATATTATAAAAGATAAAAAATTCTCCAACAGAGCTTCAATACTATGTTTTTTATACATGTTTATATATATTTTGACAGTATGTTTTAATAATAGACAAAAAATATTTTTTTATTTTTTAACATAAAAAAATCACATTCTCCCAAAGTAAAAAATAAAATAAATAAAAGGAGAATGTATTTTTCTCATTTTTATTCCACTTAACCGTTCCACTTTGCATGACACCACATACATATGTTGCACTTATTTACAAATCAAGATAATTTTCATGCTGATATGCACCCTAATGAAACAAGTTACACACAGTACTTGTCATGCACTTATGTTATAACATTAAATTTTAATTTACAGCTAACATATATAACAATTCATACTTGGAATTATATATTTTACAAGATTGGCAATGAATCATAACAAAGGGTCATTTCTTATCAAATCAATCAATTAAAATTTTTTTGGAATCTGTATGTTTTTGATTTACATGCTTTTTGGTATGTTAGGAATACCACTAAATAAATTAAAAATATCTTATTTAAATATTTGTTTCTTGAATAGGTGTTTTAATATTGATTGTTAAAAATTGCTGAAATAGTCAATTTCAACATGTTTTGATCATTATATGAATACATTTTTAATGAAAAATGCAAGTAGATTTAGATTCAATATGTTCAGAGATATCTTTGGAAGCTCATTTTAAAGCTTATAATATGGGTTTTTATTTTATATATAACATGAGAACTGCAATTAAATTTGTTTTAGTTGTCATTGAATTTTTTTTAAAAAGTCAAAACATATCTTAGATTTAAAACAAAAATGTTATTGACATAAATTGTTATTGGACAAATTATTTATTAAATAATATGAAGAATATTATCATGGTAAAATACAATATAATTGACTAAAGAAATATATTTTAATTATTTCACTGCAATTTGGTACTTCAAAATATTAAGTCATATATAGTAGTAATTCAGCAGTGAAAACTATTTTTTTCTTCTTAAAACTGATAGATTTTATCAATTATACAACATTTTATCAAAACAATGTGCTTTATACTATTGAATTTTTTTAAATATTTGTTTAGGCAAAATTCAAAGTGAAAATTACTTTAGCCTTTCATTTGAAGATATAATATGAAGAAAATACTAAGAACACCTGCTTAACATTTATATTATATATACTTGCGATTCCACCACTTCATCATTTTGAAATTTGTCTAGAATTTAATCAATACATGTCCGAAATAACATACATTTAAAAAATATATATCTAAGAAGATAGTATTTTCAAGATTTTGAAAATTTAGAATTTTATTGTAGTAAATATAGAATGCCAAAATAACATTGTGTGTGTGTGTGTGTTTTGTGATCACAAATATGTTGAAATTCAGCAATTTTTTAAAATTAATAGTAAAAACTACTTAAGAAAAAATATTAAAAATTATAGATCTGTCATGTGTTTAGTACGTTAAACTAAAAAACTTAAAAGCATGTAAATTGGAAACATGCAGACCCTAAACCTTTGATGATTTCATATAGAATGAACCCAATTTCACATTTTCAACATGCAGCAACATATTTAAAGCATATTTCCCATCAGCAACAGCTTAGTGTAACTTTCCATTATTAATAAATTGCTATAGACTTAGCAATCTACCAATTCCACATTTATTCTTATTGTGTGTCGATCAAGTCGCCAAAGGTGCTGTATTATTTATAACATGAGACAACAATAATATGAGAACAAATATAAGAAGAGCTTTGTGTAGTTCATCACGAGAAATATCTTATTAGTATCAATTTTCCTGACCTAACATCTGCCATGCCTCCAGAAACCATGAAACAGCCAAGAGAAGCAAACCAAAAGCAAAGCCAGCATGGGTTCACTTGGGATAGAGAAGCTGGGCAATATTGACTAATAAAGTAGAGGGCCGACTTTCTCTCTTTTGCTAAATAACCGATGATTAACAATCAAAAAGTGTGGGCAAGTTCCTAAACTTAGCGCTGATCACATATCAATGGCATCATTTCTCTCAGTTTAGAGACAGATCCAATGCCATCGATTAGCTGGGCGCTCAGTTAAGGAACTTTCATTATGTACCACATAGATGAGGGATTACATTTTATCTTAAAACTGCTATGGTAGGTTTATAGTATTAAAGTAAATATTGGCTTTTTAATACATTTTTCAAGTAAATATTAGCTGTCTGTTAGTGCCAAATGGAAAAGTATTAAGACAAACTGTACTTTAAATAAAACATCTTTAAAAATGAGGTTAACTCTATACTTTAAATTAAAGAAAATTCTAAAGAGAGGATAAGCTGACAATATGAACTTACAGCATTCAAGAACTTGAATCAACTTACTTTTATTTTTCCATTAAAATAAATTAAATAATTCAGAAAATTAGACATGTTCCCTCATCTACATGATACATGAAACTTACTAAATCTACTTTGAAAAGCAACATCAATACACATTTTTCAGAAAGAAATGATTAATGGTGTAATAAAAAATAAATGATATAGATAATAATTTATATATATATATATTATTTAACTACAGAGATTTAGTTAATAACAGCATATTTGGTAACAAACAAAAATTGTTTTTAGCCAATAATAATAATTTTAGATGAACACACAACGGTCACAGAAAAGTATGGTTTAAATTTAAATTTAGAAACATGACTTAAATTATAAACTATTAAAATAAATCAATCAAAAAAACGAAATCAATAGTGAACATTTTTTGGAAATACTAAAATATCTAATTTTGGTAATACTAAAAATAAACCATTAAAAAAACAAAGGACTTATATGAAATAAAACAATTTTGATTTTGATAAAGAAAGAAAAAGTTATTTTTTTAAATAACTTCTATAAAAGAAGAATTTGAATCATAAGAAAAGAATTTAACACATATTTACCACCATTAATCATTAGTTTATAACTACATCAATGCCAGCCAATATAATTGAGCTATAATAAAAACCTAATAGATATATGATCGTGATCTATAGGGAATTAGTTGCAGTGATAAATTAGGATAATTGTTTTAAAAGGGAGAAAGACAGAGAAGAAAAGAGAGAGAAAGAGAGGGTACAATGAAATACACAAGAGAACATAAATGTATAGATAGGTACAAATAGGAAAGACACATATATATAGAAATTAGAGATAGAAATAGAGACAGAAAGATAGGAACTCTTCTACATCACCTTCTGCGGAGGACCGGGGATGCCTGACGTCCTGTTCATCAGCTGTGCACACATATATACTTTGGATAAGTAACAACTTAAACGGCACCTCTATTTATCTTTCAATAATTTAAAATTGTTACTTTTCCTAGTTTTTTTTTTTTTAATTGGCTCAAAAAATCAACGATTGGAGCAGAGATGATAGAAAAATAAATATAATGCAAAATGAAGAAAAAGAGTTACAAATAAAATATATTAATAAATTACAACTAAAAAAAAAGATAGAAATTATTTAATCTTTTGGAAAAACATACCTGAAAAGCCACACAGAATATTTACAATGACAATATTTCATCTATCAATTAATTAAATGCAATGAATAATTATTTGAAAATTAACTAATTTTTATTTTGTTCCTTTTTTGAAAAAAATGAAAATTATAGCCAGTAAAAAAAAAAAAATTTACACATCTTTGGAGGTGTGATACTTTCCAAATATGTTTTGGCAGAACTAAAAGTAGATATTTATTTGATGGGATGAAAAATAAAAATAATGTAGAAGCTGATTATTATTAAAATAAATAAAAACTTGATTGAATCATCAATGGACTCCTCTCCCTTTCACATTGAATACTCTACAGTAGAGATTAGAAAACAGACTTCTGAGAACTAAAGCTTTTCCAAGGCGGTAATACTGTCACAGAAGAAAATTCAATGTGAGAGAGGAAGAAATCTTCCTCAAGATTACCTTTCTCTTATTCTGGGTTCTACTATAATGGTGTTTTCAATGAAGGAAAGGGGAGAAGAATATAAACTTATATAATTGTGAGTAAATGGTTGACTGTCGTGAATAATGAAGAGAACAATAATTGGGGTGATCAGTCAAAAAAGAAGGCTAAAATAAATGATAATATTTATTTTGACATTTGCCGACGCTTCGACCTGAAGTTCAGGCCTTCATGAGGGCTAAGGAAAGAACCAGATAACAAGGTATGAGAAACATAAGTAGTGTAGGTAAAAAAAATTAAAGTTAAATGAAGTTGATAGAATAATGAAAACAGTAAGAACTAAGAGATAAATAATAATAACCATTACAAAGTGTGGAATGATGAAGTAAACATAATCAAAAAAAGGTGACATAGGTATTAAAATGGGAATACTGTAACGGTTATTATTATTTATCTCTTAGTTCTTACTATTGTCATTATTCTAACAACTTCAGTTTACTTTAATTTTGTTTACCTACACTACTTATGTTTCTTATACCTTGTTATCTGGTTCTTTTCTTAGCCCTCATGAAGGCCTGAACTTCAGGTCGAAACGTCGGCAAATGTCAAAATAAATATTATCATTTATTTTTGCCTTCTTTTTTGACTGATCACCCCAACTATTGTTCTCTTCATAAACTTATATAGATAATTTAGTAAAGAATAGACTCTTTATTTCTATTTTTTTCATTTTATACTGTTATCGACAAATAACAGATTCTTTGACTAAAAGATTCTATAGCAAAAATATTAAAATGCATCATTATGTGGTTGAGTCAAATCGAGAATTAGATAATTTTATAACGGGTCAGTTTCGCAAAAATAATTCGAATGGTTATGATGATGTTTTAACTATTTATGCTACACTGTTCATTTAATTTAAATATATGAGAATAAATTAATCAACAGTGTTATAAAAAAAAATAACCAAGATCATATGAACCTTTCACTTAACAGAATGACTAACTCAAATTTCAACATTTTAAATTATTTATTTTAGTGATATTTCTTGTGGGAAAATTTGTACTTTTATTCACAGCTCTATATTTCAACATTACAATCACCCACTCTCGAATTAACTTACTCACTGTCTGTACAGATATTATAAATTTTCAAACTAGAAATATCACTGGAATGACTTTACTCAAAAATGTTCAACTTGGAGTTAGTCATTCGTCCACTGAAAAGCTCCTACAGTGAACTATGTTAAAATTCAATCATTTAATTTTTTTAAACTGTAGTGAGTAATATGTTTGTTATATATATATATTTAAAAATTATATATCATGCACATATTAAAAAACTTGAACAAGTATGTAGTGGAAATCAAGAAATGATAAAGGTTTTTATAGGTATGGTTATTGAAACAGATAATTTCACAACTCTAAGAAATATACCTGAAATGCTAAAACTAGTAAAAATAACAAAACAAAGAATGAAGTTAAATAACAACATCTAACAAGTAAAAGAAATCTAATTCATTCATTAGAAAAAATAATACAGAGTTATTAAAGATAAATTATTCCCCCTCAAATCATTCCTTTCAAGTGAGAGAATTGTGGTGAAAAGGAAATCACAAAATTATACTGCAATATCTCAAATACAATATCCGTTAGTTCAAAATTTGATACATACAGAAGGTGAGTTATATAATAAATAATAAATATCTTGTTTTGTTTTTTTGGTTAGAAAAAAAATATTAATTACTTTTATACTATGATAAAATGTTAATTCATAATTATGACTTGTTTCAATTAATACTTTAAAAAAGTCTTCAAATTATGAAAAAAAAAATTAAATCTGCAAACTAGAAACTGATGACCCCATAGGATCAACACAAAAAAAATTAACTTTGATTAAATTTCATTCATTAATAAATAACTCATTTAATAAAAACTCGACATGGTGAAGATATTTTGTATTTGTTTTTACTTAACTAGTTATTTACAAAAAGATATAAAATTTACAAGATGGAGATAAGGTTGGTAAAAGATATTGTCTACCAGAGGGATTCCATAGACTACATAAATGTTTAAGAAGCCCTGTACTAAAGATTAAAAACGGAACGGTCAAACCTTTTTGATGATCTGAAAATGCTTCACGTGAATTCACAAATGAATTCACGAATGTTGAGTCTATCTTTTTTTGCAATAGGGGAGAGGTTACGTTTAAAGATAGCCAGCAAAGACAAAAACACTAACTATTTTTTAGTCACTTATTTTCTTTATTCTTAATTACATTCAATTAAGTGGCCCTACCTTAAATTATGTTTATAAACTCTTCCTAAGTCGGTTAAATTATTATTTGAACATTTTAATGTTTCTACTTAGGTAAATGTTTTACATATTTCTTAATTATAAGATTAATTCATCATTTTAGGGTCTTGACCTCATCATTAGATTATATTGTTTCTTAGATTTTTTATTTTTAAAAAAGTAAGCTCTTGATGGGGTCAAGATCCTTAAAAAATAATAAATAAAATGACTTATTGTGTATTTGTATACCTTATTTGTTAATTAATTAATATATAAAAAATTAGAAAGTTAAACAAGATCACTATGAATTATTGAAAATTCCTGAAAAATTTCAGACTTGATATAAACTCAATTATATTCTTATATGTATTTTCCATTAATTTAGTTTTGTCCTGATTGATGGAAAATATGAGTTTCCATTAAATAATCAACAAATAATTAGACTTATCTAATTAATTAATTATGATTAATTGAATTTTTTCTTCCATATAATGTATGAATCAAAATTAATTGATAAGTAAATGGGTATGCTTAGCATGTACATAAATACCTTGTGTACTTGATATTGATCTAAATTCAGAGATTTTTTTTTTCTATCCTCGAATAGTCAAAACTCGCAAATGGTAAACCAGAGAATATTGAGACTGCTGTTAATTATCATTTGTTAATGTACAACTAGTGAGTGAAATAAAGTAAGAAAAATTGGGAGTTTGCAGAAGCACACATTATGGTTTTAATTAGTTTTTAATAAAAAAGGGAGTCAAATGATAGTTATAATGAGACTTTATTCATGTGGACTTTATATAATCAATTTTATTATTTTTCCTATAGTAAAATTCCTGCTTTTAAAGCATATTAATATCCTATATTCCATTTCATTTTCTGATAATTCAACACAAGGTCCAAGTTGTGAGATGTCTTGTTTTTCCGAAGGATTAAATTTGTATCTGTTTAGTATCTTTTATCATTATTGTTTTATTCTTATATAACAATTCAAAAACATTTTTTACTATTACAAGGACTGTAGAATGGTAATTAAATTAATGAAGATTAATAATACTACCACTAATTTATATATCATAATCCTTACCTTTTCCAGTGTTCTTTCATAAGTTCTGACACTTTCTATCAATGAGACCGCAAATGGATAAAGTTGGTTTGCCTGGTGAGCTTTATTTACTATTGCTAATGGAACTCTGAATCCTAAATTCTTCAAGTTTCTAACCTCTTTGTAGAGGGTAATGATTTCTGGGAGGAAATTCACCTTAAAAGATAATCAAAAAGAAATTATTTACCTTACAGCGAGATACTTTATGATCATAATAATTCAATGGATTCATATTCAAGTTTTTTTTGTAGAAAATTGATAATGCAGACTTAATCACTCACCTTAAGCTTGAGTAAGTTTCCCCTTCCAGAGCGAGATCGGGTACTCTCTATTGCGAAAATTCGACCGGATACTGAAAGGTTCCTCTGTTGAACAGAGCGAGACCAGTCATCAAATATCTCTTGAGTATTAAGTTTAAGTCTAAAACTGTCACCATCGGACTTGAGAGCTTGACCTTCAATATGATTTTCCCAGCCTTTACCTGCGGATCAATTACAAACCATACAGACACTGAATCCATCACCCTATGCAATAACAAAGAAAGTATGATTTACCTATAAAACCTTGTAAACCAATAATAAAAAAAAAATACTTAAGGAAACAAAAAACTTTTATTAAAGAAAATTCTTTTTTTGTTATCTACAGAAAAATTCCTGACATTATACAAAATGTTAACACGTATTAGAAGTATCAAATTGAATTAGTGAACATTAGTTACAAGACTTTAGATTTTAAAGAATTGGACATAAACATAATAATGTATTCCATAACAATGTTCAATGTTAGGAAATGATAAAGAAAATTTAGCTTACAATTTCAATTGAATCGAAAATGAAAGCAGTATAATATGACTTATTGTTTAAGACTAGCCACTAGAGACGATTATTTGCGACACCATCTAAACAGTAATCATTTATTTATATGTCCACCAATGATATTTTAGAAAACTGACAAGTCATGCTATAGGGCAGTTTTATATCGGGCTGTGAGTAGCTTTGTTGCGATACAGGCAAATTCCAATATTCCTTATTGGTATTAACATCAGTCTTCGATTTCGATATTAGAGTAATATCAAATCAAAAATATAGATATCGCCAATATCGAATGATATCGATACCAAAATGAAATTGTTATGAAACTTAAGAAATATATCCTCAGTTTAAAGAAAAAAGTTATTAAGTGACTTTATACAATCTTGAATCACTTGAAGAACATTGACGAATTTTCCGTTTGTGAAATCAGAAAATTATGCACTTATTGTAGTTATATTTCAAACACAAGCATAATTGGTATAAAAGAATCATTGTAATTTTCTTGCAAATTACATTGTTTTTCATTGATAAATAAGATCAAAATCCAGAAAAATGGTCTTGAAACTTCAGCTCCATCAAAAATGTACTTAGCGACTTTTTGCAATAAGCAGACGACAAGAGCTATTTTCTCTTCCATTTTTCCCTCAGCAGTATGACATAGGTAAATTTATATTTGTTTACCCGTCTATTATAAAAATAAAAATATTACTCACCATTGGAGACTAGACTAGTTATTCTTGGCTCTATCAAGCCAATTTTTTTATTTTTTTTTATTACGTATTATTAACAATTAAACAGTTTTGTATATATCTTTTAATTATTAAACAAAAAATGACCAAGTTTCCAAATTATAACAAATATAATATGAATAACAACTGACAAATAATTATTTTCTTTAGGAGGCAATAAAACTATACAGAGAACTCATTACATTTCAAAGGATCAATTGGATGAAGTAAATATTCTTTGAGTTCTAAAAAAACCTAATTCAAATCAACTTCACGCACTAAAGGCGGATGTGAATTGTCATTTGAAATAGGTAGAATATTGATTATCAATGTAGAAACAGATGTGTATTTATCATTCTAACCAAGAACGAACTTACTACAATGAAACTAATCCTCTCCCTTTAAGTACTTTTAAAAAGTATATTGATTTAGAAAGTAGAACCTTAAGTTAATTTTATTTAGTTCATTCCATTCATATTGTTTCTGGCAAATTTTCACATTTACAATGAAATAAGTACAAACATATAATTTATAGTCCAACTGGATACATGGAGGAAGAAAGAGTTTCTTCCTTTATCATGAACTGTTTTCGTATTTTAGTTGTCAGGCTATAAGAAGGAACCAAGTTTCTATTCATTTTCATAAATAAGGAATCATAAAAACTTTAAAAGTTCTTAAAACAAAACACTAATCTTGAATACAAAATCAAATGTATACCTAAAACATCCTCCACCCTTCTTAGGTATGTAGTGAGCTGGCGATCGATCTGCTTTACCCAGATTATAGACCCTGAAACTGGTGCTAAGTCTCTGATAGAGCTCATCCGACAGCCTTTACTTTGACCATATTGAACCTAATAATGAAATATTAATTTTGATAAACATATATCACTAGATTTATTGCACAGTTAATGTAATGTTTATTTATCAATGTATTAGTAACCTTGAATTTCTCATGGAGAGCTTCGATATCATCCTTGACTCTTTGAATCAGCTGAGTCTGGTATTCTCTTATGGCACCTCGAATGTGCTGCCTCACAAATAAGGCATTGAAACGAGAAAATATCCTGTGAAATTTTATATGAAAAACTATTATATATCAAAATCATACTTAATTATATCATATATTTACTATTGAAGGAAATTACATGCCTAAAATCATTGTAAAAAACTAAAATATGTTTATATATACCTAAACATTTCATTAGCGTTTTTAGCCTGCCCCAATTGATCACGTAAGTGGGCAGTAATGCGCGTTTCAACTTTATCGATCTTTTCCTCATATCGGGCTACTGCAGCTTCCCAAGCTTCGCCACCTTCCTTTGACATGTCTAAGCAATCTACTTCTTTCACGTTCTCGTAAGCAAGATTTACCTCCTGATAAATAAGAATTTTGGAAGTTATCTTTAACTATAATTACTAATTTAACAATAGTTAGAAAATTGTTAGAAGAGGTTTTTGGAGAAACTTCATTAAATTAAATCTGCATAAAACAACTTTATTCATAATTATATGCAATAGAAAAATCAACTTTGTTCTATAAATATAAAATATTAAACAATATAAAATTATGTTAAGTTGTGAAAAAAAATATTAGAAACATAGCTATTTTAATAAGATTAACAAACAACTAAAAAGTCCTGGTGGCTGGCTAGTTTCAAAGGTAATTCATAATTTTTTCTGAATTTCCAATCTTCAAGGAATTCAAGGCTGCAGAACAACCTCTACAAACTAAAAATAAAAAACCTTAACCCCTCTGAACTCACAGATTATTACAATTCATCTTTGACAAGTAATAAAGGTGATGTATATTAAAATGATACACTCCTTTTAACCGAAACAAAAACTTATGCAAATATATAAATTAAGTTTATATATACTAACTTCTACTGCAGAAATATTAGGCGCATCATCGACGACTTTGTCTTGGCCAGTAACCTCTTGACCATTTATGAGAGAGGCAGGCACCGGTCGAAGAACCCTTAATATCACAGTTCTCAATTGCTCATGTTGATGTCTGAACTTCCGCATCTGTTCCATTCTCGTTTGTAACTTTTTATGAGCAGGCATGACCCTCCATACCATTTTAAGTTGTTCATCTCGTTTTTTCTTAACAATATCTCTATACAAATAAACATATAAATGTGCTAATTAGTCATTATAAAAAAGAAATTTAATTATTTTGATCCTATTATCTTCAATGAAAACTAAAAATAATTAATATTTAACAATAAATATCTATTGGAAAAAATTTTAACATATATTAAGATTTTTTTCCAAAATTCAGATACCATTCACAATCGATCCAGAAGATTACAACATTTAAAAAAAATATATAAAAAAATCATGAAATTTTAAATGAAAAAGTAAAAATTATTAAGATAAGACTTTTATTATAAAAGTGGAAAGATTTCAAGATATCTCTAGGCACAATTTATTTTTTCAGGGCAAATTGGCGCCTACTAGGATATTACAAGTAATACACATAAAATAAAATAAAATAATAATTTTATAAAAAAAAAAAAACAAGGATGGAGATTGATAAAAAAAAAACATTTTTAAGATCGATAAACCCATTATTATTACTCAGAGTGCTTTTTTGTTGGTATACCATATCTTCTTAATTCTTCATCAAACCCAATATTTGAGCCACATTAAAGATTAAATTATTTTAAATTAAGATTATTTTCTCCTTCAGATGAGAATAGGATATCACTCAGAAATGTTGGGAAAAAAATTAACTTCATAGTGCATGACTCAAAGTATGCAATTTGAGGTTGATTATACAGATAATGATTTGAAAGATTTTTAAATTCACTATAAAATGAAAAAAAAAACTCTGAAATTGGACTATTTGTAGCAAAAATACAGTTTATTGTGATTTGTACATATTTTATGATTTATTGTTTAGAATGAGCTACTGTAATTGACAAATGGAAAGAAAATTAATTCTTCTATATTATAATACATTGCATTAACTTATTGCCATATTACTTTGTAATTTTTTCTCGGCATAAATATAGTAAGTGAATTATTTGCATGGGCTAGCTCGAAAACCATTATTTCAATCAAATGCTAATATTTATAAATAATTAAATTTTAAATTACCTCAAAAGATTTTGTAGTTTCTCATATTCATCATCCCACGTGACAAAGACATTTATGCACTGCTGCATTACCTTCTCAAACTCATCAAACGGAATGTGCATTAAGCGCCGTGTGCCTAAAACCTAATTCAATAAAAAAATAAAATAGTAAAGCAATTAAATTTTCAGTTTTTATTAAAATTATTATCTATCCAGCCTAATAACTAAAGCCAAAAAAAAAAGTTCTACTTTTCATAGTTTAAACATATAACTTAACAAGACTGGATGTCAAATAAGAGTGGATATCAAATGAAAAAATCAACTATAAAATAAATGAGAAAAGAAGAATATTTGGAAAGTTGATAGGTAAGAAAAAATAATGGATTTTCTATTTAAAAAAGGAAATTACAGATAAAAATACCTTTAAATGACCCTTGATTGTAAATATGAGGGAAGGAGGTGGAGATGACCAAGAACCTAACAGCACAGAAGATGAAAAATGATTAAGTAGAATTATGTAGACTAATAGAAACACAGTGGCCAAAGAGGTAAGAAAAGGATGCATAAAACTAATAGTAAGAAAGGTTAAGAATGAGAAAATAGACACTACACGTAATTATATAGTTTAAAATTTCGGCTCCTATTACTTTTAATACTAAAACATAATTACTTTTAAGAGCTGGGTTGTGAGATCTCTTGAGATGGCTTCAATGAGTCTTAATCCTCTTATCATTGGGTACTTAGTATTACGGATCTTTCTGAGATGGGTGAAGATCTGTTGAACAGCAAGCTTGATTCGGTCAAGTTCCGTGGCACTCAAAAGGTCATTAATGGGGAAATCCTTCATTAATGGGTTGTAATCATTTACAGTTGCCAAGGCCTGTTTCAGCCCTAAAGCAAAAAAAAATGGAATGTTATATTTAATTAATATAAAATATTACAGCATATGGACACAAAAAAATTATTCTTTAAAATATAGAAATGCAAATTAATAAAATAAAACATGCCTGATAAGAATCAGTACCAGTTCTTACTTATTGCCTATAGGACGGTTTACACAGTTAAGTAAGTTTCTTGTAGTTATATTTTTCAACCGCAGGGGAAGATCACAACAGACTTTATAGAACCTTTTACATGGTTAAGACTCTTGAATAGGAGGGATGAAGACATTGCAGTTGAAATATTTTTGAACTATGTGTGCCAGGAAAGTAAACTTACTTTGAAACCTACGTTGTATGTAACAAGCAGAGCCAGGATTTTTAAGAATTTGCCAAATAATTAAACCTTGGAAAATGTGCTTCTAAATTTGTTTACGTGAAACCAAATCTTTCATCATTTAAAATATAATATAATTAGAAAACCATTTTTGTACATCCGCATATATGAAGGATACAAATTTATATGCAGGGGTTGTGATTTACACTATTTTTGTACAGTAGTTCCAAAATACAACTTTTCAATTTGTTGAAAAAATAGTTTTCTTATAAGTATTTCAATGGTCCGTTTGACCTTTAATATTTGAAGAAAATTATGGACTTACTTGGAATTTAAATTAAAATAAATATTACAGCTTGGAAAAAAAATGTGAAAGTGAAATAAAAACTGAATGATGTTAAAATGTTGTACGATGGAAAACCAGGAAATGAAAAATCATTATACTCTAAAAAGCCAATTTTGAAGGTAGTGTTATTTCGTTGATTTGTTGTTATTTTCTTCATTGAAAACAAACCTAAAATTGTAAAATTAACATACACCTTCAATGCTACATTGTAATTTTATTTCATATTTTGTAGTTGTTTTATACTAGAAACTGTCAAAATATTTAGTTATTTATGCTATGATTTTTCATCATACATACAAAATAAAATTTGGTTTTTGAGTTCACCGATTAGTAAAAGTAATTCAAGGCAGGAAAAAAAATCATAAAAACTAAATATAAAATTGCATAAAAACCTAGGCTCTGATTTATTTTAATTTCAGTATATAATCTACACACGGACATTATACTTCAAAATATAGACTTACAGTCAATAATTTTAACCAATCTTTATGATAGAGGTTGAATGCGGAGGTGATGCCAATCATTGGTTTTCAAAGCAAAAACTTCTCACATCCTGATTTGAATTCCTTATTGTTTTTGATGGGATGCAAAAGACACTCATCATTCCATTAAATACTAAGTATAATCTTCTTTCCAAATCAATCTTGACAAACCTCTTAAGCCTCGTGGCCTTGCAGTAATCACTTTTTCAGTCAAGATTTTCCATTTTTATCACTTGTTACCATTATTCTCCACCACCTTTTGGACTTTAAAGCATACCTTTACTGGTATCAATTCTTTGGGAATGGGAGGTTTATAAGTCATAAATTTTTAGAAATTAAGCTTTTTAAAATAATAGCTATTCATAGCAATTAAAATATCCATTCCAAATGATAATCCTTGGGGTTGTCAACAGATAATGGATAACAGACTTGAATAACCTCTGAAGGGTGATCTGATCTAGGCTCATTTTGAAAGTTTTTTTTCTGGTATTGAACTTTTTTTTTTTTGTTCTTCCCCTCCTCGCCCTTTAGGCTAAACAGGGTCTTCCTTCATCCCGCTCCATGGGTGAGGGCCTGGAATTAATGCTTGAGTTAAAAGATCACCTCACACCGGGACATGAACTCGTATTTATTTATAACTTCGGTTATCAGGTTGCTGGGCAACACACAGTCTATGCACACATGTTAGCCCGCTCGGCCACTCAACCCCATCCTGGTATTAAACCAAAACACTCCCCTTTATGATGTACCACCTCCTTACCACATTACCTATACCAGTACCAATACAGAAATTGATAGACAAGTAACTGATAAACATGTCTAAATCATATTTAAATTTAGGAATGCAATGGTTAGCATTTTTGTATACATATTTAAAATTTTCAAACTTAAAATACTTCACCATGTAATAATCATTTGGTTAACAGTATCTATAGGTTCTTATTTTAAGAAAAAAAATAATTAACTCATTTAAACCAAAAGTACAATCCCAGTAAATTACCTGTATCTGTGTCAAAACTAACAGTAGCATGAAATCGTTTTCCATGCTTCAGAATCTCTAATGTGAGCCCAACTTCGATGGATTCTCTCTTTTCTTGAATTCGATGCAAAGATCTTTCAAGATTCAACCAAAAGGAGATTTCTTGTAGTGCTGTACCGGAAGATGGGTCACGATCTAATTTTGTTACCTAATAATCATATAGAAAATACATTGATAATTATATAGAAAATGACCACGTGAAAGCAACTTTATTGTTAAGTCAAAAATGTAAGCTAACAAGTTAAAATAAAATATTTTGAAAAATATTGATTTCAGTGTAGTATGAAGTGATAACACTATTTAATTAATTATATTTCTTACTAATCTTACTTTTAATATATTTTTACGAATACATTATGGTTCTTTTTTTAACTCAACATTGCATATAGTAAATCTTGGCTTTTTTAACTTCTGCCTTTGGTTTTCCACTACCCTTTTATATATTCTTTGTGGTATTAATAGTAATCCTACTTCTCAGAATCGTTGGACATGGTGAAATATGCTCTGTTCCTCAGCATAATCCTATCTTTCTTTTTATTTCTTCGTATCTAGCTCAGCTCTGTTAATGACGACATCGAGAGCAACGTTGAAGAGGAAGGGAGCCAGCCCAACTCTGAGATCAAAATATTACCACAACATTTCACTTTTCACATTGTGCATTTTGGTAGTCTAATTAATTTGGTAGGAATACTCACCTCAGCCATAACTTTTGTATACAGAGAATATTTCCTTTATCATAGGTTGCCTTAAAATTGATGAATATTATCCAGATTGTTTTATTGAATTATTTTCTCGCATATCAACCTCAGTAAGAAAATTTGATTTATTATGGATATCTTACATCAAAAGTCTCTTAGATATTCAGATTCCTTTTTATATATAAATAGTATTCTATTATAGATAGCAATTGAGAAAACTTGTGCTAAGCAAGAATATTCCTCAGTAGTTCCTGCAATTGGTTTGGTCTCCTTTTCCTTCAAATATTGGCACAATCCTTAGGGATTTCTCATTTTTATCAACACTTCATGGACCTCCTTAATTAAATTATTGCCAGAAACTTCTAAGTCCTGAAATGGTATTTTATCCGAGCCAGATGATTTATTATTCTTAATTTTGTTCATGATCAGTTCAACTTCATCCATGCGTGGTGGAGTTTTTCCCTCTTCCGCTCCAAGGACAGGTAAGCACTAGAATTCTATTGTGATGCTTTTCATTTTTTAGCAAATAATATAGTTTGGAAATATTCTTTCCACCTATGATCATCCTCCTTAGGCATTAGAATTTGTTCTTCCTTATTCGTTAACATGTTTCCCTATTTATAATACATTTCTTGTTACTCTTAATTTTCTATTCAAACTTCCTCAGTTTATTATTTTCCCTTATATTCTCTATTGCCTCCATTTCCTTATTTTTGGCTTTACTTTTTACTTCTTTTTTTTGGCCTTGGCTTCGGTATTTATGTAATCTTTCCTTTTCTCCTTGAGTTTCTCTCTAGCCAACTTATTCTTTTGCTATTTCTCAGGCTCGCTACTTTTTTACAATCATTATCGAACCAATTTTCTTGAAAACGTTTTATTTGTCCACACAGATCTACTATGTGTTCTTCAAGGATTTCCTTAAAACTGACCATCTTTCAATTCTGAAAACTTCTTTCAACTTAGAAACAAACACCTTTATTACTGTTAATTTAAAAATGTAAAACTAAAATATTTAAAACCTACTTATTTTAATACAAGAAGATAAAATACTATTTAATTAAATGTATCAAATCTTACTTTTAAAATTTTTGTAACGGACATATTAATATTAGTTTTTTTTTTTGGGGGGGGAGTGTGGGGAAGGAGGGAATTATTCCCCATAATTGTATTTTCATTTTTTTATTAATAATAATTTTAAGGTTTTAAATTATTTTCCTTGAAATTATTGTTAATATAATTAAGAAAATACTCTTTGAAAACAAGGACCTGGTTAAATGACAAAAAATTAAAATTAGAAATTAAAGAAGGAAATTGCTCCAAAATGGATTATGAAAGAATTATTTATAATATTTAACAGAGGTCTCCAAACTTTTTGGCCCGTGGGTTCTATGGGCCGCATTGAGACCTCCACATAAGTTCTGGGGACCATGACTTGTGATAAGTAAAAATTGTATAAATGAGCTTTCTAAAAAAAAAAAATGCAATAAATGTTGTAATAATCTTGTTTGTGAGTAATTTGCTAAATTATATATTCTAAATAGTTTATAAAATTTTATCATGTAATCAAAGAAACTTTCACAGGCCGGAATAAAGGTGCTTGCGAGCCGGACCCAGTAGCGGATCATAGTTTGGAGTTCTCTGATATTTAATAAAGAAGAAGACAACATAGACTTGAAAATGAGCTAATCAGATAAGTGTTTAAATTATTTTGTTAATATTGATATTATTATTAATAAACGAATCCTACATATTTGATGGATTAGGTTAATGAACATGTTCTAATGACCCTATAAACATAAATTAAGATAAATTTGTTAAATGAAATAAACATGAGGGAGTATTGATAATTCTTCAGATCCAGAAAAATTACTTTTTTTGTAGCGATTGTTTATTTTTCCTCTCAATTATTAGAAGCATTGATTATGATATCAAAAATATAAAGCTTAAGAAACCAACCTTTTGAATTTCCTTAATCCATCGATTAACACCATGTTGCAACTGATTAAGAAAAGTTGAATCTTCTACACGGTCACCAAAATCTGCTACTTTTGGTTTTCTTCCTTCTTCTGCACATTTTTTGATAACATTTGAAACAATTGGATGAACTACAAGCGTTATCTCAGGGATGTCTATGTTTTGTTGTAAGTGCAACAGGCCCATTTCTAACTCATCAATCTTCTTCTCAACAGATGGCACCATTTTATCTCCATCTCTAAAATTTGGTAGTTAAAGTACTTATTTCCTAATTATGCCAGTAAATATAAACTTATTAGGAACCAATTAATTCAAAACTAATATATAAACTACTCAGTATACCACCAATCAATAAAACTGGTAATTCAACAAATCAAATTGTAATTATTAAAAATCAAAGTTGTCCACAAAACTTTTTCAGAAAAGTGTGTTATGCCTTCAAAAAGTATTATAAAAACATGTTATAGGAATCAAAAATAATATGTAAGACAAGAAAGTAGTAAAAAGTTTAACAAATAAATGCATCATAAATTAAGAAAGATAATGATGAAATTGGTTGAAATTTATTTAATAAACATAATTCATTTAAACATTTTGAAATTGAATAGTTGTCACAGGGGAGAAATGCATAATGTCAACCATCAAAGAAAGAAATCAATAAAGCATATTGCTTACACAAGATTGGAAAATTTGAATTGTAGTTTTTTTTTCTATAAACACTCACTAGGAATTTATATCAACAATTATTGTTGTTCTAATACAGAAAATAATTATAATTACACCAAATCAATACGACACGTCTACAATATGTCATTTTGTAAATAGCGTACAGCGCTGATAATAAACTATTCTCACCTATCAGCTCGGCCTGATTCTTTCACGTAACTCTTAAAATAAGGAGACATTCCTTTACTAACAATGGCATGTAAACTTTCATATGCAGTACCTTCAGAAAATTCAATCATGTGTAACTGAGATTGAATGGTTTTATCAGCATCCATAATCGATCCATTCTTCATGAACAGAAGGCTAGATAATATATCAAATCAGATAAAAAAAGTCTTATCAAGAAACAATATACTGTCATATACTATAAAACAACAATTTTGTTATTAATCGTTTACCTTGATGCTTTAGGGCTAGAAAACTGAACCATGTTAGATATTGATATGGTGGGTGTTTCCTTTTCATCTTCACCCTCACCACCCTGTTCTGGGTCATCATCTGAAACAATAGGATGCTCAGTGGACAGTTATTCACAGTTTGAAACCATAAAAGAAACTATTGAACTCTAGTACAATGATATCTTCCATTTTTAAGAAAAAATAAAACACATAACTGTATGTTGTTTTTTTACCTTTGGTTGAATTCTTTAGTACTATAAGAGTAGCAAATTGTGGGTCACTTAAAAACTTTTTAATACAATCCAAATTTCCATTATCATCTAATGCAGCATCTAAAGCAGGGGGTACAGTTTTCACACCTAATAAATTCAATCTAACATTTTCACGAAGAAAGTCTAAAAAATCCGTTATATCTATTATGGACACTGGCTGTTCCTCGGGGGGAGGATCGTTCGATTCCAAGGAATCAGTCATCTTTAAAGATGGCTAAAGCGGGAAAAATAAACTAACATCAATATTGTGCTGGATACAGTTAAAGACAGGCCTTATGTGCTGGCTCTATAGCCGGAATGACCTGCCGTTCTCGACTAATATGGCCGCTCTCTGACTCATGCGTAGGTTATCATTCCCTACCTGTGCTGAATGGGTGTACTCCATTTATGTATTTTATCAATATATATAATACATTTACATTACATTTCAAATAATTTATTTTAATGTTTTCATTTTACTGATATTTTTATTATCTGCTATAATAATTATCTGGATATAATTGTTATAACCTTCCTTATAGCCGGCAAATTTCAAAATCTTTTAAGGTGAATCACTTCTTTTAAGATTTCCGTCAATAGCTAAGTTTAAACTTTTACATTTTCACTTCACAATTAAAACTTTCATGGACTAAATTTATCACTTATTTTGGTGTGAGAATTTAAAATTAATCCGTTGGCTGCTGATGTTATTGGAAATACTGTGAATAAAAAGAAATAGTGGCACTTTGCTTCATCCTCTTTAATGATTAGATGTATTTGAAAATTTAGGATTTTAAAAGGTTCTATAGTATTTTTATATTTGTAGGTTGTTATTTATCAATTCCATAAATCCATTAATATTAAAGAATTAAAGGTGAATAAGAGTAAAAATATCTTTTTAAAAATAAACTTTGTCTTAATGCCATTTTCTATAATAACTAGCCTTAAACTTTGTTCTATTTTGTTATTCTTCAGTGTAACTAAAAATTCTTTGTTTTTACTACAGTTTTTATTTTTGTTATATATACATTATTATATTTTATATATCTATTTTTATGTATTTCATGTTTTTTATTTTATTATATTGTAAATATGGTATGAATGTACCTTACAGCTTTAATGCTCTGTACCCTGAAGTATGGTAAAATGTATTATACCTCAATAAAACTATGAAAAAAAAAAAAAATTATTCTGAAGTTTCTCAAGTGCCAGAATAAAGTTATTTTCTATTCCTATTTCTATTTCTAAAAACAGAAAATAGTGCAATGCATTGACATTCAGGGGTGCCTATCCCTCCCCAAGGCCGACGGCGCATAAACCTTCTCCCACCCCTCCCAAAATATTTAATTCCTCTTTTCTTCTAAAAACAGTGGAAACGAAAGTAGAATTTAAATACTCGTAGTTTATATACAATTACACATACTGCGGTCTGTTCCATGTTTCCATTTGTCTTTTAATTTTGAAAATTCATTACCCTGTTGAAATGTGCCCCCCTCATAAATTTTGATGGCGCAACTTGCGCCATGAAAACCTCTGTTGACATTAAAAAAACAAACAAGTAGTTTAGTAACGAGAACAATTATTTTATATCAAAAGGACAAACATATTTTATTTTGCATTCGGCCTAAATTAGAGAGGTGAAAGAAGTTGAAGGAAATAGTATTCAATAGATAAGAAATACGAATTTTAGTTGAATGAAAGAACGAAACTCCTGTAGAAAATCAGGATATCCGGAAGTTGAAGAGACTTCATTGCTATACCGGCGGAAACCATCCTGGACCACATATCCACACCAATTTTCTGATTTATTTGTACATCTTTGAGGAAATCTATTTGCTTCTAAAAAATGAATAACATATTTCTAAACTTTATCGATTAGATTAAACTATTTATTTTTTTGTGGATTACCTGAAAGAATGTTCAACTTACGGATGTCTTGATATTGAATGTAATTTTAGTCTATCAATAAAGCAACTGTATTGGAGAAATGCTGAATGAAATAAAATTCAAAAATAATTTATATAAAGATTATATAACATAATACAAAGAAATAAATATAATATTTTTGGGGAGGGAGATGACGTCATTGCCCCGGGGCTCTGAATGTCTAAGGCCGGTACTGTATATACAGAAAAACAATTTGCGTATTTCTAATAATTATTTTTTATTTTATTTATTTATATTACTTTTTGTTATTATTATGAATGGAAGTTCCTATGTCCGTCAACTAGAGAATTGGACGGCGAAGGTTGATGTGGTACTGCCATGAAAGACTACTAATATCAATCGAGTGATGGCCTAGCCGAATTTTTGATTGGCAGTCGCCGGGAAGACGGAGGCAAGGAAGATACAGAAAAAGGTGTGTACATGAAGTGGAAGAGCAGATGGCTGGCCGAAGCCTTCAGGATCTGCTTGGGTCATTGTTCTGCTAAAAAAATTGATTTCCCCTATCTCGAATTGTTCAGCTTTAACAAGGAAATTTATTTTTTAAAATATCTAAATAATTTGGGGGTCAATTAGACCATCTATAAACCCAATCGATCCCTCTCCAGCAGTATTCATATAACCCCAGGCCATGAGTGACTAAACTGCACATTTCCATTGCAGCATTTCTATGCTTCCACATTAGTGAAATTCCACGGCTATCAAACATTTCAATTTCACTCCCGTCGGAAAATATTAATCGATTGCAAAATTCACTGTTGTTTTTTATAAACTCCTAGTCCCACAGATAACATTTTTTGAAGAGAAGAATAGTTGGGGTGGTCAGTCAAAATAGAAGGCAAAAGGCTTTTTTTATATTTTTTATTTTTTACATTTTATTCTAAGATTCTCATTGTAACACTTAAGTCACCCATTTTGATTATGCCTACTTCATCATTCCACACTTTGTAACGGTTATTATTATTTATCTCTTAGTTCTTAGTCATTATTCTAACAATTTCATTTTACTTTATATGTATTTATTTTATTTTTATTTATTTATTTTTTTTTTTTTTTACCATCACTACTTATGTTTCTCATACCTTGTTATCTGGTTATTTGCTTAGCCCTGATGAAGGCCTGAACTTCAGGTCGAAACGTCGGCATATGTAAAAATAAATATTATCATTTATTTTTGCCTTCTTTTTTGACTGACCACCCCAACTATTATTCTCTTCATTATCCACGACAGTCAACCATTTACCAATTATGATAACATTTTTTGTTTACTGTTCTCGAATGAGAAATGCAAGGGTTTCGATGTATTATAATAGGGTGTATTTATATATTATTTGTATATTTTAATCCTATTTAATAGTTATCAATACTTAATAATCCCTTTAGAGCATTCTATAAGCTTGTTAAATCCCATTTGACTTCTTAAAAAAAAAACCTTAGTTTAGTTATTTGTTTCAAAGAAGAAACATGGCAGTCTCCTACGAAATCCTCGCATTACTAGGAAAAAAAGTTCACAGCCGCTGACAACTCGTGAAATTATTAAATATGAAGGGTAAGGTGTCCTTGACCAGCGCGGCGTTGGTTTGAAAAATTTAGCAGTGGAGATACGACGTTGGAAAGGAAGAAGGGCTCCGGGTGAACATTAATGGATATTGATGAGGTTCTGCAGGAAGCTGTTGAGACAAATTCTTTCTCGAGTACTCGCGAACTTGCCAGGGACTGTGATGTGTCGAAAGATTCTGTTAGTCGCAATTTACTCTCCATGAGGAAGGTGAAACAGAGCAGTTAGTCTGTGGGCCAGACCCCCTTACCGTGCACCCCCCCCCCCCCACATCCCTATAAATTGCATATCGTTGTGTTCCTTGTAACAATTTATTAAAAAAAAGCCAATGTTCCCACAAAAAAAAGTGAACGCACTGCCCCAAAATGGCGTCCAAAGATGGCGGATTGACGACTTTGACTTTAGTTAGTTTTTTGGTCACTGAGAATCAGCATTAAGCTTAATTTCCTCATAGTTGGTCTTTTATTAAAGCTGAATAGTTATAGAATAATAAAACATGAAGAAATATTAAAAAATAATTGTCTAAGGCTATGAAAAACACCAGTAAAGTCAATTTTTTTAACAAAAATATTTTCAAGTTACAAATCAAGCATCGTTTGTAATTAAACGGCCTACAATAACGCAAAACGTGCTGAAATAAACCATCTGGAGAATATATTTCTCTTTCTGAAACGCTGATTATTTTTTACAAATGTTTAAGTAGTTCCGTAAAAAATTCACTTAAGCGGCAGAAAAGCGGTACTGGCGTGGGTGCCTACAGGCCTCTACCACACCATTCAGTGCCCATAAATGGCTTAGTTATAGTGATATAATAACATTTTTGGTACATTATATTGGTTTTATTAACGAACAAATATTAATGCAATAATTTTATAGTAAAAAAAAAAAAATTTAATTTAAAAAAAAAATTTATTATTATTTTTTTAAATTTTAACCTCCTTTATTCTATACGTAGGTCGTTTAAGAATACCTCAATTGTAAAAATGATATAATTATAATAATAAAACTTAATTAAAAAATATTTTGCTAAATATCTTGATTTTTTTTTATTTAACGTTTGCAATTTAACACCGTGTTTTGAATATTTACTGATTCTTAGAAGTAATCAAAATTTTTATATATTTCCCAGGAAATGAGTCATATTCATACCTTTTTTATAAACTAAAATAATATATACCTAATCTGAACTATATATAATGAATAGCTACCGGGTTGTTTAGTAAAACTCATATATCACTAATTAAAAAATTAATTTTTATTTCCTTTATTTTGTGCAGAAGTTGGACTATATCATAAATAAATAGAAAATTTTAATATTGAATGAATTATTCTCTATGCACAAAGAAAGATATAAAGGGTGACCCTATAAGTTAAAAGGACCAGTTATATCCATTATATAGCTAAATGAATGTATAGTAGATAGATGAACAGAATATTTCAAGATGTTGCTAAAACGGAATCAATTGCAGTTTGGATGATATTAAGTGGACGATGTAGGTTTATTATGGTGAAAACCACTTTATTTTCGATTGCTGAAGGTGCACCTCGGGACTATATTAACTTTGAAGATGAATATAGAGATGTATATCGAGAAAGTTATAGCTCATAGCTTTCCTTCTGTTTAGTGGATTTTCAAAAGATTTTTTAAGGTATCTTATATTAGTTGTAGCTCGCTATTCTTCTCGTTATTCTTGAATTGTTCGGAATTTGTACCATATCAT